TTTCTTAAAATTGAATTCTTTTGTCAAGTTTTAATAAAATTTTTAACAATAATTGCATTTTTCAAGGAATTTATTTGAAATTATATTAAAAATATTTGAAATTCTACGATGAAAATTGAATTCCTAAATGAAATTTTATTATTTGTGAAAAATAAAAATAATTGAATGTTTTCGTAGAGTTGTATCAAAAATGTTTTTCAATAATTAAATCTTTTGAGAAATTTTATGAAAATAGTATAAAAATATTGACTATTGAATTGCGAAAAACTTTTGAATATAATTGAATTTTTTGCGAAAAATTGTGCTATTTGTGAAGATAATTAAATTCTTGACGATATATTTGTTAAAATTTTTAAAAATATTTGAATTTCTTTGAAGAATTTTATGACTTTTGAAAATAATTAGATTCTTGTGATGAATATTGTTATTTATGAAAATAATTGAATTTTGTAAAGAATATTATTAAAATTCCTAAAAGTAATTGAATTTCTGTGAAGAATTTTGTTATTTATCGTGACAATTGCGGTAAAAGTTTTGGAACAATAAAATAATATTAAAAAAATTCATTTTTAGCAGAAATAGAAAAAAATTTTGAAGGTTTTGTATTAGAATTAGTGGTAGTTTCATAGTTTATGAGGTAAACGAAAAAGACAGCAAAAATTCAGAATTTGCTTATGAATTTTAAAAATTGAATTTTTTCCAGTATACTTTTAATAAAAATCCCTAACTTTTCCCTTATTTTCCTGACCAATTCTACTTTCCCTGAGTTTTCTCTGAATTCCCTGACCTCTGGCAACCCTGCTGACGTAGTAAAATTCACTCTAGAAATAGTAAAAATTATGATATAAATGCAAAGAAATTGCAGGCAGTTTAGGTATTACTTTGTAAATAGTTAAAAGTTATTATTTCTGTGTGTGCATTAAAAATTGTAATACGTAAAAATAGAAGCAGAAATACAAATAATGCATTATTTTAGTTAAATATCTACATTACTAACAGAAACAAACAATAAAAACATTTTATTCACACCAGTTGTGAACAACAAAACAGGAAGAGAGTTGAATTTTAGCGGAACAGCCGATAACCTCTTAATTATGTCGATGCGACAACGAGCTGTGCCAGGGCACGATAATAGGTTTTCATAATCTATTATTAACCATGTCATCCTTCCGTCCCAATTAACTTTACGGAGATCAAGTCTATCAGATGTTCTTCGCTCAACGGACTTGATCTATTGGCTGGATTTTTCATGAGCTGAATGAAAATTGTGTTTAGAATAAAGTCTTTTGGATTATACAAAAAACGTCATATATTTTTTAAGATTGTGACGAGTGATGAATCCCAAAAAGAGAATAGAAAATTTTAATTCTTTTCACTTTAATCTATCAAAGTGTAGAGACGGTGAAGAGGAATTTAAAGTATAAACTTTTACCATTTTCATTCTACAAGCGAATAAACTCCGTTTGTGTAGTTTCTGCGTATTTCTATACTTTACTAAAGGGGAATAAAAATTTTTTTAATAAAAAGAACACAACAATGAGTAAATAATAATAATCTGTTGATACCCACTAATACCTAAGTCTTCATTACTCTCTTTATTTATCTTCCAAAATATTCAATAGAAAATTATTTTAATTTTACATTATTAATATTATTTTTATTTATCGTCTAAAATATTCAATAGAAACTTATTTCAATTTTACATTATTAACCCCTTAATGAAAAAGATTTGACGGCTGAAATCTTTGCCATCGGCACTTAAAAGCTAAAAAAGTTAAAAATGAACTTTTAGTCGAAACTTCTTATAAAGAAACTTCTAATCAAAGAACTTTCAATCAAAAAACATCTTATCTAAAAAAGTTCTAATCAAAAACCTTTTATTCAAAATTTCAAATAACTTCTGATCAAGATAAACTTATCATAAACGTAAGCTACAATTCGTTTCTTCTAAGATCCCTTTTTTCGAAACTCATCACGAATAGTATAAAAGTTACTCTATATTTTTTCAGACAAGGTCCAGCTTTTAAAATTAATATTTGAAATAATTGTAAAAAAAAGAAGCAGCAAGATTCTCACAGAGAATTCTAAAAGAATGTGAAAGAATCTATAAATAGACAATTTTGCAAGAATCATAATACGAAATTGAATTCGATTAAATTAATAGATAATTCGAGATTAAATGCTACTTTATTCAAAACAATGTCTTTCAAATGATTGCAGAAATTTAATTATTTTCAAAAATAATAAAATTATTCACAAATTTTTTTAAAAAATTTCAAATATTTTCAAAAGTAGTAAAATTCTTCTCCGAAATTCAATTATTATCAAAAATTTAAATAACATTTTTGGCAAAATTTCAATTATTTTCAGAAAATTTCCTTATTTCAATGATTTTCAATATCCTACTATTTTAATAAAATTTTCCAAAAGATTCAATTACTTAAAAATAAATTATGATAAAATTCTACGCCAACATTCAATTATTTTCATAAATAATACAAATTTTACAAGAATTCAATTATTTACAAATTTTTTATAAACTTCTTTCCTATAAATTCAATTATTTTTATAAATGACAATATTCATGACAAGAATTCAATTATATTTTCAAAATTAATAAAATTCTTTGCAGACATTCAATTATTTTCAAAATTTTTTTTTAAATTATCGTCAAGATTTCAATTATCTTTATAAATAGCAATATTCTTCGACAAAAATTCAATTATTTACAAAAATTTAAAAAAACTTCTTTGCTAAATCCAATTATATTCATAAATAACAATATTCATGACAGGAATTCAATTATTTAAAAAAATAATAACATCTTGAAAGAAATTCAATTATTTAAAAAATTTTCAAAGCAATGATTGTCAACATTTAAATTATCTCTGTAAATAGCAAAATTCTTTTCATAAATTGAATTATTTTCAAAAATTTTTAAGTAATTCTGCAAAAGAATTCAATTAGCTTGATAAACAACAAAATTCTTCCATAAAATCAATTATTCTAAGGCATTTTAAAAAATTATTTTCCAGTAATATAATACTTTGCAGAAATTAAATTATTTTCCAAATTTTTAAAAAATTCTCGTCAAGAATTAAATTATTGTTAAAAATTTGAATAAAATTCTTGGCAAAATTTCAATTATTTAAACATGTATTTAATAAAATTCTTGGTATGAATTCAATTGTTTTCAAAAATTATTATTTAAATTCTTCTCAAGAATTCAATTATTTTTAAAAATTTTAATAAAATTTTTAGCAAAATTTCAATTGTTTTAAAAGATTTTCCTCAATTCAATGATTTTCAATATCTACGATTTTAATAATATTTTGCAAAAAAGTTTAATTATTAAAAAAAAAATTCTTGATAAAATTCTGCACACAACATTTAATTATTTTAATAAATAATAAAAATTTGCCAGGAATTCAATTATTAACAAATTTTTTATACATTTCTTCGTAATAATTCCATTATTTTCGTAAATAAGGAAACCCATTGCAGAATTTCAATTTCTTTTAATAGAATAAAATTCTAATTGAATTTCTCGAAAAATGAAATTATTCTTATAAATTTTATTAAAATTCGAAAGAATTTAATTTTTTAGAAATTTGTTTAAACAAGAATTTTTTCTTTAAAAGAAAAAAATTTTAAGAAACATTCAGTTATTTATTTTTGCATTTAAATAGTTGAATTCTCCTAGAATTTTCTAATATAAAAATTGATATAAAAATAAATTTCAGTTAAAATTTTAGATAATAATTGAAAATTAAATGCATTATAGCGTGAATTTGTAGAAAGAATTGAATTTTGAAAAGGTTTTAAATTAAAATCTTTGAAATTTTTAATTTTTCATATTTTTAATCAACAATTCTGTTGAATTAATTTTTATGATAAAGTTTAATTGAATATTTTTAAATCATTTGACGTTTTTATTTTCCAATCATATAGGCATTTAATTTAATTAATTATTTTCTTAAATAATAAAAATTGCACAATGAATTCAATTATTAAAAAATTTTGTATACATTTCTTCGCAACAATTCAATTAATTTCATAAATTAGGTAATAAATTTCTTCGCAATAATTCAATTAATTTCATAAATAATAAATTTTTTCTATGAATTCAATTATTTTCATAAATAATAAATTTGTTTTAGAAATTCAATTATTATTTTCATAAATAATAAAGCTCATTGCAGAATTTTAATTCTTTTTAGTATACAATTTTAATCGAATTCCTCGAAAAATGTAATTATTCTTAAAAATTTTATTAAAATTTGTCAAAAGAATTCAATTATTTGAAAATTTGTTGATAAAATTCTTTATAAGAATTAAATTTTTAAAAAATATTAAATTATTCAGTAAATTATTTACTTTTGTATTTAAATAATTGAATAATTTTGGGATTTTTTCATACATTATTTCATGGAAATGTTTTGAAATTCATAGGAAGTTTTCGATAATTTTTTTAGAAAAATTCCCTTATTAATGTTAATAAATTTTTTTAAATTAATAATTAGTAGAATTTGCTTCCTAAATTTTTTTTGGGAAAATTTCCAAAATTTTTCTTAGTGTATTTAATTGAAGAATTTCCGAATAATCGAAATTTCGTGAATTTAAATTTTAAACAAATGGATTTGAAAATTATCAAAGAACTTTTCCAAAAATCATTAAAAATAATTGATTTAAAGAAGAATTTTAGTTAAAAATTCTAGAAAATAATAATGATTAAATATTTATTTTAAAATAATGTTATTGATGTTTACGAATAATTTTACTTTTGAAGAAATTCGTAAATAAATGTAAAAGGCATTTTTTTGAGTATCTAATAATTTTTAGAGTGAATCAGAATATTCTTTAGGGTCAGTAAAAAAGTCAAAATTTTATCTGAAAATCAGCGAAAAACAAAATTAATTTTTTGTGTCAACTCTGTATAAACATGAACAAAAACTTATCTATACTCAAACTGAAGCTAACAAAAAATTTTTCTTTTTCAGGCAAAGAATGGAGGCGTAGCTATGATTCCCTTTTATACGTATTTCATAACATGCAACAGCACAGCAACCATTAAAGACGTGATTGGTAAATGACTTTTTCTATCCTATCTATCAGAATTAAGTAGAATTTACAACAGAAAATAATCTTCTAGCAGCTAAAAAAAATATTTAGCTATTAAAATTATTTTACGACTATAAAAAGACATCTATATATACAAACATCTAAAAATAAATTTTTATACGAGAAAAATCAACGTAAAAAGAGAGAAAAAAAAATGATATGAATAGATGAGAAATTGCACAGTGTACTTTAGCTTTATCTCGTATATAAATTTTAACTGGGAATGCATGCTTACTTAACGTGGCGTTACATTTCAGCGCACATCAATCACGTAAGGAACGTGGCGGGCATCGATCACGTCGGCATAGGAGCAGGATTCGATGGAATAAATTTGTAACTATCACTGAACTAATCTTCTCTGCGATTACATATGCGAAATCGATTCGACAACGTAAATTACAATTGTTCTTGATTTTCCAGCACACCTACCGGCCTGGAGGATGTCTCCAGATATCCTCAACTCCTGGCAACATTGTTAGAAGATCCATTATGGACCGAGGAGGACATTAAAAAATTGGCTGGTCTCAATCTACTTCGAGTATTCGCCAAAGTCGAACAAGTATGTCTGTCTTTCAATACCAACTTTCGAAAATATTTTTTTCTTAAATCTAACAGTATACTTACTAGCAGGCTTCGTACTCATCTACTAAAACCTATTTACTATATTTTTTTTACGATTTACTAATATTTGGATATTTTTTTAGATTTGTGACACTAAAAACTTTACTTTTCTCTTTTCGTTTGAGAATCACCATAAAAATTCTTATAAACAATTCAAAAAATGTTTAATAAAATTCCTTGAGACGATTCAATTATTTTCAAAAATTGAAAACAAAAAATTTCTCGAGAATTAAATTATTTTTACAAATAATGAAATTCTAGGCTGAAATTCAATTATTTTCATTAATAATAACATTTCCACCAAAAATTTCAATTATTTCAATTACAATTTACAATTATAGTAAAATTCTTTCAATGAAATTAATTATTGTGTTTTCAATACAATTTTAAATTATTTTTCTCAAAAAAATTTAATTATCTTCAAAATTTGTAATAAAAACTTCAATTATTTAAAAAAATTATAGGTAATAAAAAATTCTTTGCAAGAACTCAAATATTTTCAGAGAAAATTTTAATTATTTGAAATACAATTTTTATAAAATGTTTCGAAAGAAATTATTTAAAACATTTTTATGAAATTCTCCGAAAAAAATTAATTATTTTTAATAAAATTTATATTATAAGAAATAAAATGTATTGAAATAATTTCCAATACAATTGTAATTATTTTTCTTAAAAAAATTCAATTTTTTAAAAGAATTGTGATAGAATTCTTTACAAAAATTCAATTATTGACAAAAAAAAATATATCCCAGGAATTCAAATGTTTAAAAAAAATTTAATAAAATTCGTTGCAAGAATTCAATTCTTTTCAAAAATAATAAAATTTTTCGTAGGATTTCAATTATTTTTAATTGTCAATTTTATCAAATTTACTTCAGCTAAATTTGATGTTTTAATGAATTTTTCATTCTTTTAATAATTAATTAATTTTTAAAGATGTTTAATTATTAAAAATTTGGTAAATAGGAAAAAAAATACAATTATAGTAAAATTCTTTGAATGAAATTAATTATTGTATTTTCAATACCATTTAAATTATTTTTCTCAAAAAAATTGTAGTATCTTCAAAATTTGTAATAAAAAATTCTTTACAAAAATTCAATTATTTAAAAAAATTGTAATAAAAAATTCTTTGCAAGAATTCAATTATTTCAGAAAATAATTTCAATTTTTTCCCAGGAATTGAATATTATTTAAAAAAATTTTAATAAAATTTTTTGCAGGAAATCAATTTGAAAGAATTCAATTATTTTCTTATATTCTGATAAAATTCTTTATAAAAAGTCAATTATTTTTTTATATTCTGATAAAATTCTTTATAAGAATTCAATTTAAAGAATTGATCAATTATTCAATCAATTACTTATTTTTGTATTTAAATAATTGAATTCTCGTAGAACTTTGTAAGAATTGATTTAAAAATGAGTTTGAGTTTTATATTTTAAATAAGAATTTTTTTACTTGATAAAAATTTTTTTTTAAATATATAATAGTATTTTTGAAGAAGTTTAACTAAAAATTTGGAAAATAATTAAAATTTAGAAAAATTTAGAATTGGAATTATTACAACGAAAAAAAAACGTAAATATTTTGATGGAAATTAGAAAAAATCAGGGAAATACTGAATCAATTCAAAAAATTTCTCTGAGACGATTCAATTATTTTCAAAAATTAAAAAAGAAGGAAATTTAGCAACAATTCAATTATTTTTACAAATAATGAAATTCTTGGTTAAAATTCAATTATTTTCAATATCTACTATTTTAATAAAATTTCACCAAAAAATCAATTATTTGAACAAAAATTTAATACAATTCTTCGCAAAAATTTAATTATTTTCATAAATAATATTTTCAGAGAAAATCTTAATTATTTGAAATACAATTTTTATAAAATTTTTGGAAAGAAATTATTTAAAACATTTTTTATATTTAATTTTTACAAAATTTGTTATAAAAAATCCAATTTTTTAAAAGAATTGTAATAAAATTCTTTGCAAAAATTTAATTATTGACAAAAAAATCTATCCCAGGAATTCAATTGTTTAAAAAAAATTTAATAAAATTCGTTGCAAGAATTCAATTCTTTTCAAAAATAATAAAATTTTTCGCAGGATTTCAATTATTGTTAATAAAATTTTAAATTAATACCTCGAAAAACGCTAGAAAATTTTATTTAAATTCTTTGAACTAAATCAATTATTTTTTAAAATCTAGATAAAATTCTTTATAAGAATTCCATTTTAATAAAAATTCAATTATTCAATAAATTATTTATTTTCATATTTTAATAATTGAATTCTCGTAGAACTTTCTAACAAGAATTGATTTAAAAATGAATTTGAGTAGAAATTCTATTCCAATTAATTGAAAATTTTGTCAAATTTAATTTAACTAAATTTCATCTTTTAATAAATAAATTATTTTTGAAGGAGTTTAACTAAGAATTTGATAAATAATTAAATTTTGATGGAAATCAGAAAAAGTCAGGGAAATGCTGAATCAATTCTTAGAAACAATTCAAGAAATCTTAATTAAATTTTCTGAGACGATTCAATTATTTTCAAAAATTAAAAATAAAAAATTTCGCAAGAATTCAATGATTTTTACAAATTCAATTCTTTCAAAAAATAATTTCAATTTTTTTCCAGGAATTGAATTATTTAAAAAATTTTAATAAAATTCTAAGCAAGAATTAAATTCTTTTCAAAAATAAAAAACATTTTCGCAGGATTTCAATTATTTTTAATAAAATTTTAAATTAATTCCTCGAAAAACGCTTGAAAATTTTATTAAAATTGTTTGAAAAAAATGAATTATTTTTTAAAATCTTGATAAAATTCTTTATAAGACTAGAATTTTAAGAAACATTCAATTATTCAATAAATTATTTATTTTTGTATTTAAATAATAAATTGAATTCTCGTAGAACTTTCTAAGAATTGATTTAAAAATGAGGTTGAGTTTAAATTTTAGTTTCATTAATTGAAAGTTTTGTCAAATTTAATGGAAGTTTTTGTATTTTAAAGAATTTTTTTACTTGTAAAATTTTTTAAAATATATAATGGTATTTTTGAAGATGTCTAACTAAAAATTTGGAAAATAATTAAAATTTAGAAAAATTTAGAATTGAAGTTATTGTCAAGATAAGAAAAAATGTGAATATTTTGATGAAAATCAGAAAAAGTCAGGGAAATGGACAATTTTTTTACTATTGTTTTTAGTCCTAAAGTTAATTTTGACTACTTTTTAAAATTAATCATCGAGTTCGAATCCTGCATTTGAATACTTTTCTTAAATCACAATCAGAAAAGAATATTTGTCATTAATATTGAAAAAAAAATCAATTTTCCAGATTCGAGACGAATGGCAAAGGGCAGCGGTACTACCAGTCGAGAAAATAAGCCCACCAGAGAATTCTGCCTGCGCATACAGAGCGTCCTGATCTCAAGAACTACTAACTTCAGGGACTCTGGATTAGGCTCATTTCGCCAAAAATAAAAAATGACTCTCGTGAGACCGACATTAATACAATCAGTGTGTCTTTGCGTACCGAGTGTTACGAAAAAATGGGAGAAACTAAATGACTTATTAAAAGGCAATAAGTCCGAGTAAATTTTTTCATAGACTCTAGTATCAAGAATTCTTTAAAATTTCCAAAAGAGTGCGACTTATCATCTTGCGAATTTAATTAAGAATTAGAAATAACAAGAATCGACGTTCCCCCCCCAAACAATTGTTAACTCCTCCTTTTTATAACAAAAAAAAAACCTTAATATTTTCTAAGCTGATTTTTTAAAAAAACAATTTTACACATTTTATTACTAGTGAAAAAATAAAAATAATTTAATATTTCACTTTTTATAGGAACATAAGTTTACATATGTGAACAAATAAATACCGGTTTTCTTTTTGTACCAAAAACATTTTTCTATTTTAACACTTAAATTCCGAATATAAGTACATGACACTATTCGGACTATTAGACAAATTAAAAAAATATGTCGAGTCTTGAAATTTCAAGTTTTATCAACAAAAAAAAATAACGACTCTTGAAAAAAATTACACGCGCATAATTAAAATCGTGATTTCTTAATTTTTAGATAGAATTAAAATATACACACGAAAGAGACCAAAATCGCCAATGTTCTTCAAAATAAAAAAAAAAAAACAAGATCAACATTTAAAAGATTCGAAAATTCAGGGCTACGAGTGCCAAAAAATGTTAAATCGTTTTTAATCAACACAGTATTATGAATTAGAAAAATGAAAAAAAAAACTTGACAGTAGCGTCGTATTTAGATAACAAATATTAAAATGAGCAGCATTTCATTAAACTCTTCGCATTTTTTCCTGCGAGAAATATTCAAAATGTTTATCTTTTTCGCAAAACAACTTTTAAACTTATTGTTTTTATATTAAAAGAAAAAAGAGAGAATTTTTAAAAAGTAGAAATACTGCTATTAACAGAAAAAAAACAGCACTGAATGAAATTAGAATAAATGATAAAAAAAAAGAAAAGAAATATGTTGTAGAAAAAGAAAAAAAAAATTATCTCAGTAGTTTTATCAAAGCACTTTTACCATTTTTGCAATCAGCTTTTGTGTACAGTGCGATTTGTTGAAAACAAGTAAAATATTGCTATTCATCTCTACAGTTGAAACAGTGCACGCAAATTACAAAAAAAAAACAATTCCAAATAGTAAATAAAACTAATAAATATTAATTTATGGTTAAAATATTAATTTATGGTTCACTTAAAACCAAAATTTTATTTTCGAACTAAAGAATTAAAATTTTTCTTTAAGAAAATGTTTAATTCTTTAGAAAATAAAATTCCGTTTCAGTAGAAAATTTTAATTTGAAATTTAAAATGTTAAAATTAAATTAAAATTCAAAAATAATTAAAATTTAAAAATGATTAAAAATTCAGTTCGAGCAATTTAAAATTAATTCATTATTTAATTAATTAATTTATTATTTCCTTATTTATTATTAATTTATTTATTCAACTTAATTTAATGTTTATTTTAAAATTAAATTCGACAAATTGTAGAAAGTAGAAAAGCAAAATTTTACTCAATCTGTTTAGACAAAAAACCAAACTATTAAATTGTATTGGTACTTGTCACCATAAACAAATTTTACATCATCGAGAACAATTTTTATACATTATTGATAAAAAAAGAAGACATCAATAATGCGTCCCATTTTTTAAAAGCGATACGTATACGTTTTTTGAAAATTGCAAAATACATAATTATGAATAATAATTCTACGAAAGAAACCAATAGAAATGCTATTTTTTAGTAGACAATGAAAGTGACATTTTTCATTATTTATTAACTTTTCCAAAAAGATTTCAAAAAAAATTCAAAACTAACACTAAACAACATTAAAAAAATTCTATAAAATTTGTAATTTCTACTCAAAGAAAGAATTCAAATGGAAAAATGAAGAAAAAAATGAGAAAATGAAGTGAAAAAATGAAATTTATAATTCTACAAATAAAAATATGCAAATAAGTAATGGCATTTTTAGCGAATGAATAATTGAAAAATTACTGCAATGAAATTTTCTGAACTTCATATCATAAGAGGCAGTACAATAAAAAAAAATATTTATTCAATAAATTGTTCCAAGCCACTTGTTTTTTTTTTTTTCTTAAAAAATTTTTCATAAAAATAATTATTGCGAGAAATTAAAAATAATTATTGCAAGAAATTAGAAATAATGATTATGAGAAATTATAAACAATTATTGCAAGAAATTATAAACTTGAGATTGAGTAAAATTTTCTCTAAGACTTTTTCAATAAAAAATTTTTTTCTATAACGAAAATGCAAATTTTTTCCCCAAACTAAGCAGAAAAAACTAACTAAAATATAAGTAGAATTGCAACAATAATAAAAAGAAAATTTCTTACACCATTTGATAAATAAGACATTAATTCTTTTGGTACCTGCACTGATCAATCAAAATTAAAATTTCATCGACAAACTAATCGCAAAAAATTACAATAAGTACACGCGAAATTTCCTTGAAACAATTTTTTTGTACATATTTCCAAAATTTTCATTCAACCACAATAATTTATTGTTATCTTATTTCTAATCGTTAAATTTACTAAAGAAAATATTGCCTATTTACTTTAAACTTGTTAAACAATTAAAATGTTATTTTAAATAAAAATGTTACAAACAATTCACAATTATACGTATAGAAAAATGTGATCCTGTTAAAGAAAAATTGTTCGTAACATTTCGATAAATCTCGAAATTTTTATTATCATCATCATGTTTAATAAAAAAAAAACTGTTGCGATTAATGTTATATGAAAATAAAAGAAAAAAAATTTCGATGAAATTCGTCAGGAGTGAAAAACTGGATAATCATTTTATTGAATGCGTGTTCGTTTACAAGTGAATGAAAGAATGAATGAGTGAATGAAAAAAAAGGAAAGAGGAAATTTATAGAAATTATTGTATGATAGAAAAAAAACTCGATTGTAAAGAAAAAATAAACCAAAAATTGGCACATAATAAAAAAATATTTAAAAAAAGAAAAAATAGTAATGAAAAACAGAAACAAATACTAAACAAAAAGAAGAAAAAAATACTAGTGAAAAGAAAAAAAAATACTAATTCAAAAAAGAAATAGAAATTTCTAAAAAAATGAGAAAAATACCAATAAAAACAAAACCATATGTAACAAAATGTGAAAGTGAATATCAATACTGTGCAGTGCCAAATTGAAAAAAATATACACCTATATTATGCAATATTCTCGAAGGCTCAAACAATATTTTCGAGAAACCCGTGTTCAATTTTTTTAAATTAAAAAAAAATAAATAAATAAAAAAATCAACGGGTTATGTGTTTTAGAAAAAAATGAAAAATTTTTGTTCGTAAGCACATACTGTAAGGGTGAATTATTCAAATGAGAGAGAGAGAAAAAGAAACTTTCAGAATAACCTCAACATAATTTTAATAACACACAACTGCCTAGATCTCAGATTATAATTATTATAATATTGATTATAATATATTAGGTCCAAACGCACAAAAAAACATGTTTGGAAAACTATACATACACCGAGGAAAAAATGATCCGACACAGAAATATTTCGTTTTCGAAAATAAAATATTTGGTCAACAATTGTGCAAGTGAACTGTTTTTCACTCAATCAATTATTTATTTAAATAAATAATTTAAATAAATATTTAATTAAATATTCATTTTCTACATTTGAATTAGTAAAAATCTAAAAATGTTTAATAATTTGAATTAGTAACTCACTTTTTGCTTCTGAATTAGTAAATTTTACTAATAAATAGTAATTTACTAATAAATAAATTTTTACTAATTTATTGGAAAATTTTACTAATAAATAGTAATTTTTACGGATTTATTGATCAAATTTACTAATTCAAAAGCAAAAAGTCAGTCACTAATTCAAATTAGTAGAAAATTTTTATTTCTACTAATTCGAATTTGGAAATAAATATTAATTCAATTGAAATTTAAAATTTAATTTCAGTCAGATTTTAAAAAAATTTACTTCACTATTAATTCAAGAATATTAAAAAGTCGAATCAATTTGTTATTTAATTATTTTTGGAGTCAAATTTTAAAAAAATTTACTTCACTGTTAATTTAAAAATATAAAAAATTCGAAATTTGTAATTTAATTATTTTTGGTGTTAAATTTGAAAAAAAAGTTAATTCGAAAACAAAAAGTAACTAATTCAAATTAGTAGAAATTTTTTATTTTTACTAATTCAAATTTGGAAATAAATATTAATCCAATTGAAATTTGAAATTTAATTTCTTTTCAATTTAAACAAACTTTACCTTATTTTTAATTCAAAAATAACAAATTTTCGAATGAATTTGTAATTTAATTATTTTTAGAGTCTAATTTAAGAAAAATTTACTTCACTGTTAATTCAAAAATATCCAAAATTCGAATCAATTTGTGATTTAATTTTTTTTTTGGGTTAAATTTAAAAAAAATTTAATTCAAAAACAAAAGCTAACTAATTCAAATTAGTAGAAAATTTTTATTTTTACTATTTCAAATTTGGAAATAAATATTAATTCAATTAAAATTAAAAATTAAATTTCTTTTCAATTTAAACAAAATTTACCTTATTGTTAATTCAAAAATAACAAATTTTCGAATCAATTTGTAATTTAATTATTTTTAGAGTCTAATTTAAGAAAAATTTACTTCACTGTTAATTTAAAAATATCAAAAATTCGAATCAATCTATGATTTAATTATTTCTGGAGTCAAATTTAAAAAAGATTTACTTCACTGTGAATTCAAAAAAATCGAAAATTCGAATCAATTTGTGATTGAATTATTTTTGGAATCAAATTTTAAAAAAATTTACTTCACTGTTAATTTTAAAATATAAAAAATTCGAATCAAATTTGTGATTTAATTATTTTTGGAGTCAATTCGATAGAATTGACTCCAAAAATAATTAAATCACAAATTGATTCGAATTTTTGATAATTTTAAATAATTTAATACTTTAGAAAAAAAAACCTCATAATGAAAATCACAACATTTATGTTCAACGATTGGAAGAAAAAAAATATTTTAAGCAGAAAACAATAAAATTTGTTTATACTTTTTTTTGTATTATTTGTCAAGAAAATATTCAATAAACACAAAAACAAAAATTTATAAAAAGAAAAATATTTGTCTTCTAAATTGTTGATTGTAAATATTCTAAACTTCAGCAGCGTTAAATTTTCACTTTGGAGAAGTTCACAACGTTTATAATCAACGATTGTAAAAAAATTTTTTTTTCAAGCAAATAACAATAAAATTTGCTGTTTTTTTTATATTATTGAGCAAAAAACTAATAAATTATCGGTTAAATAAAAATTTTCAAAAGTTAAAATAAAAAAATATTTTTCTCTAAATTGTAAACTTTACTAACGTTAAATTCTGTAAAGTTCTCAACGCTTTTGAATAACGATGAAGAGAAAAAATTTTTTCAATCAGCAAAAACAAAATTTGTTTATAAATTTTTCTTTTTTGTATTATTTGTCAAGAAACTATTTAAATCTCACCTAAACAAAAATTTATAAAAATTTAAAGAGAATTATATTTTTTGTTTGCTAAAGTGTTGAATTTAAATTCAACACTGACGTAAGAAAACTGTTGTTTCCTTATAGAGAAAGTATTTTTAATTTGAAATTGAAAAAAATAACAAAAATTGAATAAAAAAAAACGAAAATAGAATTAAAAATAAACTTGAATTAATTGGAAAAATTTAAATAAAAAAAATTTGCACAAATATTATTCAAATATTTTGTTATCGAAACAAAATTTTCAGTGAAACAGCCATGCAAGTGACATGCGAAATAAAAATCTATTGTACGTAATAATTTATTGTAAATTCCGAAATGTTAACTATTTTCAATTGTTAAATTTGCATTTTTCAATTTTTTTCAAATTTTATTCTCGAGACTCTCAATTATTATTTTTTTTTTATTAATAATTTATTAATAAAACTCTATTAAATATGGAATGTTTCGAGAAGAGAGAAATATAAAGAGAAATCAATATATTAAAATTTCATGTAAGAGATTATCAGTCTGTTAAAATATAATTTCCAAAAAATTAAATTTTATTCCCTAAATTACAATCTTCGCTCTATTATCTCAGTTTCCATAGGAAAAAGTAAACCATTTTCTATAACTGATTCAGAAAAATTCGATTCTTTATAGCGACAAATTAGAATAAAATTAGTAATTAATTTTTCTGAATCAGTTTCAAGTTTTTATCCTTTAGAAAAATTGTAATCGACACAAATTACCGAGAATAAAGTTAATATAAAAAAAAATTTATAAATATATATATTATATATTATATATGATGAAAGTTGACAAAAAAAATAAATGGCACTGGTAAGAACAATTATCAAAGCGATGTGTTATATGAAGTTTTAATAATAGCGAATGATGGTGGCAGAGAATATAACTCGCGGGATGTTTAAGTCGCATTTTGTGAAAATTGTGTATGGAAATTGTTTCAGTTTCCTTCGACGAGAGATCTCCAAAAAAAAGACGCGTAAAAACGAAAAATTTTACGTGTGTGACTTCTCAATCAAGATGTGAAATAAAAAACATATGAAGTACGAATGTACAGAAGTACAGAGAAAATAAATATAAGATTAGGAAATTTTAATAAATTAATTAAACATCAAGCATTATTTTTCATTCACATTCCTTCCCGAATTTTTTTTCTAGCTACATAGATAAAAATTGTTAAATGAAAAAAAAATTAAGAAGAAAATAAAAAAATAAAGAAAAAATTAAAATAAGTTTCTAATTTCTTTCTAGTCTTTATTTTTAATTAAATTTTTCGATCTTGTTTTTAAATTTACATTTTTATCGACTTTTTGAAAAAAATTTTCCCTCTTCTGGACAAGAATTCTTTGATAAAAATAAAATGCGAATATTTTTATAGATTTTGCAAACGTTTAAAGTGTATAATATAACACATTGATCTGCGTTTGCGTTTGCGCATTGAAATTGCTTTTGCAGGGTACAACAGGTGATGCTGGGAGCGGCAAGATTCTACCTTGATTTTTGCAATAATGCATCATTCACCCTCGTCCTCCGCGATTCGATGAAACCTAACCAAACCGTGTCGCGACTATCGGAAATGAAAACACAATATTCATCTCAAAATTTATCACTCAAATCAAAAATAATGTGACCTTTATGAGATGCAACAAGAATTTCGGATAATTATCATCATCTCACCATTTTTCCCATCGTCTGATTTCATGGATAACATAGACGCACCTTGTAAGTTCACTATTTACTTCTCTCCTAGAAATTTTAAACCCGAAATTTTAAAAACCAAATGTTTAGTGTTAGTATTATTAATTAACACAAGCTTTCATTTTTTTAAATTTTTAGTCAATTTTTAAAACTGGTTCAAAACATTAAGATAATTTTTTCTTGAAAATAAAATAGATATGCATTGTTATAACTGATTGGAAACCGATTAAAAAACTTGCAAAACTAACTGATTTGTTTGAATAAACTTTGTATTTGGGAAAAAGTGTCGAATGTATTTGGACGAAATGATAATTTCCCAAGTGCGTAGCATTCGAGATAAAATAAATCATCAGACTTTGGAACCAATTTGCTAAATTCTCTGACGTTTATGCGAAAACTACTTTTTCGAAATCTGAAATTTTCCTCAATTTCAGAACTTGTAGAATTTTCAGAAATGTAAAAATAACATAAAAATTATCAAGAAATATAAAAATCATCGCGAAATTTATAATAAATTCAGTGGAAGTAAAAAAGTAATAGGTGTTATTAATGACTTACATATTTCCGTTGCGCAAACCTTCGAAGCGAACGCACAAAAACTGAAACAAAAATAGAATCAAATTTTATGATAACACATGAAATACACGTTAAAAACAGTTATTACCTATAAAAATGAAAGAATCTGATACAGAATATACGAAAACCATTTTGTAAATTGAAGTAAAAATTAAATTTAAGTTAAATGATTAATTTTATAACCATTTCATCAATTTAATTTAATCTTAAATGTTTAATGCGAGGTATAAATGTGAAATGATAAATGATAAATGTTTAATGTTTAATGTTTATTGTTTAATGTTTAACGTTAAATATTTAATTTTCTTAAATGTAAATTTCAAGCAGTATAGTAAAATTTACGAATTTCGTGAATGTTTTTATTTTCCCAGTCGCATTATGAATCAAGGAGTTCCCCAATGTCATGGAACGCAGAGAAGATCTTGCGCTCCTGGAGCTAATTGGAACGTCCAGGTAATTTTTTCAAAACAATTTCGCACCTTAATTATATAATGCTTATAATTATAAATTTACAAATTTTGAAAATTTACTACCCTTTTATCTACAATTTTTACAATATAATATTGCAATCTTTTTATATATTCTCAACTCTGAACTATTTCCATATCTACATTATTCAAATTCCAATAACTGTCATGAAAGCATTCAATTAAGGAAAATTCGTTCCTGATTTTTCGAAAAACTAATTTCTCTACTGCGACACTTCTGCTCGATTTGACTTTTTTACGAGTATGCCAAAAAATTTTCATATAAATTATATTAATTTACTTATTACAGGGTTTCTACAAATTTCTCCTTAAAAAATTCCATGATTTCTAGATGATAAATGATAAAATTTCCATGACACATTAAAACAAAATTTTTATCAGTTAAGTCATGAAAAAAATTTTTTATCAGGGAAATTAAGAAAATTGAGACGACTTTTTCAACTTTTTTTCGAAACATTGCAACAAAATACCATAATTTTAAGTAAAAAAACTGCAACTTATTTTGATTTTTATAATGCAAAAAATAACTATAAACAAATCTTTCAAAAATTGTTTTTTAATAGTTAAAATTTTGTAAAACTTAATTGAAAATAATTACTTTATTTCGAGTGTTTTTTTACAATTTTCGAAAATCAACTTTTGAAGAATTTTAATTGCAAATTTTGAAAATAATCGAATTATCAAAAATTTTAATGAAAAATCTTTAAAGGTAAATTTAAAAATGAAAATACGCTTCTAATTTTTTAAAATTCAATATTTTTAATATTTTCAATTACATATTTCTAAAAATAATAAAATTTTAGAATTATTTTTAACATTTTTGAGAAAACAATAATGTTAAAAATGTTTAACTAAACTTCATCAAAAAATTCATTAGCTTTTTTTAAATTATACAAAAATTCCTTTAAAAATTATTAAATTAAATTATTTTCGAAAAATTACATTAATAAACTATTTTTAAAAACTAATTATTAGAATTGTTTTTGTAATAATTTTTTAAGATTCAAAATTTACTTTTTGGACATATTAAAATTTTTGAGAAATCATGATCCTGTTTATAATTTAAATTCTTCAAAAAGATCAGTTTTATTTATACTTTTCGAAAATTCAATTATTTTTTAAAGATTTTACCAAATTTTAATTGTTTGAAAATTTTTCAAAATTGAAAAACTATTATCGTTCAAAAATTATTTTAAAATATTTTTAAAAAATTAATTATAAGAATTTCTTTATTATAATTTTTTGAAAAAATATTATACCTTAATAACTTGAGAAAAAACTATGGAGAGTAACAATTATTATGAAAAATTGAGTTTATGTATTTTAAATAATTGAATTCTAGAAGAACTTTTGAAAAATTATTTAAATTAATTGATTCAGAGATGAAGTTTAGTTTAAATTTGAAAATTGTAGAAAATAATTAAATTCAGGAAGGGTTATAATTGTAATTTTTAGAAATTATTAAAATTCATAAATTTTACTCATTTTCCGTAAACATTAATATTTTCCTATTGTAAAAAGAATTTTGTGAGGGAAAGTAATTTTAATGTCAATAAAATTGATAAATTGAAACTTGTGACCACCCTGAGTAATAAAGGAGCGCGAATTTCAATCACACGGGTTTACAACAAAAACTAAAAAAATTCCATGAGATTTCCATGATTCCATAAATCAAAATAAAATTCCATGACAATTCCATGATTTCCAGGTTTTCCATGACTTGTAGAAATCCTGTTATTATTTATTAATATTATATTAATTTACTTCTTTTTTCTTAATAATATTTTACTTATACTATTTTATTTATTTATTTTACTTACAATACGAAATAAGTAAATTTTTTATAATCCTTAAGTTCTGAAGGTTCAAATGGAGGAAATTTATTTTTTCACTTCCGCAAACAAATTAATCGTAAAGTTTAAGATTTTGGTTTTCAGTTTTTATAGCAATTGGTAATAATTTATGAAAATACTTTTAGTAGAAAATATTTCGTTCATTTAAACTGTTTGAAAACTTGTAAATCAAACTTTTTAAAATTCATTTTTTTTCAAATTTTGAACTTCACAAATAAACGAAATTTTTTTCCGTTTCAATATTTTCTAAAATCGCTAAACAAAAAAAATAAAATAAAGAAAAATAAACATTTGCTTATTACATTAACTGTTTTAATTTAAAAAATAATTTTTTCATATAAAATAATAAAAATTAAAAAAGTATCGTCGTTCATTTAAACGTTCAAAACTTTAGGAACATTACTCTAAATTTGAGTTAGTAAAAATGTTCACTGATTTGAATTAGTGACTGATTTTTTGCTTTTGAATTACTAAAATTTACTCATAAATTAATGGAAATTATTATTTATTAGTAAAGTTTACTAATTCAAAATCAAAAATTAAAAATTAATGAAAATGTTTACTAAATTGAATTAATGACTGAATTTTTGTTTTTGAATTAGTATAAGATTTACCAATAAATTATTGGAAATTACTATTAATTAGTAAAATAAATAATTAATTAGTAAAATTTACTAATTCAAAAGCAAAAAGTCAGTCACTAATCATCCAAATTACTGCTCATTTTTACTAATTAAAAACTTAGAGAATAAAATTCTTCTCCTAATACACAATTTTCGCATTGAATGCTCATCTTTTACATATATGCTCTTTTTTTCGTCAAATCTTTCGAAATATTTATTATTTTAGGTTTAAGATAAGGTTACTAAAAATAAAAAAAAAATAAAATAGATTTTGAATCTTACTCTATTTCTTTATCTGCGTGTAATTAATTAGAAAACGAAATTAATGGGCCTTATCAGAGAACGAGCAATAAAGATTTATTGTTGTTCGTCAACAACGATGATGAGTTCAATAAATTAAACATTAACAGTGGGTAATTATATAAATTAAGCAGGTGGTGAGAAGCAAAAAGACTACTCGTTGCTTGTGGCACGCCTGTAAAGCTCTCGGCATAGGTCTTCTTCTAATGCTTTTAGGAGCTTGCATGGCTACAATAGGTAAATATTAGCTACTGATTGATAAACAAATTTTTCCTTAGAGAAAATTATTTTAAATTAAATCCAATGAATATTTTCTTTAAAAAAAATAAAATCTTTTTTTTATCAAATTGATATACGTTTTTTGTCTCAATTTGCTATCCTTAGAAAAACTGAATTTAAAATTAAAGGCAAAAAAATTATTCAAAATTTCAGACTAATGGAATAAAATTAGAAAATATAATTATTGGATAATGTAAACGATAAATAATGTAATGTATGATATACAATTATTAGAAAATACAATTAAAAATACAATTATAATTATTGGATAATATAATTATTAGAAAATATAATAATTAGATAATATTATCATTAGATTATATTATAATTAGATAATATTATTATTATTATTTTATAATTATTAGAAAATCGGAAAATATAATTTTCTCTAAAGGTTCGATCACTATTTACCAACAATTATAAATTTTAATACAAATTTACCCAATTATTTATTAATTACTTTTTTATAACTGTTCTTCACTTATTTTTATTAATTCTAAAAAAATTTTTATTCTAAAAGTTAAAAATTTTACGTTAACTTCATTTTTTTACAATTCACTTTTGATTGATTGGTTTTCCTTTCATTATACGCTGTAATTTTTCCAGCTAATTAACATTTATAAGAATGTTTTTTAAAATATGTTTTAAAATAAATTTTTTTACATAAATTTTTTAACATACATTTTTTAACATAAATTTTTTAACATTTTTTTAATATAAATTTTTTATTATAAACACCAAGCTTTTTTAAGTAAATTTTGCACTTTTGACAAATTTTTTTCCCTAAAATCTTTTTAGAGTCTAATGATGAAAAAATAACAATCGGCTCAACGTGCCAGATAACAATAAGTATTATTTACTTTTTCCCCTGTTTAAAAAAAAAATTTAATGTTTTTCTGAATATACTGTTCACGTGAAAATTGCTTTTTTAAATTTTCATCAGGATATTTTGCCGATCAGCTCTCTGAAGCTCAAGAAATCAGAGGCAATCGCACCATAAAGGTGAAAAACGAATCACGTGGATTTCATCTGAATAATTTAAGTTACGCTGGTCCGATTGTAATGGGAGTCGGAGGTGAGAAAATTTATGACAATTAATTTTTTCGATACTTTTACAATTTTTTTTTTATAAATTTCTAAATAATTCTTTTACAAAATTTTTCTAAATTTCTACATTTCTAAATATTTTTTTACGAATATTTCTAAATTTAGAACAAAAAGTTGACTATTATCTTTCCATTTGAAAAAGTTTTGTGAAACAACATGAATAGAGATACTAATGCTCCAAGTAAAATTAAATTTCCAATCGTTGAAAAAAAGAGGTTAAATGCAAAATGCGAACTCGACATCAGAGATGAAAATTGCACTCACAGACAATAGACGAATAATCTCTACTCGAGTGAAATCCTACCATTATTGAAACTAGGCCAAACATTGATTATAATTTAATTTCTCAATATGAAATTAAAAAAAAAATTTGCATTTTTTAAATAAATTCTAATTACAATATAATGTTATAAATTTTATTCCCAAAACAAGAGTTGCGAGAAAAAAAAAAGTTGCCTCCAGAGAGATTTGAACTCTCGACCCCTGGTTTACAAGACCAGTGCTCTAACCCCTGAGCTATGGAGGCTACGAGGAGTAGTTCGGAAATTACCACTGATCAAGTCATGCCTACTTCTTTATCTAATTCCATTACTCAAATCAACTAATATGACAAAAAAAACATTATTATTTGTTTATTAAAAATTGAAAAAAGACATTTTCTTCTCGAATTCAAGACAAGCGGGATTTTTTGATATTTTTGTGGCAATTTCAAACCTTTTTGAAAATTAACAAACCTATAAGAATATTTATTATGAAACGTGAAGAAATCGATCCATTTTTCATGTTTTATAATAATTAAAAAAGCCCAAGTGATAAAATCATTATTTTAAACTATAAGAATATTGTTTCTTGAACTTCTTCCACATTATTTTCTTCATTTCAATTCAATTATTATTTTCTAGAATTTTTGACTAAAATTCTTCTTTAAATCAGTTATTTTAAACAATTTTTGAAAAAGTTCTTTGAGAATTTTCTAATTTATTTCTAAAAATTCACGCTATAATGTTTTTAATATTCAAATATTATCTACAATTTTAACAAAAATTCATTTTTTAATCAATTTTCATTAGAAAATTCTACGAGGAATTCAAATATTTAAATAAAAAGATAAATAAGTTATTGAATAATTGAATGTTTCTTAAAATTGAATTCTCATAAAGAATTTTATCGCAACAAATTTTTAAATAATTCAATTCTTTTAACGAATTTGCATAAAATTGTATTGAAGATAATTGAAATTTTGCGATGAGTTTAATTATTTGTAAAAATAACTGAATTCTTCCAATGAATTTCATTGAATTTTTTTAAATAATAAAATAATAAAATTTTATTATTTATAAAAATAATTAAATTCTTCTAACGAATTTTTTTTTAAATAATTGAATTCTTTTGAATCATTTTATGAAAATTTAAAAGATTAATTAAATTATTTAGAATAATTTAATTGAAATTGTATAAAAAATAATTGAATTCCTAAAAGTATTATAATAATAAAATAATTGATTTATTTGAGAAAAAATTCATAAAAATTTTGTAAATAATTAAATTTCTGTGAAATTTTTATTATTTATGAAAATAATTGAATTTGGGAGAAAAATTTTATTACTTTTAAAAATAATGAAAATTTTGACGAGAATTTTTAAAAATTTTTTAACATAATTGAATTACATTTGAAGAATTGTATTACTTTTGAAAATAATTGAAATTCTGCAATCATATTTGTAACTTCTCCAAAACTCAATTTTTTTAGTGGTTTTAACTAAAATTCTTCTATAAATCAGTGTTTTTAATAATTAATTAAATATATATTTAAAAAAATGAACTCATTTCACAAGAATTTGAATTATCAAAATTTTACAAAAATCTAAGTTCTTTAAATTTCTAATGAAATTCATTCAAAATTTAAATTTTCTAAAAGTCAAAAGAATAGAAATTCCGTAAAGAAATTTATTAAAAGTTTTAAAAATAATTGAATTTGGATATTTTATTAAAATTGTAAAGAAAATAATTGAATTCTTGCAGAGAATTTAAAACTAATTTAAATTCTGCAAGTAAATTTATTAAACCTTTTTAAAATAATTGAATTCTTTTGAGAAATATTATTGAAAATAATTTGTATTTAAATAATTGGATTTTTACAATGATTTTTAAAATACTGAAATAATTTTATTTGTAAAAAGTTGAAATGCTGTTAAAAAATTTTAGGAGTTATTAAATTATACCAAAAAAATTATACTTAAATTCATATAAAATTCAAATTTTGTGAAATTTATAAAGTTGAAACGTTTTAAAAATAATTTATTTACGAAAATTGTAAATGCAACTCTTATAAAATTCTTATCAGGGAGGCCACTTTTTTCATACAAAAAAATTCACGGTCATTTCCCTGTCATAAAGAATAACTCTGAAAATAAATTATTCCATGAATGATTGAAAGAATTACCTGCTTTTTAAACAAAAATTTGACTTTTTCTCAAACCCTAAAAATATTTTAGTTTACTCTAAAAATAATTGAAACTCCAAAATATGTTTATAATACATTTTTTTGAATTTCTTTAATTGTAAAATCATTTGGAACTTAAATAGATTTTTTGAAAAAAATTATTAATTATTATCCATTATTTTTCTATAGATTAAGATTTTAAAAAAAAATTCAAACTTCAAATCATTTAAAATAGAATAATTTTTAAGAATTGCTACTGTAATTTATTAAAAATTATTTTCAAAATTTCAATTCAATTATTTTATAGAAATTTTAACTAAAATATTTCTAAAAACCAATTGTTTACAAGACAATTTCAGGAAATTTTGAATAATTTAAATAAAATTCAAATATAACTAATTTGAAAAAAAATTTGAATAAAAATATTTCAAAAAACTAACTTATTCAGAATTTTTAATTAAAATCTTTTATAATTAAACTTTTATAAAACTTCAATTTGAAACTTTTTAAAACTCAAGTAAAGAAATTTTATTTATTTTTACTTTTTATTTACTTTATTTATTATTTAAAAATTAATTTTTATAAATTTCATATGACTTTTTTCTAATTAGTTCAAATTTTTACTAATTCAAATTTGTTTTGTTATAATATTATTGCAAAAAAAATTTTAAAATTGATTTAATTTTCACTATTTTATAGGATGTGACATTTTTTCTCTTTCAGATTTTTTCGAAGCATTTAATTAAAATATTTTTCCAGTAATACTTTCGATAAAAGTCTCCGTCAAAATAAAACGATTTTATTGTGATTTTATTAATTTACAATTTTATTTTATTCAATCTTTTTTAATGAAATATAATGAATAAGTCTTATAATAAATATTTTTTATTTTTCGCCTCGACTAGAACAGATTATTGACACTGTCTCATTTATTTTTCAAACAGGATTCATCGTCGTCGCCGCTTGTGTAATGACATTTGAAGCGCGAGACAGTGCAGCAAAAGTTGGACCAGCTCGATCGCGATTAAATCAAACAGCTTCGATAAAACACACGAAAAGTCAAAGAAATCGCAAATCAGTTCCCTGCCAAGCATCAAAATGGGACCAACAACCGGGTCTATTTCGAACTCCCAGTCCCAATTCGCAAGACGTTACGAAAAAACAATTCACATCGGGTGTCATTGACTTTTCTAAAGAATCCAACGAAAATGACAATTCACATCCAACAATAAAGAAAAGTCCAAGTGCACCGACCCTTGTAGAAAAGAAACCACCTCGACAAAGAGCGCCAAAATTTTCTGGTTGCGCTCTTCTTAATCCAGAATTATTACAAAGATACGCTGCCTCAGTGGATAATCCTACCTATAATTCTCAGGTAACAACATCAAATATTTAAAATTCCCTTAGTTATTCATCACCGCGCCGTCTGTATTATTCGAAAATAGTCTCATGAATAAAAGTTAAATAACGATAATCAGTAAACCGATAATATGGAGTTTTGCATAACTTTTAATACTGAAATAAATACACCGAACACCGAAACATTAGTAGGTTTTTTCTTATTAATTTAGTTGAAAAATATTGTTAAAATGAACGAATTACTTTATTGGAAATATTTTTATTTCTGTTTAGAAAAAAAATAACTAATTAATACCTTTTATCGTCGTCAATATATTCGCAGACAATCAAAGAGAATTTAGAGCAACAGCAAAAGAATGGTAGTCAAGTGTCAATGGCAATGGATTTGCATTTTCCGAATAAAGGTCCAGTTACACTAAAGGTGAAGGACCGTAGGCGGCAATTGGAACGTCAGACAAAGATCGAAGACCTCGAAGAGGTCAACGAAGCTAGAAAAACGGAAGGAATTCATTCACCACAATTACCTAGTAAACATTTCTTCCATTCACGATGAAAAATAATCATAAATTCGAAATATCAATTTTCTAAATAATCATCACACTGTTAACTTAATAATATTAAAATTGTATCGAATTGATATCAAAAATGTGGATTAAATCAAAAATTGATCCAGATTTTTGGTATCAATTCGCGTTGCAATTTGATACTTTTATGTTAACAGTGGATGATTCAGAAATATAATTTCCAATTTCCAACGAATTGATACCAAAAATGTGGATGAAATCAAAAATTGATCCAGATTTTTGGTATCAATTCGCGTTGCAATTTGATACTTTTATGTTAACAGTGAATGATCCAGAAATATAATTTTCAATTTCTAATAAAACACTTTTAACAATTACAGGTGTTTACAGTAGATTTCCTGAAGATTTTGTGCCTAGAAAACGAAACTCGATAGACTTGAGAACATTGGAAGAATTAAATTTAAAGGATTCCCTAAAGACTTCACCACGTGATTTTCGTAAAGTTTCGTCGCCAAATTTTCGTAAAATGTCTTTCGATAGATTAGGAAGTGATCGTCGATCCGAAAGATCTTTGGGCTCCCGAAAGGCTAGTTTAGATTTTAAAAGAAGTCCAGATTTTCGAAAACATGATTATAGGTAAGATTCCAAGAATTAAAATGATTCTTTCCAAACTTCGCACACTCGATAATTAATTTTAAAAAAGTACCTTTCAAACTAACAAAAAGTAGTAAAAAAGTAACTAAAACGAAAAATTAAACTTGACAACCAAAAAAACGTTTTTTCACTTCACAAAACTGACAAAAATAACATTCCATATTTTTGATTTTCCAGACTTTTTCCTAATTGTCATCAAAAATATTTACTTCTTTCTTATCCTGTTAATAAATTTAATCCCTGCAACGAATTTTATTATCCATACAAATTTATAAAAATAATTTAATTCTTGCAACGAATTTTATAAAAAAATTTAAATAATAAATTTCTTCAGAGTAATTTTATGCAAATTCTAATTTAAATAATTGAATTCTTGAGAAATTTATATTATTCATGAAAAGAATTGAATTCTTACAAAGAATTTTACAAAACATTTTTTAAATAATTATTGAATTCTGTTTGGAAATTTTATGAAAATAGTAAATATTTAAAATCATTAAATTGCGAAAAATATTTTTAAAATAATTAAATTTTACAAAGAATTCTATTAAAATTTTTGAGAATAACTGAAAGTCTGTGTGGCATTTTATTAAATTTCTTTGTAAAATAATTGAATTACTAGAAAGCATTTTATTATTTATGGAAATAATTGAATTCTTGCGAACGATTTTAATAGAATTTTTTTAAATAATTGAATTTTCAAGAAGAATTTATTACTTTTAAAAATAATTGAATTCCAGTGATGAATATTGTTAATATGAAAATAATTGAATTTTGCAAAGAAATCTATTAAAATGCCTTAAAATAATTGAATTTTGCAAAGAATTTTATTAAAATGCCTCAAAATAATTGAATTTTTGTGAATAACTTTATTATTTATCGACATAATTGAATTCTTTAGAAGAATTATTTATGTAAATAATTGAATACTTGTAAAGAATTTTATTATTTATGAAAATAATTGAATTATTGCGAAGAATTAATTAAAATTTATTAAAAAGTTTAAAACGAATTGAATTTCTGTGAAAAGTTTTTGTTATTTATGAAATAAATTGAATTCTTTTGGGAAATTTTATTAAAATAGTAGAATATTGAAAATCATTGAATTAAGAAAATTTTTTTGAAATAATTGAAATTTTGCCATGAATTTTAATACAATTTTTGAAAATAATGGAATTTTATTACTTTTAAAAATAATTAAATTCTTGTGATGAATATTGTTATTTATGAAAGTATTGAAAATAATTGAATTTTGCAAAAAATTTTATTAACATGCCTAAAAATAATTAAATTTTCGGGAAGAAATTTGTTATTTATCGACATAATTAAATTCTTTCGAAAAATTATTTATGTAAATAATAAAATTCTTGTGAAGAAATTTATTGAAATCTAAAAGAATAATTGAATTATTTTAAAAAAATTAAATTAAAATCGTATAATAATTGATTTCTTTCTAACAAGCTTATTAAAATATTTAAAAATAATTGAATTCTTATGAAAAATTTTAATATTTTTGTAAATAATTGAATTCTCCCAAAGAGCTTTAAAAAAACATTTTTTTAAATAATTGATTTTTTCGAGGAATTAAAATTAAAGTTTTAAGAATAATTACATTCTTGAGCAATTTCTGTAAAATTGTATTAAAAATAGTTGAAATCCAGAGATGAATTTTATTATTTATGAAAATAATTGAATCCCTGCAGAAAATGTTATTATTTATGAAAATAATTTAATTTCTGAGAAGAATTTTATTATTTTGAGAAAATAATTGAATTATTGCGAAAAATGTTATTAAAATGTTTTAAAAAAATTGAATTTCTGTTAAAAATTTTGTTATTTTTGAAAATAAATAAATTCTTCCTGAAAACTTTATTTAATAATTGAATTATTTTTCTATTGATTAATTTAAAATAGTATTAAAAATAATTGAAATTCTCGGATGAGTTTTATTATTAATGATAATAATTAAATTCTTTTTTGAAAAAAGATCCTAAAGTTCTGAACGTTTAAATGAACGAAATTTATTTATTTCTTTTACAAATTAAAATTTTAATGCAATTATTTTGCGTCACTATCCAAAAAATTAATAACTGAGTTTCTAACCGTAAATATTTCAGTTTTTAAATTTTTTGTGATTAGTAATTTATAAAAATATCTTCAATAAAAAATATTTCGTTCATTTAAACGTTCAAAACTTGGGGATCATTTTGAAAATGCTATTCTAAATTAATTGAATTCCTCTGGAAATTTTATTATTTATGGAAATAATTGAATTTTGGATGAATTTTATCAATTCTTTTTTAAATAATTGAATTCTTTTGCGAAATTTTATGAAAATAGTAAATATTGAAAAGAATTGAATTTCGAATATTTTCTGAAAATAATTGAATTTTGAATATATTTTGAAAATAATTGAATCGTTTTAAAGAATTTGATTATAATTTTTGAGAATAGTTTTTTGATTTCTAGTTATATATATATTAAAAAAATTTTCCAGAGATTTTGAATTTAAATAGTCAACTGTTTCAAACGTTTTTTTGCCTCAATTTGATATTCTTAAAAAAATTGTCAATAAAAATAGTAAAATTAGTGCCAATCTTCATCACTAAAAGCCTCAAAAAATAGCATCGACGCTTATTTCAAAAACCTTTAAATAATATCAAAAATAATTTGGAATATTATTATTATTATTATTAATATTAAAAATAATTTCAGAAAGTACTCGATCGAGAGATTCACAGCAGATTGCGCGAAATATCTGCAGGAGGAAGCAGGAAATGCATCAATAACAGCGAGTGGAGAAAATTTACGAAAACAAAAAATGATGAAACTACATCATTCAAGATCGGACGATAGAAGAAGATCCTTCGACAAATTTCGCGGCGAATCACAATGCAGTAGATATTCCCTAAATGCACCGGAAAACGAATTAAAATACTTTGCATCATCCCTAGACACTGAAGCATCAGACGACAGTCGAGTTATTGATTTCGATGATCAGGAATTAACAAATTTATCACCCGATGCGATACCAAGTGCACTTGTGGAGGAACCTGAACTTGAAAATCTCACCGAAACAACAGAGGAAAGTCAAAGATTTTCAATAAAAATACGAAACACTAACAATACTCCCAAAGTAAAAAATGAAAATATCCGAAATCTCGAAGAAGCGGCTAATGAAATTGAAATTTACGCCGATGATAATGAAAGTGAAACAAGTGTTCGTGATGACGATTCATATAAAGGATAATTGCAAATGATGAATAATTGTTTTTCCGTCGTTAAAAAAGAAAAGCTAATCTCTCCTAAAAAAAAGACGAGGAGAGCCCGAGATTAGTTTGGAAATTCAGAGCTTAAGTCCATATAAAATATATAATAACCGAATATCTAATTTAAAAATAAATTCTAAAAAAGAACTTAATTTTTATTTCTACAGAAAGCAGAATATTTTTCAATTCTGAATTATACTCAAAAAAACGACTTGAATTTTTTGACAATTATTTTACACTAACTTGTTTTTATTTTCTAACCGAATTCTCAAATCTAAAAACAACGAGCCTAATTGTTAAAAATTCCTTTTTCTACTATATTGGAAAGTATCAACTAAAAAACAATATTACGCAAGAATATTGACAATTAAATGAGTCAATTCTAATTTGGTGCTCTATCATATTGTATCAATTGTTTCCAAACATAAATATCATTTTCGTCAATTATAAAAAAAAGAGAAAAAAAAATGTAGCCAATAAATTTATATCAGCGGAACAAGATTAGAATTTCCATCATTTATTGCTCAATGGAAAAACAATAATAAAAAATGTAGCTCAATTAATAAAATTTTTGAATTGCGTTTTGTATCGAGACAATCTTTCTCGTGGCGTTACCTGACGGCAATAACAGATAAGATTATTATAGAAGATATCGGACTCTATAGGTAACCGTATAAATAATGTTTGAAGAGTGGCCTCACAATTTCTAAAACTATGTAAGAAACAACACTATATTTACTTTTCTTGTTATCATTTTTAAATTATACTTTTTACTCCAATTTTTTCCAAGCATTTTTAATAGAAATTTTAATAGAAATTAAAATAAGTCACCTTTCTGTTACAATAAATTACATTTCATTAATTAGTCAATTAACACGATTCACAAGTTCCAAACGTTTATATGAACGGAATTTTTTTTACTACAAATATCAAAAAAATCCAAGACTTTCTTATTTTTGATGAGAATGTAAAAATTACCGACTTAAAAAAATAAGAATTCAAAAAGCAAAAACAAAATTATTATTTAGAATCTTTATAATTTTTTTAACGCGTTATTATTGCAATAAAATTTAGATTCAAAGAACAAATAAATTTCCTTCATTTGAACGTTCAGAATTTCAGGAAAATAATGAACTAATTTTCAGACTAATTAATTATGTGTTATTGTTTAATTTAATTGTTAATTCAAAATAATTATGATTTCTGAACGTTTTTTTTATCAAATAGTAAAAATAGTTTATGAATATTTTTCGCAAAAAAAAAGAATCACAAATAAATGAACAAAATACGAACTATATTTTCTTAATTTAAGTAGATATTTTTTTATTCAAACTTTTCTTTTCGAAAGTAGTAATTTACACGTCTCTGACTATATATATTTTTGTAGTAAATCTAGTCTTCAGCCTTATTATAAAAAAGGTGTCAATAAATAAATTAAAAAATAATAAATAATAAATAATTAAATAAAAGAGTAAAAAAGAAATAAAAAAATAGAAAATAACGATAAGAAAAGAATTAGAGAAATGTACAAATTTTTTTTACTTTTGAGCGAACAAAGTTCAAAATGTTAACATATTGTTGATTTTTACCCGTCGATTTTAACGGCAAGACTTTATACATCCTTAATCTCTCTAAACCTTGACCTAATTTGTCAAAATAATAAAATTGTTCAACAAATAAAATGGAAAAAAGCCAAACAGAACAATAAATTTATCAACTAATACCCAATTTACACAAATTTCGAAACAATCAATTTTTTCAATTTTTATAATTTAAAATCAAAAAATTACTTTTCAGAAAATTTTCATAATTTCAGGAAAAAATTAAAAATTTTTAGTCAAACCTCCGAATATGTTTTTGGCACAACCTTCCATTTTTAATATATATAATTAAACATATATATCTTATATTGAATATAAATAATAAAAATAAAAAAAAATGAATAGTGCAATGAACTATTTAAACACGTCATGGCAATACGTATATAATCAATGTTTGCGGAAGAAATAAGACAAACATAAAACAAACTGTGATTAATTTGTAAACGACGTACGATCTATATTGAAAAATGTAAGACGTGAATTAAAAGACCTAAAAAGTTAAATCATTTTCCGATTCTTCGATTCTATAAATATATCTATAAAAATATATATACAATTAATGTTGTTATAAAAATTCACGTTTTGCAATTTTTTTTACCTGATCGTATTTAAATGTTATGAAAAAATAAAAAAAAAACCAAAGTTGCATTGTCTGTTATCGTAGTATTTTTAAACTGTTGGCTAAAAGCATCGTAATAATAAATAATAATAATATAATTATTCTAATAACAATAATCGAGGATAGAAAATTCAAATGAAAAAAACAAAAAAATTATACGCTCTTAACTGGACAAAATTTTGTCATAATCATGTAAACTCACATGTATTTAATGTAATCTTTGCATGCTGATTGTTGTGACATATCAATAAACAAATTGTATCAAAACATTTTTAATTAATTACTAACAACAATTCGCACGCTAAAACAACATCTTACTACCTTTTTTAAATAAAATTCGCAAATTTTAAAAATAATCGATTTTCTAATTTAAATTTTTGTTGAAAACACTAAAAAAAATTCAATTTTGGAGAAATTACAAATAATTGCAAAAATTCAATTATTTTCAAAAAAAAAAAATAAAATTCTTCTTATAAAATTTAACTATGTTCAAAATTTGAAAAAAATTCTTGTGAATTTTTCAAATTATCAATTTCAATTATCAATTTTCAATTATCTTTATAAATAACAAAATTCTTCTCCAAAGTTCAATTATTTTTATAAATGTCAAAAAAAATTATTGTCCTAATTTCAATTATTTTCAAAAATAAAATGCATTTTTCTAATTTCAATGATTTTCAATATCTACTATTTCAATAAAATTTTCCAAAAAGAATTCAATTATTTAAAAAAAAATTTTAATAAAATTGTATGCAAACATTTAATTATTTTTATAAATAATAAAAATTTCACCCAGGAATTCAATTATTTTCATAAAAAATAAATTTTTTTTAAGGAATTCAATATTATTTTCATAAATAATAAAAATTTCACCCAGGAATTCAATTATTTTCATAAAAAATAAATTTTTTTTAAGGAATTCAATTATTTTCATAAATAATAAAAATTTCACCCAGGAATTCAATTATTTTTATAAAAAATAAATTTTTTTTAAGGAATTCAATTATTTTCATAAAAAATAAATTTTTTTTAAGGGATTCAATTATTTTTATAAATAATAAAATTTTTTTAAAAAATTCAATTATTTTCATAAATAATAAAAATTTCACCCAGGAATTCAATTATTTTCATAAAAAATAAATTTTTTTTAAGGAATTCAATTATTTTCATAAAAAATAAAAAATTTTTAAGGAATTCAATATTTGCATAAATAATAAAAATTTTTAAGGAATTCAATTATTTTCCTAAAAAATAATTTAAAATTCTAGAAAATAATAATTGAACTCTAAAATGATGAAAATAATTTTGATGAAGTTACAGTAACAATATTCTTATAATATAAAATAATGATTTTATCTCTCTGTCATCTTTAATTATTAGAAAACATGAAGAAATCGATCACTCCGAGTCTTCGACTCGGAGCAATCGATATCTTCAGGTTTTATAAAAATACTTTTATAAGTTGTTTAATTTAAAAAAGATTTGAATTTTAAATTTTTGAATGTCTTAATTCCTGTGGAAAATCTTGTTTCAAAAATAAGATTAAAAATAGAAATTGTGCAAATATTTTTCTTCTTTTTCTAAAACAAAATAATAATTTTGTTAAAAAAATTGTGATTCATAAACAAAAATAATGCAAAATAAATAAATTTTCTATTTCTTAATCACAGTTGTTTAACAATTTTCTAATTTTGTTTAGTAAAGAACAAAAATCTGCATAATTTCAATTTGACAAAACGTAATATTTAACAAAATTTCAGTCTTTTAATGAAAAGAAGTGAAAAAAAATTCTGATGATTTCTATTTGTCATTACAATTTTGAATTAATTATAAAATAAAAATAATTATAACATAATAAAATAATATCCAATGTATCTAAAAATAACAAAAAACAAAAGTATAAACAAAAGACAACTTCAGAGTGTGAGGGACAGACAAAGTGAATGAATGAAAGAACATTCAAATTATTATAGTTATCTAATTAATTAATTAATTTCAAAATTTCAAAATATTTTATATAAATTAAAATAATAAAAAATAATAAAAGATGAAAAAATTGTACAATAATAGTAAAAACAATAATAATAATAATAACAAAAAACAATAATAATAATGAAAGAACATTCAAATTATTATAGTTATCTAATTAATTAATTAATTTCAAAATTTCAAAATATTTTATATAAATTAAAATAATAAAAAATAATAAAAGATGAAAAAAATTGTACAATAATAGTAAAAACAATAATAATAATAACAAAAAACTATAACATTAAATACAATAATTTAAATGATAAAAAAATGTTGCAAAATAAATTTAAATAATTATTTCAATTACTTAACCCAATTTCGAATTTAATTTAATAATTTAATTGCAATTTTCAGATTTGCCAAAAGTTTTGAACGTACAAACGAACGAATATTTTTTTCTAGTAAAATAAATTCAAAAATAATTACTTGAATAAAAATGAACCACAAGTTTTAAATGTTTAAATAAACGAATTCTTATTCGTTATGTAAATAAAAAATTATTATTCGTCTTACAAATAAAAAAAATAGAAAAAAATTCATAAACAAAAATGAGAATTTTAATTTAAAAACTTTAAAAATGAATTCTTTACATAGTGTGACGCAAAATTCATCATTATCTTACCGGAAAAAAGTATATCGTCAGTCGATAATATTTAAAATAATCGGTAGAATTCGTCGGTAATAAGGAAGTGGGTGACAGGTGTAATGAGCAGGTGGGAGTAACAAGGGTAACGAACAGGTAAGCGAGAGAGGAGGGAGCTTATCAAATAAACAGACAGACAGTAAAGTTGCGGGCAGTGAAACCTTTAGTAACTCGCCGATCGCCATTGTGTCCGTTCACGTCGGAAAAATGCAACTCAATTATTTATAGAAAAAAAAAAAGAAATAATAATGAATTTATTGTCTATTTTCCACTTTAATGGAACCATAAAAATAAAATTCTGGTGAATTTAATTAAAAATCAAGAGGAAAAAAATATTTTTTTTAATTACAAAGATGACATCCGAACGGTATCACAAGTAAGTTTTTTTTCACTATAAAAAACAAAATAACTACCTTTTTCAATTAAGTTTTCTAGTTTGTAACACTTGACGCTTTTCCGGGTGACGATCGAACTAATAAATCTGGCACTAATTAAAATTAACGTGGTATATCTTTCACGTGATTTTTATTTAATTTTTGTATACGTTACTCATCCATTCGATCTATTTTAATCTGAAATCTACTTTCAGTTTTTGAACTGTTTTAACTCGCAATTACCGTTATTTTCTTACTATTGTTATTAAAAATTGTTATTATTAATCATTGTTATTACTAACCATTGTTATTATTAACTATTGTTATTATAAACAATTGTTATTATTAAAAATTGTTACTACTAACCATTGTTATTATTAACTATTGTTATTATAAACAATTGTTATTATAAAAAATTGTTATTACTAACCATTGTTATTATAAACAATTGTTATTATTAACATTTTTATTATTACTAATTCTTATTATTAACAATTAATAGTAAAACAATTAATAATTACGATTATTGTTACATTTATTGTGATTTTTATATCAGTATTATTTTTTGTTATATTTTATTTGAAAATTAAACTATATTTGGAATCATTTTAAATGAATTTGAAATTATTTAAACTATTTTCGAACTATAATTTAAACTATCTAAACAAAATTGCCATTAATAAAATCAAACGTTATTTAAAAGAATATTTTCCAAAATAATTCTCAACAGTAAAATATAAAAATAATAATAATAATTAGAAAGATAAAGATTTGATTAAATTATTTTTTTTCAAAGTCGAAAGACTGGTTAAACAAAATTAGTAACCTACATAATTGCGCTTTTACCTGAAGTAAAACTATTTCAAGTTTCCTTTAAGGTAAACGTTTGACGTGAAGAAAGAAATAAATTGATTTCATTATGGAATATTGAAGATAGATCAGGTTTTAATGAAATATTTCCAACATTAAGTATGACATTACATTATTTATCTACCAAAATTGGCAATAATTAATCGCCAACCATTTAAGAAGAAATAAACTAGAAATAAATTAAATGCAACGATAAAATATAGTAATTTTTCTACATGAAACGATAAAATAAAGTAATTATCTATATGACACAAATATAGTAGTTTTCTACATGAAATAATAAAGAATAGTAATTTTCTACAAAAAATATGGTAATTTTCCATATGAAAGAATAAAATATAGTAATTTTCTACATCAAACTATGAAATACAGGTAATTTTCTGTAATACACAATTGAATATAGTAATTTTCTACCAAAAAAAAACACTGAAATCTAGTAATTTTCCATAATGAATGTATAATTTTTAATAAGTACTTTCTTGACGATGAGAATGTAAAAAGAGGGAACCATGTCTGTAATATGAGTACACACAGTTTGCTACAGAAAATCGATGATACCTACACGAAAATGTCAGAATACCTTTCATTTGAACGATCGTTACCCGGAAATGAAACGTCTCCTAAGAAACTCATTATAACACTGCGCCATGTTTAAAGAGATCATTACACTGTTTGCGAAACTAAAAAATCTTAACCAAGTCCCATTAACTCTCCTAATTGTCTTAATAAATGGTAGAAAAAAAATTATTATAATCTCAAATCTCTTAATAAAGAAAGTTTATTTTTATATAAATAAACCAAATTAGAGGTAAATCTAATTAATAATCTAATTATAAGTAAATCTATTTCAATTTAAATCAATTCAAATCGTTTTAAATCATTTTAAATCAATTATATCAATTTAAATCAATTATATTAATTTAAATCGATTTAAATCAATTTAAATCAATTTAGATCAATATAAATCAATATAAATCAATTTAGATCGATTTAAATCAATTTAGATCAATTAAAATCTAATTTAACTTTTATAATATACGAAATCTCTCGATAAAATCATTTAACAACGCAAAATTCCAATTTAAAAAATTAGTAACAAAACTCGTCATAAACTTGTCACTTATCGTGTCTTCGCATTGATAAGCTTTTTTATCAAAAATCTTTTAATCTCTTTCGATTTATCAGATTCGCATAAAACAGTTATTTCATTTTAAATGACTCATTACAAATCAACATAATATAGACGGAGAGAGTTAAATATACATTTCAATAATTTTCCCAAAAACAAATATAAAAAAAAATTTTTTAAAAAAATTATTTGCATTAAACAAGACGTGAATATAATGTTGAAACTTTTATCAATGGATTATGTTGTTTGGAAACGAATATTGTCAAATGCACTGAGCCTATTCACGATTTCCGTACCATTAAATTGGCTTTGTTAAAGTACCGGAAACGACAGCTCACGTGACACTGTTGGGTTAATTAGTGACATATAATTATGGAAAGTAAAATCACGAGAAAAGGAGAAAATTTTATTCATTATATTGAAATGAAATCCTTTTGATCCGAATTTAAAAAAAAAACTATCCTAATAAATTATAGTAATTATAATAATAATAAAAATAATAATCATAAAATAATAATAATAATAATAATCATCATAAAAAAAAAATAATAATAATAATAACAAAAACCTTAAACAGGGTGGACACATGTCAGTAAAGTCAGTAAAGTCTGGAAAAAGTCAGAAAAACAATTTTTTGTCAGGGAAATTTAAGAAATTGAGATTTATTTCGACTTATTTTCAAAAATTGCGACTTTCTCGACTTTTCTTCCAAATATTGCAACAAAATATCATATTATTCAGTATTAAATGTAAATCATTTCGATTTTTATAGTGCAAAAAATAACTATAAACAAATCTTTCAAAAATTATTTTTGAATCATTTTTCTACTTAAATTTTTGAAATATAAATTTAAAAAGATTTTGAATAATTGGAATTTTGTCAAATTTAATTGAAAATAATTAATTTTTTTCAAGTATTTTGTTAGAATTTTTGAAAATCAACTTTAGAAAAATTTTAATTGCAAATTTTCAAAATAATTGAATTATCAAAATAATTTTAATGAAAAATCTTTAAATGTAAATTTTAAAATAAAAATTAGCTTCTAATTTTTTAAAATTCAGTATTTTCAGTACTTTCCATTAAATATTTCCGAAAATTTAAATAAATACAAAAAATAATTATATTTTAGAATTATTTTTAACATTTTGGAGAAAAAAATTATGTTAAAAATATTTAATTAAAATTCATTAAAAAATTAATTAGTTTTTTAAATAATACAAAACCTCTTTTAAGAAATTCAATTGTTTTCGAAAAATTACATTAAAATATTTTTAAAAACTGCTTAATTCTTAGAATTTTTTTATCATAATTTTTTATGATTGAATTATCTTCGAATAAATCATGGTCATATTTATAATTACAATTCTTCAAAAATTTGATTTTTTTATTTTTTGAAAATATTATACCCTGATAAGCTTAAAAAAAGATGGACTGTTACAATTATTATAAAAAATTGAATTCTCGTATTTAAATAATTTAATTTTTGAAGAACTTTTGGAAAATCATTTCAAATTAATTTAGAGATAAAGTTTAGTTGAAAATTATAGAAAATAATTGAATTCAGGAAAGGTTATATGATTGTAATTTTTAAAAATTATTAAATTTCATAAATTTTACTCATTTTCCGTAAACTTTTATATTTTTCTGTGAAAAGAATTTTGTCAGGGAAAATAATTTTAATGTCAGTAAATTGCCAGGAAAATGTCAGGGAAATTGATAAACTGAAACTTGTGACCACCCTGTTAAAAAAAATTGATTTATTCTTTATATTTTATACGAAAAAATAAGTTTTTCGACGCTAAGCGTTGACACTAAATTTACGGTCCTAATAATGATAATAGTAAAATGATAATAATAAAAATACTAATAATATTAAAAATAATAATAATAAAAATAATAACAAAATAAAAAATAATAATAAAAATAGTAATAAGAACAAGAAAAGCATTGATCACATTTATTACATTTTGCTTCATTTTCTTCAAGTATATTTCTTAACAGATTGTGTAATTTTTTCAATAGAAAATCGAGAAATAGAAAAAATAACTTTTGATAAAAATTTTTAAAAGCGCTTGTAAATTATTATAATATGTAATTTATGATATAAATATAATGAGATGATAGTAAATATTGTGCAAACTGTAAGTTCTGAACTCATGATACGTGACGGCAAAAATAAAGTTATTTTATTGAATGAAGTTTCGCGTCATTTCATTTCATCATGGTAAACAATAACTGGAATTTACTCGGAACACGAAATCATTACAGATATACTATGTAACAACTTGAGACAAACTCTACATTTTAGTTTATAATAGAAAACTCTCCTTTCTCTTGTCATTGTTTCATTTTTTTTTCTAATATAAAATCATTAAATTTGGGAAAAAATTTGAAAGTCCGCCAGAGAAATTTCGCAGGAGAAAAGTAAAATTTGTCAAGAGGCAAAAAAACTGAACTATTTTAATTAGACACCTATATTGAACTGTATTTATTTATATTCTTTTTGTTTTTAAATTTATTTATTTACTTATTTTTGTATTTATTTATTTACCCTTTTTTGAATTTATTTATTTACTTATTTTTATATTTATTTATTTACTTTTGTATTTATTTAGTTGGTGTTTTAATTTGGCAAATCCTGCATTTATTTAGTGTTTCTAATGTTTAAAGGGCAGCTCGCGATAGCAATTTAGAAATTTTGAAGGAATCGACAAGAAAAGATTGCAATGCCAGAGATGATGGGGGAATGACTCCTACACTATGGGCAGCTTTCGAAGGAAATATAGACGCACTTCGACTTCTTGTTGCCAGAGGGTAAGTTGAACAGTTAAATAAAAAAAAAATTGTAAATGCTCTTCTTTCGAAAAAATTCACAAGTCTGTTTTTTTTCACTAAAAACCGTTAGAAATGTACTTTTTTTAAAGCATCAATTTTTTTTCAAAGATAAACCTAAGAAAACGTACTATTGTAAATTGTAATGCATTATTAATCCCATATATCCGACTATATTGAGTTCATTGTCAAAAGAATTATTATTCACCTTCGATCGATCAGCTACAATCTTTGGGGGACAAATCTTTTTCTACAAAACTCCACAGTATTAAATATTAATAAACTTTGAACTTCTATAAAAGTCACAACTACCGGAAATGTCTTCAAATGTCACAATCAACAACAAAAAAGATATAAAGAACGAAATTAATTTTTATACACGTGTCATGAAATAATAAAAAATTTATGAGAATAAAAAAATGTTTCGGCGAAAATTCGTATAATTTTCGAAAAATATACAAAAAAAACTTAAACTTGTCTTTTATTTACAAAAAAGTAAAAATCAAGAGATTTTTTATTATATGATTATCACTTATTATATTTTAAACTTTGCAGCTCGAAAGATGTACACTTGAATAATTTTTATGATCGTTTCAGTCTAGTTAAAAGTGGACAAAAAGAAATAAGAAACTTCTCTAGGAAAAAAAAAGAAAATATCACACAGGAATGATAAGTTTAAAAAGTTTTGATATATTTTGCAAAAAAATTAATGTTTAATATCGTTTAGAAATCATATAATAATTAAATTCCCCTTGCAAAAATAACAAAAATCAACGATTAAATAGAAATAATTCGATATTCAATAACTTACATCGATTTTTAAGTTATCAGTGACCTTGAAAATAATGGGAAAATTGTTCTAACTTTCCCGAGACTCCAAAAGCAAAATCGTGTCAAAAGTTTATAGGTTAGAAAAAGTTTTGCTCCCTTTTAACTAAAAGGAATGCTTACCAAATACTAATACTCTATCACTGTCGAAATCAGTGTCAAAAAAGACAAAATTGCGTAACATTAAAAATATGTAAACTAAAAAACTCACATTGTTGTGTATATATAGATATACTGTGCGCCAATGTCCCGCGCCGAAGTCTCGACAAAACTTTTTGTCGCATCTTCGAAGAATTTTATTTACCCCTTAACCGCACTTCCCCTCACTTTTAATAAGACGGATATAAATGAACATCGAAATAAATGTTAAATACACCGGATATACACTACATAATCTGTATTTTTATTGAATCGACCGGCAACCGGGTGTACCGGGTCCGGCGGAAGTTGTGGGGAAACTATACGGGAACAACCAAGACATAAATATAACAAAAGAGGAAAAAATAACACTCACAGACTGAATATTCGAAAACTCGGAATGAAATTTCACGTTATATTCTATGAACAATTAATAAATTAATCACTTTTTGGATATTTAAAACGGTTATACACTACTGTCGCATGCGCGACGACACTGAATAAAATCAAAGATGGCGTCGCTTGCACACTTTTTGGGCATCCCTCCTTTAATAGGCTATTTCAAAAAGGGTGGGAAATTCAAAATTTTTAATATTTAAATTATTTGTTAAAAACGACATTTCAATGAAAATAAGTAACAAAATTTGTTTACTTTAAATGTGTAATTATGAAAAAATTAATAAATCTTTTTGTGTAAAAAATAAATTTTTTTTAAATAAATTCTTTTGTGTAAAAAATAAATTATTTTAAAATAAATTATTTTTTTTTGTAACAAAATAATAAGTTCTAAAGGGTAATTCACAGACTACGTCACTCTCCTAGGGTAAAGGGGGGAGTGTGAAAAACAATTAACTTTGTTTTTTAAATAATCCGAAAATAACCTTAAATTGTTCTTTAAACAATTGACAGTTATCATAATTGTTACCTTTTATTTATTCTAATTTATTATTTAATTGTTATTAAATTATTCATCTATGTAGAAATAATTCTATAGCTTATTAAAAATGTCTAAAATCAATAAAATAAATCATTCTGTAATATAATGATTGGAAATGAATGGAATAATAATAGAATGATTAGAAACTAATAACAATATGATATGACAATATATCACTAAATTAAGTACATAATCTCATCAATTGATAAGTAAAGTGTCCAAAAAATTACACAAGGGAATATTTACAGACATTAATATTGATAAAAGATAATACGAATTATTAAAGAAGATTGAAAGGTAAATACGTTTGTATATTCCATTCGTTGGAATTGAAAAATTATTATTTGCTTTTTTATTCATATTTAATATCAAGTAATGGCTATTATTTTATGTTTTATTCTCACTTCTTTCTTTCCTGTTTCTTTTTAAAAACATTCATGAAGTGCATATTATAATTATTTCCTCCCTATTATCATAATACTTCCTTACAGTTTCAAACTTTATTTTCTTTCTTCAAACAAAATATCTTGGACCATTGCTTTTATAAAATACTAAATGACAATTTTCATTTCCTTGTTAAAAAGAAATTTGTTATTCTTTACAAAAAGAGAATTTATTTTCTTCATAAAAGAATTTATTATTTTCATAAAAATAAAATAAAATATAATCAAAATATAAATAAAATAAAAATTACATTTCTTAATGTGTTGAAAAATTATTTTTTACTTTTTTAAATCTGCGATAAAATAATTTGTTTCCGGAAATGAAAGAGATTTTTATCAAGACTTTCCTCTTTTTTATACAAAAATAGAAATAATGTTTTTTTTCTTTTTGCTCTAAATATAAAATATTGCAAATATAGGCATATTTTAGTTATTCATGAAATTGTCGAAACTTTTTATCAAAATAACAAAGCGCGAAAAGACCTTCATGATTTTCCGGTTGAAAAACTTCTGTTCATCGCGTGACAGGAAACAACGACCAATAAACAGGGGTTGGGCGCTTCAACTTTATATGTATATATATATTTCGAAATTCTTTTCAAATCCATATTTTTCTTTTCAGGGGTGATCCAGACAAAGCTGATTATTTTGGTAATACTGCTCTCCATCTGGCAGCAGCACGTGGTCATGAATTTTGTGTTCGATTTTTGGTGAAATTTGGTTGTAATATTTGGTCATTGGATATCGATAGACATTCAGCACGTGAATTAGCAGCAATCAATGGCTGGGAGAAAATATTACAATTTCTCGATCTTGCCCAAGCCGATCAGGAAATGAATAAAAAGAGTAAAATTCTAAAAGCAAAGGCCGAAAAGGACGCGGAAAAAAGGTAAACACAAATAATTATTTCTAATTAAAGTAACAGTTCAGTTGTTTTTTTTAAACAGTTGGTTTTATTTTAATAGGGAGTGTAGAGTGAAAGTAATTTTATTTTCAGACTAAAGGAATACGTGAAGAGGCAAAAAATTGCTGAAATCAAAGCGGAGAAGGAACAAAAAAAGTTATTGAAAGATCGAGCGAAAATTGACACGGAGTCAACGAATGACAATGTTCTTCCCCACAGACCAAGTATTTTAACTTTTAAAGGACGAGTTAAGCCATCGCCGACTTACAGTGATATTGTAGGCACAGGAACTGGCACCAAGAGGCAAGGAAGCGCAGTTCATCGAAAAGCCCTAGCGAGAAAGGCTGTAGATGATTTTAAAGTCGTCGAGGTAATTTAAATTCTATTAAAAACCTTTCTAATTCTACCGAATTTAATTAATTTCATTTCATTTAAAAAATGCCGAATTTAATTAATTTTATTTGCTGAAATTAAATTAAATTTGTAATTACAAATTTAATTTAATTTCGGCAAATCAAATTAATTAAATTCGGAAGAATTTGGCATTTTTTGATTGAAATGAAATTAATTATTATTTAATAATAACAGAAATTAAATTAAATTTAATTGAAAGTAAAACAAATTAAATTTGATTAAAAGTAAGACAAATTCAATGAATTTAAATTCAGATTGAAGTGGACGGAAAGAAATCGGTGAGAAGTTTGACGGGCCTCAGACGAGATTCAGAAGTGATGTATGTGGGAACGTATGAAACAAATTCTCAACAACAAAACGGAAGGAGGGGGAAAATTTCTGACGTTTGGGGCACGTTAAGTAAAGCTCAGAGTACACCGGATTTGCTTGGTGACAGAAAATACGAAGCCGATGCAGAAGATGACGAGGAGTCAACGAACATTGTGGGAGAGACGTTTCTTCTACAAGAACCAGCGAGTATCTTCAATCGACCAGGTTTTGGATCGGTGGCCTTCCGCAGATCGGTAACTATCAGAAAAACTCTCCACAAGAGAAAGGAAGTGGTACTACTAGCAAAAACTCCCGCACAAAAAAAGTCTTCAAACCTTTTTAACACTCTCCTGCTCACAATTCTTGAAACACACAAATTTCCATTTTTATAAAAGTATTCACAAATTTTTCGAGATATCAAAAATTATATTATTAAACATTTTAAAGAATGAATATTATTAATAAACTAGCAAATGATACACGCGAAACACGATATTCCTTTTCTTATTATTTTGTAAATTAAAGAATTTTATAATTTTGAGAATAAACAAAGTTTTGAATGATTACAGATTTAAAATTTAAAGAATTCACTTATTAAGAACATAATATTAAATATTTTTGTTTATTACTATTCAAAAATTGTAATAAAATTTGTCGGAAGAATTTCATTATTCTCATGAATAATAAAATTATTTAGAGCAATTCAATTATTATTTTCACTTACAATTTTAATAAAATTTCTCGAAAGAATACAATTATTTTTAAAAATATTAATTAAATTCGATTATTTTCAAGAATTTTAATATAAATTCAATTATTTTCCACAATTTTGATGAAATTCTTTTTAAAAAATCAAAATTTTTATTAAAATTCCTTCAAAAAATTCAATTATTTTTATGAATTGTAAAATCCTCCTCAAGAATTCAATTATTTTCATAAATAATAAAATTCTTTGAAACAATTTAATTATTTTTATAAATAATTAAATTTTTCGGAGAAATTCAATTACTTTTTTTAAATAATAAAATTTTTCTGAGAAATTCAATTATATTCAAAATTTTCAGTAAAAATTAATTTTAAAAAATTTCTTTATTTCAAAAAAAAATTGAATTAAATTCTTCCAAAACAATTCAATTATTTTAAAGAACTTTAATAAAAAATCTTGTCAAGAATTAAATTATTTTCGATACAATTTTAATTACATTTTCTCGAAAGAATTCAATTATTGAAAAAAATGTTCATAAAATTCTTGAAATGAATTCAATTATTATTTTCAATTTTTTTAAATAATTACTTTACAAAGAATTCAATGATTTTCAGTAAATCGACAATTTAATTATTTCTGAAAATAATTGAATGCTTGAATAGAATTTTATTAAAACTTTTTTAAATAATTGAATCCCTGCGAAAAAAATTATTATTTCTACAAGTATTTGAATTTTTGCAAAATTTAAAAAAATAAGTGAATTTTTGAGAAGAATTTTATAAAAATTGTATTTAAAGTAATTGAATTTAAAAATAATTGAATTATCCCTGGAATTCAATTAAAATTGTATTTAAAATAATTGAATTCCAGCAAAAATTTCATTATTTTTAAAAATAATTGAATTCATCATTTTGGATTTTATTATGTTTTAAATAATTGAACTCCTGTGAAAAATTCAATTACTTTTTAAAATAATTGAATTTTCTCGGACAATTTTTACGAAGATTTTTACATTATATAGAAATGTAATTATTATTAATTTAATTTTTTAAATGCAAATAATGTAAACAAATAGAAAATGACTTTTCCACTCACTTTTGACTATTTTTATTCCAGGTGACAGCGACTCTCGAAAATTTACCCGTAACTCAGGTGGAAATTCATCACGAGCCAAATGGCGATCGAGTTAGAAATGGTTCGACCAGGGGGTCAATAAACAGTCAAAAAAACGACGCAAATTATAGTCACAATGAAGAAATCAGTATTGGCAGCGCGGGGAGTTTGGCCAGAAGGCAAAACATCTGGGATGACGAATTATTATCTGGTAAATGAAAAAAAAAATGTATTAATACCTCAATATTGTTGAAATAATATTGAGATATTAATTAATATTGAGATAGAATTGCGCACTGTCACTGCAATTTCAAGTACTTTGCACAGCCGTAAAGAATTATTTTAATAAAAAAAAATATACTTACCTTCTTCAATAGATGATGATGAAGTAGACTGGACGCCTTTGCAGAGATTTTTGGCCGTCAGTAATTTATCCTCGATTCACTCAATTCTAGAGGCGGAACAAATTGATTTAGAAGCACTTCTGCTTTTAACAGAAAATGATATCTCAGCATTGAAACTTCCACTTGGACCTAGAAGAAAATTATTAGTGGCGATTGCAAATCACAAAGAAAGCCACGACAATCAAAATGCCATTATAGACAGTAGATTATAAAATCAACAAAAACTATATATTCGAAAATATCGCAATTATTTACAAATTTAGAGCACTTTTCATAAATTTTTTTCCCATAAAATATATTCATAATTTTTTGTCATAAAAATTAAATGCAGAAATTACGTGAATTCAATAAATTCACTAAATTACAGAACTTTGAATATTTTTGAATTTTCCAGCATTTTTGAGATTATGTTTTAAAAAAAGAATATTTTATTAGCTTAGTAGAGAATTTTTTCTTATACATAATCACAGCACGCGCAATTTGTTGAAAAAACACAAATTTATTGTCATTTTCGTGATATTTGTATTTTGTATCGAGGAAAAAATTGTAAATAGTGATTTATGTTAAGGAGCATTTGCAAATTATTCTAAGACGTGTTGTACATTTTCTTAATTTTATTTTGTAAATAATTATCATACAAACAAGAGGCAAAAATATACAAGCTTTTTTTTATGTTCGCAAGAAAATAACAGCACCATACGTTCTTTTTTTTTTACCAGATAATGCGGATCTTATATAACTTTCTTCCCCATACAATCGTCCACGGTATAACATTGTATACAACGAACAAAAACAAAAGTGACCTATTGTTAAATAATATCCAAATTTAACAATTCGAATTTAAAGTAAAATTTTTTCTAAATTAACATTCTTCGTTGTTTGTAAAATTCATCATAATTAAAATTATATTTTTTTTTAAAAACTAAGCATCCAAATAACGAAGTTGTTAAGTAAAATTCCTCGAGTTTTAAATTCTTAAAATTTCTTTTCAGTTATTTTAAAAAAACGGTGTTTTCAACAATAATAGAAGTTTTTGCCCGTATACATTATTTTTATGGATTACCTACTTATTTATTGCGTGTCCAGAGTCTGCTCACATTCTCTGTCTACACGCTTCGATTTGTTTTCATAAATTATTTTTACAAGTGAAATTATTAATTTTCCCAAGATGAATGCAACAAACAATATCGAAGAAAGTAAAAGTATGTTTTCCTTTTGCGTACTGAGAAAACGAATAAATATTCATTTTAAAGGCAGATAAAATGATAATTTGACCTACTACATTATTTTTATTCTTTTTAAAGGAGAGTAGAACTTTGATTTTTTTTACCTATTTGAGCGAAATGGAAATTTTGTCAATTTTTCTCTTATTTTCAATATACAAAAGAATTTAAAATTAAAAAGAAAATTGTTGCGTTACAATAATAATTTTTTTACTCTGTCATCGCCTTTTCTTCAATTGAAGACAAATCGAGTATTTGTGTTTATTTTATTATTATTCAATAATTATCTTAAAATTAATAAAAACGGTAAAGCTATTATTGATATTCTATAGAGACATGTACAGTCTATCTGCTAAATTTTGCAATTTGACTGGAAAAAATTATGTTGCAAAGTAATTTTTCATATACTTTGAATTCGGTAACACTTTTCCCTCCTTATTTAATGCATAAATTCAATTTTACATTATATAAAAGATAAAAATATACATTTAATTTTACCAAAAGTAATTAATGTATATATAAACGTATTGAAACAAATATATTAAATATTTTTTTGAATTTTTGCAAATTTATTTAAATATAAATTTAATTTGCAAAATTTGAAATTCAAATCGATTAAAAAAATGTTTCAATATAAATTTTTTAAATCAAAACTAATAAAATAAAGGACAGTGCAACGATTTTGGCATCATCAGTAAACGGTACTGTGCATGCATTGTGTACAATTTTTTTTTAATCTATGCGCAATTATTTTCTGTAACAATAATTATTGCTATATATACCAGACAAGACAGGAAAAAAAAAACTAATCGATAGCGTATATCTACAAAATCAAGAATGTTCCTTTTTTTTACAAAATGCACCTAATTATGGCATCTGTAATTATCTCTTCCACAAGAGAATTTTTTTTTTCTTTTACAAGATAATGTCTGTACATTAAAGATAAATTTTCAGTTAAAAACCAAAATCTATCTTTTCTTTTCCTTTCAAGTATTCCAAATATTGAGTCAGACTTAAAATATACATATATATATACTTTTTTTTTGTTAATATAAGTGCTGACTGTTTGATAAATATTTTAATTAAAGCTATCGAATAGAGTCAATAATTATTAGTTTTTTTTTATCAGTATTAGCATTATTCATACACTTTATGATTATTAGCATACACTATATTTACAACTGAACAACAATTCTGGCTTACACGCGAGACGAAGCCCGCTCGGAAGTCTCAAATATAGAGAAAACAAATGCAAAACTCTCGATTTTTTTTTTTTAAATGAAAAAGGGAAATTTACTTTCCGAAAAAAGAAATATTTATTTTACTAGTGAATAATATTCACAACTAGAATTTATTTCACTTTCTATTTATTACTATTTATTAAAATTATTATCAATAAACGCTAAATATTGAAAAATATTTCTACTCAGAGTGAATTAAAAAATATTTTTACTCATGTTTCAAAATTCTATTCCCTTTACAAAAGAAAAAAAATCTATGAGATTTGCCTGTACTATGTTAACGTCTGATATAAGTTATTGAAAAAATGTTATGTTTTTATAATTCATACGTGCATTATATTCAAAGAACTTAAATCAATTTTTTTTCTCGAAACAAAAAAAAAATCATTGCGAACATTCGTTTTTTCCAAAAATATAATGATCGCATTGCCATTCACAACTTTGATACATCCTAGATATAAGTTGTCACCTATATACAATTAAAACAAAACTTGAACAAAATTCACTATATGTTTTTTTTTGACAATTTTCCCAAAAAAAAGTTAACACATTCGATTCTAATTAAAAAGTACATAATTCTTATCTAAACGAAATAACAAATTTTACATTAATCACATTAATAATAGTGAATTTTGTTCGAGCATTTTTCGACTACAATGAGGTGTAAACGTTGCTCCTGTAAAAAGTCTAGACAATTTTCGATTTTAAGTTCCGATTTTTTGAGCTCTGATAAACACATTTATACAAAGTTATAAGGATACTTTTTTTGTTTACTTTTTTGGAAAATTTTCATTCCAAAAAATTAATTCTTTCCTCACTGTATGGCCTGTACAAAGGAAAAACTAAATTTTTTATCTCCATTATCTAGCAATTTCGAAGAAAATTTTTCTATAATCCTAAACGCAGAGAGAATGAATATTCGTCTAGAATAAGAGTTAATTAAATTGTTTGTCTAGAAATAAAGAGAGTAAATCACTACGACAAATGAAATACATGAACAAGAACTAAATTGTCCTTTGTTTCCCTGAAAAAAGATTGCACATGATGAAAACGATTCTAGTATATATAAACAAACAGTATTATTTTCTTGGAAATAATGTAACAAAATTATTTTTTTTTTACAAATAGATTAATAAGTTTGAAGAAACTTGTTTTTTTTCACTAAATGGCCAAGACAAAGAGATAGATAAGATATATATACTAAAAAGAAATGCAGTGAGTTTTCTAAATTTTCTTTTTGCGTGCAACTTGTTCTCTTAATATTGTTCGTACCTTTAGGGCAACAAAAAACTTGGTAAAAAAAGACATTCGTAAAGATTTAGAAATAATTTCTCTATAATCAAAGTAATTTAACAACGTTAGAAGTAAAGAAAAAAAAACAATATTTAAATTACGAAAGGACTTTTTTTTCACAATATGTGCTTACTCGGTATTTTTTTTTTAACAGTAAAATAACTACAAAATACCTAATTTTTCAAAATCGGTACGTATATTTAAATTATCCGAGCACACGACAACAGGGAGAAAGATTATAAGGTACTGTTGCACGTCCGGAAACACCAAAAAAAAAAAAAAACTTTTATCTCGCTGATTCAAATTTTCGAATACAGAAACTTTCCATCACAGAAAATTTATAATCTTCAAGTTGAAGAAGAAGAAGAAGAGGAAAAAGAAGAAGAATTGCTAACTTGAAGAAAGTATTCTCACATGAAAGAATTTGCGATAATTTCTGCGAACTTTTTTTTGACAGTCGAGTAATTTAGGTATTATTTCTCACGGATTTCTTTGGTGCAATCGCATTAATAGCGACAGACGCAGAGGTTAGTTTAAAATTAAAAAAAAAGACGAAAGGGAAGATCCCAATATATTTGAGAAAGGGCCGACGAACGTGCTCTTTTGGTTAACTATTAGGTTCTTTTTCTTTCATAATCCAATCTTGCAAGATGATTAAACAGTAGAAAAAAAATCATTTTTCAAAATTGGATCATCAGCTATCGATAGTAATAACTAATCAGTAGGAAAAAAGGCGTGTTGCTACTTTACAGTTCGCGCGCCGTTACATGAAACGCGATCGTTTGTGCGTTGGAGATCCCATATCCACATCATGAGAAGCTGGTCTTTTATGATGACGAGCAAATTCACTGCTGATGAAAGCGGACAATTCCGTTTGTCGACCCATTCGTCGTGACATTGGCGAGCCTAAAATCAATTTTTTTCGTTATAATTTTTCTAAATAAAGAAGAAATTTCAGGGTTGCCACGGTTTTACTCATTTCAAATTCCCTGACTTTTCCAGGTTTTTAAAACTACATTTATATGTTACAAAATTTAATAATTAGTCATTATAATCTTTCCATCAGAATTAAGATTTTCAAAAATTTCAAATTCAAACCTTTCTGAAATTAAACAATTTATAAAAAATTGTTATAAAACATGAAGATATTCATTGCTACGAGTCGAAGACTTAAATACATAAATAATAAAAAAAATAATTAAATAATTAAATAATAAAAAATAAATAATTAAAAATGACCGAGGGATAAAATCATTATTTTATATTATAAGAATATTTTTACTGTAGCTTCTTCAAAATTAATCTCATCATTTCAATTCAATTATAATATTTTAGAATTTTTAACTAAAATTCTTCTTTATAAAGTTTAAATTAATTATTTTTAATAATTTTTGAAAATTTTTTTTGAAAATTTTCATATTCTTTTGTTTGCAATTCAATTTTATGAAATTTCATCGATTATTCGGAAATTCTTCAATAAAAAATATATTAGAAAATAAAAACTTGAAATAATTTTTAAAAAAATTCAATTAAACTTTTAAAAATAAATTAAATCTACACAATTTTCAATGAATAGTATGAAAAATTCAAACATTCAAAGATTGTAATTTGAAACCTTTTCAAAATTCAATTATTTCTAAAAATTCACGCTATAATACTTTCTCTATAAATTTGAATTTGTAAAAATGTTTATTAATTGGAATTAGTGACTGAATTTTTGCTTTTGAATTAGTAAATTTTTACTATTAAATTAGTAGAAACGACTATTTATTAGTAAAATCTGCTAATTCAAATTTCAAAAGCAAAAAGTCAGTCGCTAATTCAAATTAGAAAACATTTTTACTAATTCAATTTTAGAGAGTTGAATATTCAATTATTATCTAAAATTTTAACTGAAATTGATTTTTATGAAATGAAAATCAATTTTTATTAAAAAATTCTACTAGAATTCAATTATTTAAATACAAAAATAAATAATTTATTGAAGAATTAAATGTTTTTTAAAATTCAACTCTCATAAAGAATTTTATCAAAACAAATTTTTAAAATGGTATTTAAAATTCGTTTGACGAATTTTAATAACATTTTTAAAAGAATAATTTCATTTTTCGAGAATATAAATTAAAATTGTATTAAAAATAATTGAATCTCTGTAAAAAAATTTGATTGAATTGAGAAAAGCTTTTAAAATAATTGAAATTTTTACAAAAATTTTATTAGCATTTTTGAAACATTTTTGAAAATAATTGAATTTTGGAGAAACATTTTATTATTTATAAAGATAAATGAAATTTTGAAGAGAATTTTTAAAAAATTTTAACCGTAATTGAATTTCTGCGAAGAATTTTGTTATTTGTGAATTACGAAAATAATTGAATTCTTTCGAAGAATTTTATTAAATTTTTTGAAAATAATAATGTAATTTTTCCACAAAATTTTGTTATTTTGAAGAGAATTAAATTCTTGATAAGAATTTTGTTATAACTTTTGCAAATAATTGAATTCTTGGAATCATTATATTAAAATTTTTAAGAAGAATTGATTTTTTTTGAAGACTTTTATTAAGAACTTTTAAAAATAATTAAATTATTTCAAAAACATTTAATTAAAATTGTATTGAAAATAATTATATTCTTGAGAAGATTTTTAACAACAAATTCTTAAATAATTGAATTCCTTTGACGAATTTAAATAAAAGTTTTAAGAATAATTGCATTTTTCGATGAACTCGATTAAAATTGTATTAAAAATAATTGAAATTCTGCGATGAGTATTATTAATTATAAAAATAATTGAATCTGTTTAAAAAATCTGATTATTTATGAAAATAATTGAATTATATGAAAATTGATTATATTTAAATCGAATTAATTTTGAAATATTTAAGAATAATTAGATTTCAAGAATAAATAATTTTTGAAAAATTTGTTTATAGTTATTTTTCGCACTTTAAAAATCGATATAAGTTACATTTAATATTAAAAAATGTGGTATTTTGTTTCAATGTTTAGAAGAAAAGTCGAAAAATTCGCAATTTTTGAGAATATGTCTGAAAAATTCTTAATTTTTTTTTAATTTTCGTGACAAAAAATTTTTTTCCTGACAAAAATGTTGTTTTCCTGACATTTCCCTGACTTTACTGACATGTGGTCACCCTGGAATTGATTCTCTTTCTGTATTATTCAAAAATAAACATAATCTAAATTTTTTTGCTTTTTGAGTACCGTCACATTTAAAAAAAAAAACAAAACAAAAGTCAAAAATGATAAGAAAACATACCAGAAAGAGCAATTGCTTCCCGAAAGGTGTGTAGTTCCGGATCGGTATCACTTCCTGGTGTCGGGGTTGGAGTAACAACCATGCTAGCCGTTGGACTTTGAGGTGGCGAACCACAAACCATCATTCGTGGTTTTGGCGAACTTCTATAGAACAAATTCAATAAACGTGAATTAGCTTTTGGTAACTATTTTTATGTACTAAAATTCAAGCGATTCTTTAGTTTTTAATAACAAGTGTAATTATTTGTTCAGAAAGGGTAAATTTTTATGCTAGGGTTACCACAAAAATTTCATTTTGTTTTTCCCTGATTTCCAGACGAAATTTTGACTTATTTCCTGACCCCAAAGAATATTCTGATTTTTACCTAAAATTCTTCTATAAATCAATTATTTTTAATCATTTTTGAAAAAGTTTTTTGAGAATTTTCAAATTCAATTATTTACGAAATTTCGATTTTTCGGAAATTCTTCTATTAAAAATATATTAGAAAATAAAAACTTCAAATAATTTCAAGAAAAATTGAATTAAAATTTAAAAAAAAATTAATTCTACAGAATTGTTAGCTAAAAGTTATGAAAAATTCAAATTTTCAAAGATTTTAATTAGAAACCTTTTTAAAATTCAATTATTTCTAAAAATTTATGCTATAATGCTTTTAATATTTAATTATTATCTAAAATTCATTTTTAAATCAATTTTTGTTAGAAAATTCTGCGAGAATTGAATTATTTAAAAATACTAAATTAAAAAATTTATTGAATAATTCAATGTTTCTCACAAAGAATTTTATCAACAAATTTTCTAAAAATTGGATTTTCCGAGGATTTCAATTAAAATTGAAATTAAAAGAATTTTACTGTTTATAAAAATAATTGAATTACTAAACAGAATTTTATTATTTATGAAAAATGAAAATAATGGAATTATTGCGTGTAAATTTATAAAAAATTCGTAAAAAAATAATTGAATTTCGGAGAAGCTTTTTATTATTTAAAAAGATAGTTTAAACTTTTTCAAACTTTTGAACATAATTGAATTTCTGCGAAGAATTTTATAACTTTTGGAAAATTGAAATTTTGTCAAGAATTTCATTAAAATTTGTGAAAATAATTAAATTTCTGAGAAGCTTTTTATTATTTTAAAAAATAATTGAAATTGTGACGAGAAGATTTTAAAATTTTAAAACATAATTGAATTTCTGTGAAGAATTTTATAACTTTTGGAAATAATTGAAATTTTGTCAAGAATTTTATTCAAATTTGTGAAAATAATTAAATTTCTGAGAAGCTTTTTATTATTTAAAAAGATAATTGAAATTTCGACGAGAATATTAAAAAATTTTTGAATATAATTAAATTTTTGCGAAGAATTTCAATACTTTTGAAAATAGTTGATTTTCTGCAATCATTTGTAACTTCTCCAAAATTCAATTTTTTTCTTGGTGTTTTTAACTAAAATTCTTCTATAAATTCATTATTTTTAATAATTAATTAAATATATATTAAAAAACTTAGGTAATTTCAGAATTTTTCTAAAATCTAAGTTCTTTAAAATTTCTAATTCAATTCATTCGAAATTGAAATTTTATAAAATTGCTAATTAGAACGTTTTTGAAGTTCATCTTGTTTATGAAAACTTTTAATAAAAAAATCCCTAACTTTTCCCTGATTTCCCTGATTTTAATGTATGTACACAGAAAGTGTAATTGTTTAAACACAAAGTGTAATTGTTTATACACAAAGTGTAATTGTTTTTTATTCACAAACTGTAATTGTAATTGAAACCAGATTTTATTAAACATTTCGGAGGTAAAGAAAGCTTGAACATTTATACCCAACGAGTAATTCTTTAGATTGAGTACAAAAATCCCACCGAAGGACAACAAAAACTAAAACAAAAATAACTAAACGAAACAATTCATTTTTTTCTAGACACAGAAAATATAAAGTAGTTGAACAAAAATAAAAAATAGTTTAGTATAAATAAACATTGAAGTTTATATCGCGATATTTATTATTTCCAAGCAAAATGTTTATCTCGTTTTTAAATATAGCATAAAAGCTTGAGAGAAAGGTTAAAATTGTTACAACGTTACCTGTGCGAGTGTGGCCTTGAAGGAGGTGGTTTACCAGCAAGATATGCTAACAGGTCTTCCCTGCGAATCATGCGCCTCTTTTTTCTAGCCCAATTCATTATCTCTTTGCTACGTTTTTGCTTTCCCGATTCAGTGCCTAATTCACAACATTTTTTCATTCCCTCCACAGATTCTGTGAAAACATCAAAATTTCATTATTAGTATTCAATAGAGAAAATACGAGATAGTAGGAGAAGAAAATTGGATTAAATATTTGAAAAGTTAATTTCACAATCAATTCGAAGCATTAACAATTTTTATGAAAAACGTGTAATCCATTTAATGGTATTTTAAGAGTTGGTAATTTACGAACAAAGAAAAGGGACTCCCAAATAGGTAGTGACGAAATTAAGTCAATGTTACGAAACGTTAACTGAATTCTAGAAATAAAAACAAATTCTCTCTCCTTCTTAAATTGTTCAAAAAAAAGATTTCGTTCTTTAGTTTCACTTTCTTTTACTACAAGGAGAAATACTTAAATTATGAAAAAAAGCGAAAAAAAGCCTTCAAAAATGATTGTGAAAAATACAAATGTTGAAACAGCTGATCAGTGTCAAAGGTCAGCTGTTTTCGTTTAAAGGATCAGTGTGCAGATATGCAGATTTCAGAAAAATGATGGTGTGTGACAGGTAGAAAAATAAACAAAAAGGGTTTTAAATCACAATACTGGAGAAAGGATGAAATATTTTTAAGTGGGGATGCATACAGAGGGAAAAAAGAGGGAGAGGTTAGCCTTGCAACACACTGTTGACAGCGAAGGTAACGACGCAGACACGCACCTTTGTACAACGAGGTAACCGTACCCGCAGCAGTCTGAAAGGGCAACCAAAGGGATGCACCCTGGGAGCGATCTGCAAAAAGAGAATAAATTCCGCGTTAGAAAATCGATAGACACAGGATCCACTGGCGAGCAATCGAGCCTCTCCTCACAAAATGGATGTCACTCAAAATGGCAACAGAGAGACGATTGTAAATGCAAGGGGATTAATCACTTTTTTTAGGATAAAATATTCGAGGCAAGATTGCTTACGATAAAAAAACAACACAATATATAACGCAATGCCTGCCTTTGTAAAGTTGGGCTATGGCTGTTGCCGTAGAATGAAATCCAGACCAAATTTGTTGCGCGTAAAATTCCTTTTGGTTGTGCAGCTGATTCTCATAGTCGGGCTCGGCCTCGATCGCCTCGACACATTGCTGTTCCCAGTTTGAGTACCAAAGATCCATTATTGGATCTTCCTCGCTTCTATCGTCACTCATGGCTTACACCTCACACACCCACTTGAACTCGCGAGAACAAGCAAACTTCGCAGCTTTTTTCAATGCACCACACCACTCACTTCCTTCTGAGTCAAGTCGCAGCCATTACGATTTAACCTCGGATTCATGAAACTGCTACAGCAAAAGATTGTCGACACACGCGAACAAAATAAAATACGATACGACCGTACGACAGCACATACGTTCCTTCCCTTTCCACACACTTCCACACCATGATCCAAGTAACAAGGTCTCGCCAAAGTCGGGCTCAATTTTAACTCGGTTCGCGCACCATAAAAAAGCCGACCAATCATAGCGATTACCTGAAGCGACGACCATATTGAAGCGCTAAATTTTGAATCAAATACAGAAACAAATTTAAAGAACATAAAGAATAATAAATTAAAAGTAAAATAATTCTTTATTAAATATTAATATTTTTTATTAAATACTTATTATTAACTTGATACATAACATTCACATATATTTATTTATATATTTAAAAACATTACATTTATCTCTAATGCTGCAAGAACTGAAGGGACAATTTCTTTTCAATTTTCAGTGGATAAATGATGAGATAAATTTTGAGCCAGATTAACTAAGACAACCTTTTTTTATTTTGAATTTTTTTAGGAATTGTTAATAACAACATTCAATTTTAATATTAATTATTAACTATTATTGGGATTGCGAACATTACAGGGAATTGACCTTTTGCAAAATAAGGCATTAGTGGTAAATTAGTAGATAAATTAGATACTAAATAAACATTTTCCAAAAAGCGAATTATTAGTTATAATAATAATAATAATAATAATAATAATAAACATAAAAATAATAATTATTATTATTATTAATAATTCATTATTGACAATTATAATTTAATAATAATGTCATAATATTTATTATTATTATTTTTTCTATTCTTATTAGTAGAAAGCTTCAATTATTCGGTTTAAAGTTTCCACATTCATTTATCATTATGTATTAAATGCCCTATAAATAAATTGCATGTTTCTTTTTTATTTTTTCTGTATAATTTCACTACATCAGTTTCAAAAAAAATTCACGCTATTTAGTATTAGCGAATTTTTTTACACGTTTTTTAGCTTTCCTTTTAGAATTTTTCTCATATACTTTCCTATTCAAAATTCGCAATCTTATGTGCGTTCGTGTACGTACCAGACACAATAATACCTTTATATCTAATTTATCCAGTGAATGTTGCTTGGAATCTTGAAAATCAAATTACTATTTATTGCAATATTTATTATTATTATTAATAACTTTATATTTATTAATATTAATACTAATTAAAAATAATAATTATTATTAAAAATAAAATAACATTCATAATAATTTATTAATATTAATTACCATTTATTGTAATATTTATTATTATTATTATCAATAATTTTATACGTATTAATATTAATAATAACAATTAATAATATTTATTATTAAAAATAAAAATATATTAATAACAATAACAATCTTATTTTCTGGATTTGAAACACATTTAAAAATACGCGGCTAGACTTTCAATATGGTCGTCACTTCGTCCGCATTCTGATTGGTGCTTGGTTCCACGTTTTTTTTGCCTGCGCGTGGCGAGACCTTGTTACTTGGATCATGCTTCCACACTCTTGCAGAATGAGAATTCTCATCAATTTGTCACAGTTGATGCAACGCCCGACAGATGGCGCCCATTATCCCCGTGGAGCATGCTGCCATCTTTAAAAAAATATTCCGAACCTTATCAATTCGAATTCAGTTTTGTCAGTTCGTTATACCACTTCGTAGAAAACTGCAATCTTTTATTCTTATGTTCATTTATTTTAAACAAGAGTGTTCGTAATAATAAGCCGCGTTGGGTATATTTAGTTTACTTAATCAGTGATGTTTGGTGATGTTTTGGATTCGCCACATTCTGCATCAGAGGGAACATGTTTACTTTCGAAACGTGTAAACCCGGCAAACTTCTCTTCCGGATGGATTTTGGTAAATAGACTTTGTTTTCGCCATTTATTATTTATATTATGTTTATATATTGCGTTATTTATTTGTTTTCACTGTTCTCACATTGTTTGAAAACCTAACCTTACTTTACATGCCATTTATTGAACAACGGAACAACACTCAGGCTTCACAGTGCCCCTAAAAAGTATTTTGGGGGAAATAGGGGACTGAAAATTAAAAAATAGGGGACTTTTAGGGGACTATAAAAATTTGTTAAATAAAGATAAAAATATTATTTATTTATACAGGGTTGCCACAAAAATTTAACTTCATTTTTCCCTGATTTCCAAACACAACTTTGACTTTTTCCCTGACCCTAAAGAATATTCTGGATTCACTCTAAAAATTATTAAATACTCAAAAAAATGTTCTATTAAATTTATTTACAAATTTCTTCAAAAGTAAAATTATTCGAAAACATCAATAGTTTTTATTTAAAATAAATATTTAATCATTTTTTTTTTCATTGGAATTAAGGTGTTCAAAAATTTCAAATTCAAACCTTTTCAAATTAATCAACTCATAATGAATATTATTATAAAACAAAATTATTTGTATCATTTTAATTCAATTAACATTTTCTAGAATTTTTAACTAAAATTCTACTTTAAATCAATAACATCAATTATTATTCAATTAAACTTTTTCAAAAAAATTAATTCTACAGAATTGTTAGTTAAAAATGCGAAAAATAATAATTTAATTCTACGAGAAATCAATTATTGAAATAAAAAAATAAATAATATTGAATGTTTCTTAAAATTTAATTTTTACGAAGAATTGTATTAACAACTTTTGAAAATATTTAATTTCTTTTAAGGAATTTAATTAAAATTTTAATGTTTATTATATTAAAGAATTTTATAACAATTTTTGAAAATAATTGAAAACTTTTTGAAGAATTTTATTAAATTTTTTAAAAATAATTGAATTCCTGAAAAGAATTTAAATAATAATTTTTGAAAACAATTGAATTCATAAAAAGAATTTTATTAAAATTTTTGAAAATAATTGACTTCTTGAGGAGAATTTTTAAAAAAATTTTGACAATAATTTACTTCTTGAGAAGAATTTCCCTATCTATTTATAAAGATAATTTAATTCTTGACGAAAATTTTTAAAAAATTTTGAAAATAATTTAATTTTTCCAAAGTAGGTATTTAATTACTTTTCAAAAGAATTTAATTCTTGTGATAAATTTTGATATTTATCAAAATAATTGAATTTTGGAAAAGAATTTTATTAAAATTCCTTAGAATAATTGATTTTATGGGAAGAATTTATGCGATTTTGTTGTTTATCAAACTTATTGAATTCTTTTGCAAAATTACTTAAAAATTTTTGAAAATAATTGATTTTCTGCGAGGAGTAAAATGTTATTAATGAAAATATTTGAATTATTGCAACGACTTTTTTTGTTTTATTAAATAATTGATTGTTTTTTTAAAATTGAATTCTTTCCTCAAGTTTTAATAAAACTTTAATAATAATAATTGCATTTTTCTAGGAATTTTTAAAAAAATTTTATTAAAAATATTTGAAACTCTGCGATGAAAATAATTGAATTCTTAAATGAAATTTATGAAAATAATTGAATATTTTCGTAGAATTGTATCAAAAAGTTTTTTCTATAATTAAATTTGTTGATAAATTTTATGAAAATAGTAAATATTGAAAATTATTGAATTGCAAAAAACTTTTGAAAGTAATTGAACTTTTGCAAAAATTTTTATAAATTTTTGAAAATAATTGAATTTTCGTCGGAAAATTTTGCTATTTGTAAAGATAATTGAATTCTTGGCGAGGTCGGGAAAATTTTTTTAAATAATTGAATTTCTTCGAAGAATTTCATTACTTTTGAAAATAATTGAATTCTTGTCAGTAATAGAAAAAATTTTTGAAGGTTTTGTATTAGAATTAGTGGCAGTTTTATAGTTTACGAAGCTAAATTTGGTGTGAATTCATCATTAAAAGATAAAAGAAAAAAATAGGGGAAATTTTCAAAATAGGGTACGTTTAGGGGCTAAGATTAAAAAAAAGAGGACTTTTAGGGAAATAGGGGACAGACTGTGAAGCCTGACACTGCAAAAAATGTGTTAAATTCCAAAAAAGACACTAAATTTACGAGATTCAATTTTATTTTTTATTTTCTTATACAAGATTGGTCCAAAATTTCATTAAATATAGTTAAATATATACATTGTCGAATATTTCATATTAAAAATATACTCTTTTAAATACACGGTATATATTATCGTTTTATATATCTATATAAATGCATAGATATGTACATATCTAAAAAAAAAATTTCTACAAGTGTCGCGATATTTATAATAAAACATTTACAAATTTAACAAATAAATTGTATTTAAGTACAAAGAAGGAATGTTTTCTTGAGTATGAATAGTATAAAATTTATATTGCACTAATAACAATAATTCTCTATATATTACATTTTTTTTGAAACGCAATTAACTAATTTTAATATATCGAGTTCAATATCCTCCTTTTTCAATAATTTTCAAAACAACGTATGATGAAAGCTTTTCATAACATAGTCTTCATTCTCTCCTCGCATAAATCGTTCGAAATTTCGCTTTAATCCGCATGAACATAATTTTCTGTTTTGCTATGAGAATCCATTTGAACCATCTGTCGATTTCTCTGGCAAACATTTTGTTATTGTAGGCTCTATAGATTTCCAGACTTCCGCCAACTGAAAATAGACGATAATTTTTTTATTTTCCTCCAATTGTTTATTATTCTTAGTAAATGATGATGATTATGATTCTTTGTGAGGATAATTTCAAAGTTTACAAAGTTTATAATGATTTATAAAGACATAAAGATTAATTTACAAATTTTTGTGAAAGAATAAAGTACACAATTATTCAGTTTTACCTCCGAGTGCCCTCGAATTTGAACGCTCACGAGACTTTGTAAAACGGTTGCGAGAATTTCCAAATGTGCATGAACCAATTGTGTTTCCATATGAAGACAGTGTAGGGAGAATAAATTTCTTAATTCAACATTGGCTATTACTGATTCTTGAGCCACCATTTTATTTTCTAAATATTCTACAGTGTCGGCCTGAAACAAAAATGTTAAATAAATAAATAGAGGTGACTGCAGGGCTCGAGCTAGTGAAAGTATTTAAAAATACCGACCAAAAATGAAAAATTAATTTTCAAATTTGTTCTTTGACAATTTTTAAATGCATTTGTTCACAATATTAAATTTTACGAAATTTCAATTGTTCTTAAATTAATTTCTAAATCAATTATTATTAGAAAATTCTACGAGAATTCAAATACTAAAATACAAAAATAAATATAATTTATTGAATAATTTTGATAAATCTTATGAAATGATTCATATTTAAATCAATTATTACTTAAAAATTCAACTAGAATTTAATTACTTAAATACATACAAAAATAATTAATTTATTAATTGAATATTTCTTAAAATTGAATGCTCGTATAGAATTTTTGTCAAATAAAATTTTAAATAAATGAATTCTTTCGACAAATTTAATAAAATTCCCAAAAATAATTATATTTTTCGAGGAATTCGATTAAATTTGTTTCAAAAATAATTGAAATTCTGCGATGAGTTTTATTATTTATGAAAATAAATGAATTTCTAAAGACAAATTTTATTATTTACGAAAATAATTAAATTCCTGTGGAATTTTTATTATTTTATGAAAATAATTAAATGTTTGAGTAGACTTTTATTAAAAAATTTTAAATAATTGAATTCTTTTGAAAAATTTGATTAAAATAGTAGATATTATAAAAATTATTGAATTAAGGAAAATTTTTGAATATAATTGAAATTTTGCCAAGAATTTAAAACAATTTTTTGAAAATAATTGAATTTTGAAGAATAATTTATAATTAATTAATTATATAATAATATATAAATAATTAATTATTTCTAAAGATAATTGAAATTTTGACGAGAATTTAAAAAAATTTTTGAACAGAATTGGATTTCTGCGAAGAATTTTATTACTTTTAAAAATAATTGAATTTCTAAAATCATTTGTAACTTCTCTAAAATTCTCTAAATTATATCGTACAATATACGAACTTTTGGTCCTTTTCCAATCAAATTACGGACTTTAAGGACCTTTTTTAAAAAAAAAAACTAACTTTTACGGACATTATTCGAGCCCTGAGGTGACTCCTACTAAAATAAATAAATTCGAGTTGATTTTTATTATTTGTATAATAATGAACTCACGTCAGTTCCCCGAATGACTCCCTGCATTTGTCGTTTCTTCAAAGATAACATCGTCGATAATGCTCGTTGATGATCGGCACTAACTCCTCTCTCATGTCTTTCACATAAACTTCTATGAGCTATAAGAATGTCCAATAATACATTCAAACGCTCGCATACGACAGTTTCTTCTCTCACCGCTTGTTGTAATGCTCTCGTCGACAGTAAATTAATTTCTCTACAATAGTAAAAAAAAATATTATTTTTCATCAAATTACAATTTTTGGAAAAAAAGTCGAAAAAGTCGAAAAAGTCGAAATTTTTGAAAATAATTCGAAAAAGTCTCAATTTTCTTAATTTCCCTGAATAAAAATGTTTTTCATAACATTTACCTGACTTAACTGACAAAAATTTGGTTTTAATGTATCATGAAAATTTTACCACCTGGAAATCATGGAAAAATCATGGAATTTTCTAAGGAGAAATTTGTAGAAACCCTGACTGAAAATGTCACTAATTTCACTGCAGAGAAACATATTATTTTTCATTTGACTCACTTTGATATTGTGTGGAAACCTTTCTTCATATCCTCCCAAATTGTCAAACCGCCCGTGGACCATGAACTCGTCTCATGAGATTGCGAAGCTAAATTATTTAATTGCGTTCCCATTTCCACCATGTCGACAGCATAACTATGCGATCTAATAGCTAAACAGTCGGCGATGGTTTTTAATCTCGATATTCCCAAGAGTATCACACGTATTTGATCCCTGCTATTGGCGAATTCAGTGAGTGCCTCAGGTGGAACGAGTTCTTTTGCTCTTGACGATAATTCCGATGTGGCAAATTCATCAGGTACTCTTCGAAAGACTTCTCGAATTTTATGTTGCGTCTCCTCGCCAGTGTAGGTGAAAAAAAATTGTACAATTGGATCCTTATTCACAACTGGATGTCGTGCAATCAAAGTGAGAAATCTCAATAGCGATCTTCTTCGTTCTTCCAAAAATTGAGAATCAGCTGAAAATTACAGTTATTTTCAATATTTGTGACGCTTTCTAAAGAAAAGTATTAGGAAACAAAGTATTACAAGTTTTTGTGTTTAATTTAAAAGATCAGGGCATTTATTTTGTATTTTCTTACCACCGACGATTTTCTTTGGAGGCAGTTTTGGTATTAATCGGTAGGGAAATCTGGTCAAAAGTAGTTCGTGTAAAGAGACGAAGTCGTTGTATCTCCTATAGACCATGGAATTGAATCTCTGAAAAAAGTATTTATTTTAATAATTATTTACTTTCTTATAGAAGTAATTTATTGAATATGGTGACGGAATATTGATTCGGATGCGTGAAAAAATAATTACCTTGCTTATCACTTGATATTCCACGTGTTTTAGAAATATTCCTTTCTTCTCTGGTACCAGGTTAACTTCTATTGTGTCTATATTACAAATATCAGTGTATGTGAGGTTTAGTTTCGATGGATTGTATCCTCTGTGTAATCGTTGGGCCAAAAGAGTCACTTCGGACAAATCGCCCAGGGTTGGCACAGGTAATTCTGAAATTTGTCAATAATTTCAATTACAATATTTTCACTAATTAAATATAAGTTTATAATTCAAATTACAATATTTTTACAAATTTAATGTAACAGGGTTGCCACAGGTCAAGGAAATCTGGGGATTCAGAAAAAGTAGAATTGGTCAGGAAAATCAGGGAAAAGTCAGGGATTTTTATAAAAGTAGTGGAGAAAAATTAAATTTGCAGGATTCTTAATTAGTTTTATTACATTTTATAATATATATTTAATTAATTATTAAAAATCAGTAGATTTATGGAAGAATTTTAGTTAAAAACACTAAAAAAAATTGAATTTTAGAGAAGTTACAAATGTTTGCAAAAATTTAATTTTGTTCAAAAATTGAAAAAAAAAATTGTAATCAAAATTTCAATTATCTTTAAAAACAATAAAATTCTTCTCCAAAATTCAATTATTTTCATAAATAATAAAAATTTCACAAGAATTCAACTATTTACAAATTTTTTCTCAATAATTCAATTATTTTTATAAATAATAAATTTTTTTTACAGAGATTCAATTATTTTCATGAATAATAAATCTCATCATAGAATTTCAATTATTTTTAATACTATTTTAACCGAATACCTCAAAAAATGTAATTATTTTTCCGAATAATCAAAATTTCGTAAAATTGAATTGTAAACAAATGAATTTGAAAATTCTCTAGGAATTTTTGCAAAAATTATTAAAAAATAATTGATAATTGTTCTTTATTTCTTTAGAAGAATTTTAATAAAAAGAAAATAATTGAATTCCTGCAACGAATTTTATTAAATTTTTTTTAAATAATTGAATTCTTTTGAGAAATCTTATTAAAATAGTAGATTTTGAAAATATTTTAATTTCAGCGAAGAATTTCATTATTTGTGAAATGTAATTGAATTCTTGCAAATATGTTTGAAAATAATTCCATTTTTCGAGGAATTCATTTAAAATTTTATTAAAAATAATTTAAATTCTAGGAAAAATTTTAGTATTTACGATACCTATTAATTGAATTCTTACAATGAATTTTATTACAATTTTTTTAAATAATTGAATTGATGTGAAAAATTGTATTAATTATAAAAATAATTGAATTCTTAAAAAGGATTTTATTAAAATTTTTGTAAATAATTTAATTTTTTTGTTTGAAAAATTTTATAGAAATTTAAATTATTATGAAACATGAAGATATAATTTTTGTGACAACCCTGATTATTTAATTATTAGAATTTTAATTAAATTCTCTGCGAAATTCAATTATTTTCATAAATAACAAATATTTATCACAAGAATTCAACTATTTTCCAAATTAATAAAATTCTTCGAAGAAATTCAATTATTTTAAAAAATTTTAACGGATATTTCGTCCAGAAATATAATTATTTAAACTTGACGAAAGAATTTAATTTCAATTATTATTCAATAAAAAAAAAATTCGTTGCAATAATTCAAATATTTTCATAAATAACATTTAATTCGTCACAGAAAATCAATTATTTTCAAAAATTTTTAAATAATTCTGCAAAAGAATTCATTTAGCTTGATAAACAACAAAATTCTTCCCATAAAATCAAAGGAATTTTAATAAAATTCTTTTCCAAAATTCAATTATTTTGATAAATATTAAAATTTATCACAAGAATTCAATTCCTTTGAAAAGTAATAAAATACTTTGCAGAAATAAAATTATTTTCCAAATTTAAAAAAAATTGTCAACATAAATTAAATTATCTTTATAAATAGATAGCGAAATTCTTCTCAGAAATTCAATTATTTTAAAAATTTTTTAATAAAATTCTTAAAAAGTTTTCAATTATTATCAAAAATTGTTGTAAAATTCTTTAATAATATAATAAATTTTATTAAATTTTTAATTTTATTTTCTTAAAACAAATTAAATATTTTCAAAAGTTGTTAATACAATACTTCGTAAAAATTAAATTTTAAGAAACATTCAATTATTGAATAAATGATTTATTTTTGATTTAAATAATTGAATTCTCGTTGATTTAATGAAAGAAGAATTTTATTTGAAAATTGTAGAAAATAATAGGTAATTGAATTGGAATAATGAAAATAATTTTGAAGAAATTACAGTAACAATATTACAACATAACCTAAAATTTGTCTTCATCCTTTCTTCGGAACGCGACACATTTTTATACTTGAGATCTCTTTTTCGAATATAAAATCTTGCGATGATTAAAAATCGCATATTTACCTTGCGCTTCGGTATTTTCCAAAAGTTTATCGCTTGGTTGTTTTCCTTGTTGAGCAAATCCAACTAAAGCCAGACCTTTGTACAATCCACTTCGTGTCAAATATCCAGTTTTGCTGTCAACCAGTTCCCAAATCTAAAGTGAGAAAAAATGAAATTAAAATTTAGTTATTTTGCTAATAATTCTAATATTTCTCTCGTACAGAAAACACTTTTATTCGACCGCAGGGGAGTAATTAATGTACTACCGATTAATTCTATTTTGATAATTTGATTTTTGTTTATGTTTATCTTAACTTCAACAAACACATTTTTGCATTTGTTGTCAGATGGCAGCACGGTAGTTTTAGACAGAATTTTCTCCGCGACGGTTAACTGACATAACCTCACTTTAATGACAGTTGAAACTTGAAAGTATTCTCAACTTGTAGTTTACAATAATTGTGATAATTGTTTCCGTCTTGTTCAACAATCGAATTTTATAATATAATAACAGTATTAAATTATGAAAATTAAAGTCAAGTGTAAATTTAAAGAATAATAATAAAATAATTCGTGTTCAAGTATAACAAAGAAAAATAGAAAATTTATGTTTATTCTCATTTTCTACAAAAAGAAGTTTGAATAAATCTCTAAAAGGTGCATATTATTGCACATTAGGAGACGAAATTTAAATTAGAAGATAATTAAAAAATAATCTACAATCGATTATTGCACAAGAATGGATTACGTATAAATGAAACAGATCTCAATTAAACTAGAAATATAAAGATCAAACATTGATGATACCCGAGGGCCTTGACCTGTAAACTTTGAAGCGTATACATTTATTAAAGAAGAAAGTGTGTAACTTGATTAAAAATTAATTTATTCATAATTGTCGTGATTCTAACAATCATCACTATTTTTATTTTATTAAATCTCTCATCAAGAAAATAGCAATTGGAATAATTAATTGGAATCCATTGTTTGAAAGAAAAGACCAGCATAGTGTTGAAAACAGTTAATAAAAATGGTTTCCGCTCGTTGAATCATTCATTCTGTTAAATGATTTCTTCATCATCTTAATGAAGTTCGATGAAAAAATTAGTTGTTTGGCAAAGCTAGGAGATCATCTAAAGTCCAATTAAAACTTCTTTTTTATCTTAACGGTTATTCTCTCGGTCCAAAAATTACCGAAAGATAACAACAAAAATTGTACTTTGTATTAATAATTGTAATGAATAAGAATTATCGTTAAAGAATGTCAAATTTTAATGAAATTTTTTTATTACAGAATTCTGATGGATACTTTAAATACCAGGAGGATGACTCGGGATTTCTAATACTTCTACTACTTCTAATACTACTAATTCTTGAGGATGACTTCAATATTTTAATTAATCAAGTAAGTGCTTCAATTTAAGAACAGGGTTGCCACAGATCAGGGAAAAGTCAGGGATTTTTACTAAAAGTGCTGGAAAAATTTAAATGTTTAGTATTTATAAGAAAATTCTTAATTTTTCTATCTTTTTGTTTGCCTCATAAACTATAAAATTACCACAAATTCTAAAAAAAAAACCTTCAATTTTTTCTATTTCCAACAATAATTTATTTTAAATAACTGAATTTTATTGAAGAACTGCCATTAAGTAATTTCTTAAAAATCATTTAATGAAGTATTTTTTTGAAAAACTTTAATTTCAATTCTGTTGAAATTAGTTTTAATTTTTAAAACTTTAACGAAATTATTTAAAAGAATTTAACTATCTTAATAAGTATTAAAATTCTTTCCTGAAATTTAATTATTTCCAAAATTTTTTTTAAAATTCCTGTCAACATTTAAATTATTTTTATAAATAGTGAAATTCTTCTCCGAAGTTCAATTATATTCAGGACTTTTTTATAAAATTCATTGTAAAATTCAATTATTTTCATAAATAACAATATTTATTACAAGAATTCAATTATTTTAAAAATTAATAAATTTTTTCGCATAAATTCAATTATTTTCAAAGAAACAAAAAAAATATTGTCAACATTTCAATTATCTTTATAAATCATTTGGAAAATTCAATTATTTTCAGGAATTTTAATAAAATTCATTGCAAAATTCAATTATTTTCATAAATAATAGTATTTGTCACAAGAATTCAATTATTTTTAAATGTAATGAAATTTAATTATGTATTTTCAAAATTTTTAATAAAATTCATGGCAAAATTTTAAATATTTTCAAAAATTCTAAATTCATTAATTTGTACATCTATTATTTTAATAAAATTTCCCAAAAGAATTCAATTATGCAAAAACAATTTTGACAAAGTTCTACACGAATATTCAATTATTTCCTAAAATAATGAAAATTTCACAGGAATTCAATTATTCAATTATTAATTCAATTATCTTTATAAATTAATTGCAAAATTCAATTATTTTCAGGAATTTTAATAAAATTAATTGCAAAATTCAATTACTTTCATAAATAATAGTATTTGTCACAAGAATTCAATTATTTTTAAAAGTAATAAAATTCAATTATTATTTTCAAAAATTTTAATAAAATTCATAGCAAAATTTCAAATATTTTCAGAAATTCTTCTAAATTCAATAAATTGTATATTTATTATGTTAATAAAATTTTTCAAAAGAATTCAATTATATGTAAAAACAATTTTGCCAAAGTTCAACACGAATATTCAATTATTTTCTAAAATAATGAAAATTTCACAAGAATTCAATTATTAAAAATAGGATTTGTATGAATTTGTTCGAAAAAAATCAATTTGTTTGAAACTCTTTTATAAAATTCTTCGCAATAATTCAATTATTTTCATAAATAATAAAACTCATTGCAGAATTTTGATGAGATATTTTTAAAGTAATTTCAATTGAATTCCTTAAAAAATGTAATTATTCTTAAAAATGTTATTAAAATTCGTGAAAAGAATTCAATTATTCAATAATTTATCTCTGTTTGTTTTTAAATATAATTGAATTCTCGTAAAATTTTCTAATAAAAATTGATTTATTAATGAATTTTAATTAAAGTTTTAGATAATTGAATTTTGCAAAAGTTTCAAATTAAAATCTTTAAAAATCTGAATTTTTCATACTTTTAATTAAAAATTCTATGGAACTAATTTTCTTCAAAAAGTTTAATCGAAATTTAAAAAAATTGTTTAATTTAAAGTTTTTATTTTCTATTGTATATTTAATTGAAGAATTTCCGAATAATTGAAATTTCTTGTAAAATTGAATTGTAAACAAATGAATTTGAAAATTCTCAAAAGAACTTTATCATAAATTATTAAAAATAATTGATTTAAAGAAGAATTATATTTAAAAATTTTAGAAAATAATAATTGAATTGAAACGATGAAAATAATTTTAAAGAAGTTACAGTAACAATATTCTTATACTATATAATATAAAAAAATGATTTTATCATCACTCGGTCACCTTTAATTAAAACATAAAGAAATGTTTCCATTTCTTCATGTTTTATAAAAATATTCATTCAAGTTATTGAATTTTAAATTTTTGAAATCTTTTTTCCTATGAAAAAATAATAATGATTAAAAAAGAGGGTTAATGAGGTTTAATGAAAATATTCTTTAGGGTCAGGGGAAAAGTCAAAATTTTTTCTGGAAATGAGAGAAAAATAGAATAAAATTTTTGCGGCAACCTGAAGAATAAAAACCTTTTTTTTCGATTTGGCGAAAAAAGTTCAGTTCAATACGAAAAATAGTATCAAAAATGTTTTTTAATTCGAAAATACTTGAATCAAAAAAATATTTTTCAATAAAACTAGTTATATAGAAAAATGTACACAACAAGTCTGATTGAAATTAATTGAAACAGACAAAAATAACAATTCTTTGAGTATAAAAAAAAACATTTAAATTTTGTAAAAAAAACATTTTGTTATGTCATATTAACAATCGTAGTTTACGATTAAGATCAATGATTTATTGTCGTGTCAATCTTCCGCGTTACTGCAAAGGAAAAATAAATATTTTTTTTTCTCTTAAAAAAGATTCGAGATGTCGAGAGCTGGTACCACGAATATTGACTCAATTTAAAAGTGTGAGTCTATGAGCACACTTACATTGTTAACAGTACAAGTGCACTAGGTATCAATGAACATACAATTACGTCTGCTTGTATCCGTCCCTTATCACTATGCAATAACTATTATTAGTATTAAAATGATTACTAACTTCCCTCATTATAATTGTCAACCACTTGTAGTGTTTATTATATTTAATAATTCCAGTAGATTTATTATTTTATAATAAAAAAAGACTTTTTTTCATTCTTTAAACTTTTTAAAAATTTAATTTTCATAATTAAAATAAAAAAGAATAGTGAGTTAATAAATTATTATTATTAATAATTAATTCTAACTTAATTCTTTGTAAAAATTTTGTCCCCAAAATATTGAAAGAATTCATTATTAATTAAGTAAATAAATAAAATTAAATAAATATAAATAAATAAATCAGTGACAGTTTTGTAATTTTTGAAAATAGAACAAAAAGTGTTTCGTTCGTTTGAAATTTTTAACGGTAGAAAACTTTGGGAAAAGTAAAAATTCTATTTTTGTTGTTCATATTAGATTTCTTATTTATATTGTTTATAAACAATAGTTTATTTATACCGAACTCGTTTAATTTATAAACACTTAATTTTTTTCTAGTTAAATAAAATGAATAGAATTTATAATATTTATTTTTATAAAATTCTTACTCATGGTATGTCAGCTTTTTTATATCATCAACGGGCGTTTCAATGATAAATACTTGCCGATAACTTGTTTTTCACACTAAAGTATATAAAATACAGTACAATTATTTATTGTGTCTTTTATTTATTTTTAAAAGTAAATTTTAAATAAACATTTTCATAGGCGTGATTCTTTTACTCCATTTTTTAGCTTCTTTTTAGATTCCGTTTTAGATTTAGATTTTTCTTTCGGTTAATAATATTTTCCTGAAAATGGGAAAAAAATTCTATTCTTCATACTTATTTCAATTTATTATAACTGCTGCATTTTGCTATTTTAATGGCATTCAATTTTTCTCTGTTGCGAAGAATATTATTTGCATCTTTATTAGGTGTAATTTTTCGAAAAAAAAAACCGTTGAGTGTACATATAATAATTATTGTTGGAAAAATTGGAGCTTTTGCAATGAATTCCTAGTATAAATAAATAAATGATGACCTTGCGTAGAGTGAGATGCAGTCAAAAGTGAAAGGTAAAATAGAAGATATTAACTCAAAGCCGGAGAAATAATATCATCGTCTCTATGAAGCAGGTGAATACTTTTTTCCAAATAAGATATTCCCCAACGTCTTTCATATATATCTTCGAAAGGTGAATGAACTTGTTGAACGACATTCAAATGCAAAATATTTCAAAAGGTATTTAAATTCTTAAGAAATGTGTCATTTTGTACATTAATTTCTTCAATTTCCACTCCACTTGTTCGGTTCTCTTTTATAGTTTAGACAAATGGTTTTTTTTGCCACTATTTAAATATATTGTTTGCTCTATATGAAATAATGTTCTAATTATTCGGAATATTAATTTTTTCGTCAAATTCGAAAAAAAACTGTTTTAATCTTCAAAACGTTTTTTTCAACTTCAAAACTTTTGTGTCTTCAAAAAGTTTTAATCTTGAAATCCGAAGATTATTTCCAAAAAACGAAATTGTATTTAACAGTTCGTTTAAATATACGGAAATCTTCCAAATATCGTTAAAAAATTGTCAATCAATATAACGAAGACAAAATTATATGAGTCGATCTCAATATTCACGCCTGAAGGGACCTTGAGTGAAAACCGGTTTTTATTCTGCAAAGAGATCAAAAACTGAGAAAAAAAAATCGACAATCTCAAAATTACAGTGAAAAACAAACATGCCTCGAGATATTCAAAGTTCGTTGATATTGAAATTTTCGGTAGGTTTCACAGCAGTGAAAAAAATTAACAATTAATTTTCAAAATTTGTTTCAGAATTTTGAAAAAAGAGAAATGTTTCTATAGAATTTTCAATATTTTGGATATAAGACAAGAGAAGTTTGAAATACTTGGGAATAAGAGAAATTTTTCCGATTTGACTTTCTTTCTATAAAAAAGAAATAATGACTTGAGAGAATGACATGCTTTGTGACATAAGTAATTAACTAATGTGTGTATATATAAATGTTGTGAATTTCATTATATGAAGTGTGTGAGGAGTGAAAGATAAAAATACTTAGTGTTATGACGCGATGTCCTAATTTCTTGAGACCGCTATATTCCTGTTCGCACGGTCGAAACATGTATGGCTTTTAAATTACAGGTGCCATGGTGGCTTAAAACTGTACTTTTTTCTTACTCTTATTGCGCATATATATATACTCTAGAACTTACGACTAGTTTTGTATCTCTATTTAATATTTATACCTGACTAAGAATCGAGCTGCTTAATTGCGATTTGACAAGAAGCGATTTAAACACTTCCTTCTCAACATTTCCACTTGTTGGCGAACAGATTTTTTGGTGAACCTCTCGATAGAATGCTGGTATCGAACCTGTAATCAAATTGGATATTTCAATAATTAAATTTCTGAATTAAAATTAATTAATATGTATGCTTTTACATTCACTTTTTCTAAGGATATCAAATAGAGACGAAAAAAGCAGAAAAATTGTTATTTATGAAAATATGTAATTGAATTATTGCGAAAAATTTTATAAAAAAGTTTCAAACAATTGATTTTTTTTGAACAAATTCATGCAAATCCTATTTTTTATAATTGAATTCCTGTGAAATTTTCATTATTTTAGAAAATAATTGAATATTCGTGTTGAACTTTGTCAAAATTGTTTTTACATAATTGAATTCTTCTGGGAAATTATATTAAAATTATTGAATTGAGAAGAATTTTTGAAAATATTTGAAATTTTGCCATGAATTTTATTAATTTTTAAAATAATTACATTCTTGTGATGAATATTGTTATTTATAAAAATAATTGAATTTTACAATGAATTTTCTAAAAATTCTTGAAAATAATTGAATTTTCCAATTAATTTATTGGATAATTGAAATGTTGACAATTTTTTTTTTGATTCTTTGAAAATAATTCAATTTCTGCGAAGAATTTTATTAATTTTTAAAATAATTGAATTCTTGTGATGAATATTGTTATTTATGAAAATAATTGAATTTTATAATGAATTTAAAAAAAAATTCCTGAATATAATTGAATTTCGGAGAAGAATTTCACTATTTATAAAGATAATTAAAATATTGATAAGAATTTTTTAAAAAAATTTGAAAATAATTAAATTTCTGGAAAGAATTTTAAATTATTCTGAAATTAGTTAAATTTTTTAATGTATATATTTATTTAATAAATTATTAAAAATAGTGAATTTATTTAAGAATTTCAGTTAAAAACACTAAAAAAAATTTAATTTTGTAGAAGTTACAAATGATTGCAAAAAATCAACTATTTTCAAAAGTATTAAAATTCTTCGAGAAAATTTAACTATATTCAAAAATTTTTAAATATTCTAGTCAAAATTTCAATTATCCTTTTAAATAATAAAAAGCTTCTTCGAAATTCAATTATTATTTTCACAAATTTTAATAAAATTCTTGGCAACATTTAAATTATTTCCAAAAGTTATAAAATTTTTCGCAAAAATTTAATTATATTCAAAAATTTGAAAATCTTCTAAAAATTTAAATTATCTTTTTAAATAATAAAATGTTTCTCCAAAATTCAATTATTTTCACAAATTTTAATAAAATTATTGGCAAAATTTCAATTATTTTCCAAAGTTAAAAATTGTTTGCAGAAATTCAATTATTTTCAGAAATTTAAAAAACTTCTCGTCATAAAATTTAAATTATTTTTTTAAATACTAAGAAGCTTCTCCAAAATTCAATTATTTTCAAAAATTTTAATATATAATTCGTGGCAAGATTTCAATTATTTTCAAAAGATATAAAATTCTTCACAGAAATTCAATATTATATTCAAAAACTTTAAAAGCTTCTCGTCAAAATTTCAATTATCTTTTTAAATAATAAAAAGCTTCTCCGAAATTCAATTATTTTTTCACAAATTTTTTATAAATTTACTCGCAATAATTCCATTATTTTCATTTTTCATAAATAATAAAATTCATTTTAGTAATTCAATTATTTTCATAAACAGTCAAATTTTTTCGAAATTTCAATTATTTAAAAAAATTTTGCTCAATTAAATGATTTGCAATATCTACTGATTTAATGAACGTTTCCAAAAGAATTCAATTATTTAAAAACAATTTTAATAAAATTCTACGCAAACATTTAAATATTTTCAAAAATAATAAAATTTTTTTTAGGATATCAATTATTTTGATAAATGATAAAACTCATCGCAGAATTTAAATTATTATTTAATACAATTTTATTTAAATTCCTGGAAAAATGTAATTATTCTTAGAAATTTTAATAAAATTCGTCAAAGAATTCATTTTTTAAAATTTGTTAATAAAATTCTTTATGAAAATTTAATTTTACGAAACATTCAAATATTTCATAAATTTTTTATTTTTGCATTAAAATAATTAAATTCTCATAGAGTTTTCTAATAGAAATTAATTTAAAAGTGAATTTCAGTTAAAATTTTACATTATAATTGAATATTTAAAGCACTTAGCATAAAATTTTAAAAATAATTGAATTTTGAAAAGATTTCAAATTAAAATCATTAAAAATCTGATTTTTCATACTTTTAACTGAAAATTCTGTAAAAATAATTTTTTTTGAAAAAGTAATTGAATTTTATTTTGAGATTTTTTAAGTTTTTATTTTCTAATATATTTTAATTGAAGAATTTCCGAATAATCGAAATTTCGTAGAATTGAATTGTAAACGTATGAATTTGAAAATTCTCAAAGAATTTTTTATACACGGAGAGAAAATATAATATTATTGAGTTAAAATACTTTTACAAAATTTAATATATATTATATTAAATTTTGTAAAAGTATTTTACAGTTTGGGGAAAAAGTGCAACAAACCGAAATTTTGACATAGAAAATACTAAACAGTGAAAGAAATAATATGAAATTTAGTAAATTTATATTAAAATTTAACTAAAATTCTTATATCTGATATAATTATTATACTAAATTTCACATAAGTTTTTTTTAAAGTTTAGAAATTTTTATATCAAAATTTAGCTTTGTAGCATTTTTTCCCCAAATTCTGAAATTCTTTTACAAAAATTTAATATAATTTTCTCTCCATATAGAAGCTATATGATAAAAAATTTGAATTATATATGAAAGTTGTATAAACAAATAAATTTTTGTTCCCTTTTTAAGAAAAAAAATTCCCCTTTTCACTTTTTTTGAGGATAAAAGGTGATGCCTAATGATGATTAATTAACAATTGATTTTAATTCACTTGAATTCACCTGATCCAAGATCATTTGATTTCTTACACTTTTCTTTTTTCGAAAAATTACTTCGTAATTAGGTCAACACTAAATGGCTGAATAAAAAATTCAAAATAGTGTAAATTCCATGCGATCATCATTGTTGGTTGTTTAATAAACGTGTCAGTAGTAATCGTATCGGGAGTGATAAGCGATAACGTGTAATAATTAATCCATATTTCGTACATATAGTACATATTACTAAAAGCATTATTGAAACTTAAAGTTTTAATTTTTACAAGTTAATTTTTTTGATTTTAAACCGAAAAAAATCTGTGATCCGCAAATAGGCCTTCTGACTGAATTATGCTACTATATGACGCATTATCTTTTATAAGTACAAATGGCAATATCAAAATGTGACAGGAAATAATTATTTCCAGTCTTCCTGCTTCAATAAATGTTTTAATATTTTTCGAAACGTATTTTACACGTTGACGTAATGCATCATGAAAATTTACCGAGAAAAATGTAACTGTTCATATATGTAAATATATATTTACATACGAACAGTTACATTTTTCAAAAAATATCATGGATCAGGTTTTCTTTAGAGTTTTAAACTAATTAGTTGTTATACTTATTGTAATTGTTTATTATTACGTATTATTATTTATTATATGGCGACAACAATATTCAATGACTATGATAATAATTCAGAATAGTTGTAATAGTAAAAAAATGAAGAAACATTCTTGAAATTTGAAGTAGTAAAAAAGTTTATTGAATTAGTGACTCACTTTTTGCTTTTTGAGTTAAAATTACTTTTTATTGCTTAAATTTAATAGTTAAAAAACAAAAAGTCAATCAGTAGCTCTTAATTCAATATTGATATTAGTAAACATTTTTACTAATTCAAATTTACAGAGATTAATAACGATAATAATGGATTAAATACAATAAAGAAACAATAGGAATTCAGTATATAATATAAATAATATAATAATAATAATAAACAATTCAATAATTACAAAACTATTAATTAGTAATTAATGTAAAATATTTAAAATTTAATAAACACTTTTTAGTTTTTTAAATTTGCCTCCTCGTGGAGGAAGTACTTTGAATTTAAATTTCTCAAATAATTTACAAATTTTTATATCAATATGTTATGAAAATGTTGTAATTTTCACACTAAAAATGCATAAACTCAGTGGTTTCTTTGTAATCGATGTTTATACTCTTCACCTGTACGGCTGTATAAACACCGGTTCCGTAAATAAATTTTGTTATTTAAACAATTATTCTCTCTGAATTTGAGGAGTTTTGGATTATGATGCATGTGACAAAAGAAATTATAAAAATATTCTCAAATCTAACTAAAGATTGTAGAATTTAGAAAAAAAGATTATAAATTTACACTTGGAGAACAATAATCATAATAACAACATAGAAACAGGGGACTTTTGAAACAGAAGATTTATTTACCTGACGATAGATCAGTTGACGCCATATTGGTGCACTTTTAAGATCCTGGATGATCGTCTCCAGGATTATTGGAATTTAATGTTGAAAATTTCTATTTAAGAACTTTTTTTTTTCTTCAAATAAATGTAATTCTTTGAACACTTTTTTCACAATTACACTGGTGAGAAGTTTTGACGTTACTTTAGAATAGGGAACATCGACAAATCGAACGTCGCATGCCATTGCCGTATGGCGCAGAACTGAATTAAGAACTACTGACAGTAAAGTAAAACCAGTTTCTTCGCTCTCTGTACCTACATTACGACCTCTCGTGGTTTCTGTTTAGACTAAATTGTTGTGAAAGTGAAAAAATTTATGTCTTTTTCAGGATTGGAATTGTACAAATCCTATTCTGGTGAGATTCGTGTTTATTTTTTAGTTCTCATTATGATTAGAGGTTGATTTATTTACTGTCTTTTTTTATTTTTCTTTTAATTTTTATTTACTGGCGAAAATTGGGTTTTATTTTATTTTTTTTAATTATTTTATAATTTACCGTATAAAGAAGCTAAGAATGAAAATAATAAACAAAAATTAATGTAAAGATGACAAATATTTGAAAACAATGATATTTTTTATATACAGTGGAACCTTGATTATTCAAACTGTAAATCGATTTATCCAAACTTGTTCACCACCTTAAACCCCAAAAGTTTTTAATTTTGATCCATTCTTGACTAACTTTTAGTTTTGGCTATAAAATTTTAAGTCTTGAGGCTCGAATTAAAATTATTTTATTTTTAAAATTCAGATTGTAAATTTTTGACTAAAACTGATTAATTTTTATCCATTCTTGACTAACTTTTTGACTTATAGGCTAGGACTTTAAGGCTTATTGAAATAGACATAGTCTAGTTTTAAGCTAAAATTAAGCTATATTTTTCAATCAGTTTGTTTTTAAGATGTAAATTCAGACTTTGCACTCGATAATTAATTTTTAAAAAATAGCAAAAAAGTAGCTTTGAAACTGAAAAAAGTAGCTATCGAAAAATTAAACTTGACGACCAAAAAAACTCGTTTTAGAAACTTCATAAAACTGTCAAAAAATCCATTCAATATTTTATTTTCCTCATTTTTTTCCCTAATTTTCATCAAAAATTTTACTTTTTTCTTAAATCCTACTAATAAAATGAATTCCTGCATCGAATTCTATTATTCATGAAAGAATTTAAATATTTATAAAAATAATTTAATTTCTTGCGAAGAATTTTATAAAAATTATTAAATAATTAATTTCTTTCGACTAATTTTATGCAAATTCTAATTTAAGTATAAATGAATTCCCAAGAAATTTTCATCATTCATAAAAAGAACTAAATTCTTACGAAGATTTTAACTCAAATTTTTTTTTAAATAATTGAATTCGGTTTTGAAATTTTATGAAAATAGAAAATATTGTTAATCATTAAATTGCGAAAAGTTTTTCAAAATAATTAAATTCTACAAATTATTCTATTAAAATTTTTGTCATTAATTAAATGTCTATGTTGTATTTTATTAAAAATTTTTTAAAATAATTTAATTTCCAAAAAAGCATTTTATTAGTTAAATAATTTTTAACGCATTTTATTATTTTTGACAATAATTGAATTCTTGCTAAAGATTTTACTAGAATTTTTTAAAATAATTGAATTTCCAAGAACACATTTGTTACTTTTAAAAATAATTGAATTCTTGTGATGAATATTGTGTTATTTATAAAAATAATTGAATTTTGCAAAGAATTTTATTAAAATGACTCAAAATAATTGAATTATCGGAAATAATTTTGTCATTTATCGACATAATTGGATTCTTTCGAAGAATTATTTATGTAAATAATTGAATTCTTGGGAAGAATTTTATTAAAATCTAAAAGAATAATTAAATTATTTCAAAAAAATGTAATTAATTGATTTCTTTCGAACAATTTTATTAAAGTATCTGAAAATAATTGAATTCATGTGAAAAATTCTAATATTTTTGTAAATAATTGAATTCTTCCAAAGAATTTAAAAAAAAACATTTTTTAAAATAATTGATTTTTTCGAGGAATTGAAATTAAATTTTTAGGAATAATTATTATATTTATTGAGCAATTTCTGTAAAATTTTATTAAAAATAATTGAAATCCTGCGATGAATTATATTATTTATGAAAATAATTGAATAGTTGCTAAGAATTTTATTAAAATTTTTAAAAATAATTGAATTCCTGAGAAGAATTTTATTATTTTTTACGAAAATAATTGAATTATTGCGAAAAATTTTATAAAAATTTTTTTTAAATTATTGAATTTTCAAGAAGAAATTTATTACTTTTAAAAATAATTGAATTCTAGTGATGAATATTGTTATTTATGAAAATAATTTAATTTTGCCAAGAATTTAATTACAATTCCTTAAAAATAATTGAATTTTCGGGAATAATTTTGTTATTTATTGACATAATAGAATTCTTTCGAAGAATTATTTATGTAAACAATTGAATTCTTGGGAAGAATTTTATTGAGATCTTAAAAGAATAATTAAGTTACTTAAAAAAATGTAATTAAAATTGTATTTAAATTAATTGAAAAAGTTTTTTTAAATAATTGATTTTTTTGAGGAATTGAAATTAAATTTCTAAGAAAATTTTTTACATTTTTTGAGCAATTCCTATAAAATTTTATTAAAAATAATTGAATTTCTGCGATGAATATTATTATTTTTATGAAAATATTTGAATAGTTTATAAGAATTTTATTAACATTTTCAAAAATAGTTGAATTCCTGAGAAGAATTTTATTATTTATGAAAATAATTTAATTATTGCGAAAAATTTTATTAAAATGTTTAAAAAGAATTGAATTTTCATGAAAAATGTTATTATTAGTGAAAGTAATTGATTTATCGTGAAGAATTGCATAAAAATTTCGTTAAATAATTTATTTTTACCAAATTTTTTTTAAAATCTATTCTAAATTAATTGAATTCCAGTGGAAATTATATTATTTATGAAAATAATTGAATTTGGAATGAATTTTACCAATTTTTTTTTATTTTGAGAATATTTTTTTGATTTCTAGTATTAACAAATTTAAAGTAGCGGAAATTCAAAAAAAAATAGTTGGTTTTTGTCGATTGCGAAGCCTGTGTAAATGGTTTTGGATTTTTTTCCAATTCCAGATTAAGATAATGGTTTTTCTGATTTAAGGTACTTTGGATGCTGTAAGATTCGATTGAAAGATTCATATCTTTAAAAGACTTTTTATTTTTTTTGCCGAACCTGCTTAGTTTATAGTATAGAATACTACATCACACATTTTAAAAATACTTTTTTAGTTATAAAGAAAAATGTAAAGAAATAATTGAAAAATAGCATTTTCTCGAAAATCGCTTTGCAAATAATGTGAAATTTTTGTAGTACGAATTTCTGTAACTTTCAACAAGAAAGTTCTCCCATTGGATAGGGATTTGGCGTTTGTCTTTTCGATTTGAATCTTTCTAATTCCTTCTCGAGTCCCGTTGGTCCCGTTTTATTCAACGATTGAATAAGACGAAGTTTTTCTGCAACTTCCTGCTGTATTATTGTTCGATACTTCTTCCCTTGTCCCAGGGCTTCCATGTCCTTCAGAAATTCTATTCTTTCCCGAATACCTTCGACAACTGAAAGTGTTTTAAATTTTCCGATAAATTCTCATATATTTTTGGGGTTTTTCATTTTGTTTCTTTGTTCAATTTAATATGTAGTTTTGTAATATTTAATTAGACAAATTAATTGTAGCATTTAATTAAAGAGGCATAGATATGTATTGCACTTCGAAGACAGGTATCAGAGAAGCAAAAATTGTTAGGTTTGTTTAAAAATTTTTAAGAGAAAATACAAAAAAGGAGATAAACTCACGTTCTTCAAACATCTCATCATCATTGGGAGTTCTGGGTAATTTCTTTTCTCGGTGCAAATTCAGTGGTCCATTAGGAGTTGGCGGCATGTCCTTACCATACGCCATCATGTGCGCCAAGTGACGTTTTTGTTTTTCCATGTCAGCTACAAAGAAAATAAATTCAATTAAATTTTTTAATTATAAGAACTGTGAATAATAATATTTTGTTACGATATTCAAAGAAAGGTACTAAATTCATACGCAGTGGTACGGTTCTTCTGAATTGTTCTCTCTCATAGAGTCCACTGTTAATTATCAAATTTTGCGAGCGCTTTCTCCAGACACTTGGATATAGGACCTGAGAGAAAAGTTTTTTAATTTTATGTGATGAATTCGACAAATTAAATTGTATATTAGGTGTTGAGTGATTCAGAGTCGTAAAAATAAATTTTTGCCTGGTGAGAAACTGCTTTTTCCACTTGGAAAGTAAAAATATGTGTCTTTAACGGAACAAGTTTATCTACTCTGCTAAATAATGTCGCCTGGCAAAACTGCACTTTTTCTACTTAAAGTGCTACTTGTACTTATAAAAGTAAGTGATGTCTTTCTGTAAGACAGCTTTATCTACTAATATACTTAAAAATAAACTTCGCTTGTCAACGCTACTTTCTTTTGTTCCTAAATAATAAATTGTTTTCTTTATAAATAACTGAGAAAATTGACAAAATTGAACTGTGGAAAAGGCTGACAGTTTTTCTGACGATTTCAAATTTAGACAGAAAACGTATCAAAACAATTCGTAACAATTTTGATACTTTTTCTTGTATTTGATATCAAAAATTAAAAACGATACTAAAAATGGTATCAAAACGTTGGTTCGCAACAATTTTGATACGTTTTTTTGTCTCATCCTTAGAAAAATAATAAAAAACTTTGAAATTTGGAATTTTTTTCAATTTCAAAAATTAAATTTTTTAATTTAAATTCATGCAAATTTCTCTCAATTTGTATTGTCGTCATAACCTGAGGTTCCTTTTCTTTCTTCTTATCTTTAGACGATTTAATATTCGGATGTGGTAGAGATTCTCCACGATCCACGGCTCTTAGGATAGATTTTCTTTGCATCATACTGAGTTTCGATTCCTCCATTAATTCTAAAAATTGAAATAGAAAAAATTAGTTCCCTAAAATTATGAACGTTTAACTTTACAAAATTTATTTACTTCTTTAAATTCAAATTTTTATTGCAATATTTACGTCACGTATATATTAAAAAAAAATAAATTCAGGATGGCCGCATGTCAGTAAAATTAGGGAAATGTTAGGAAAAAAATTTTTTGTCAGGGAAATTAAGAAAATTGAAACTTTTTTCGACTTATTTTCAAAATTTGCTACTTTTTCGACTTTTCTTCCAAATATTGCGATAAAATACCACAATTTTTAGTAAAAAAATGTAACTTGTTTTGATTTTGATAATGCGAAAAATAACTATAAACAAATCTTTCAAAAATTGTTTTTTAATCATTTTTTAACATATAATTAAATTTGTCAAATGTAGGTATCTTTAAAAAAAATCTTTGTGGATAGTTGAAATTTTGTAAAAATTAATTGGAAATAATTAATTTTTTCTCAAGTATTTTGTTACAATTTTTCAGGGTTTCTACAAGTCATGGAAAATCAATTTCCCTGACAATTTACTGACATTAAAATTACTTTCCTTAACAAAATTCTTTTTTACTGAGGAAAATATTAATGTTTACTGAAAATGAGTAAAATTTATGAATTTTAAGAATTTCTAAAAATTAGAATTATAATCCTTCCTGAATTTAATTATTTTCTACAACTAGCCAAACTATCCGCGCGGAAATGTTGTATGGGGCTGCTTATTTTAAACAATTTAAAAAATTTTAAAGAAATAATTATTATAACCTAACAAAGAGATTTAACTAACTAAAATTCAAATAATTTCACTCAATGGTCTCAATTTAAATAGAATTTACATTACTAGACTTAAACTATGGCTAGAACAATTACAATTAGTATCTGGGTCATCTTTTGCATTGCTTATTTTATAAAGCCTTTTTAAATTAAATACTTTTTAAAGAAATAATAATTATTACACACTGAAAAAAGTTTTACTTGAAATAGCGATAAGTTTCTCTAGAATAACGAAAGTATTAATTGAAGCACTAAATAATTTCGCTACTAAAGTGAAATCTGTAGTTCATCCAGCTAAATATTTTTTGCCGTGCATAACGAAAAAAGAATTAAATTAACATCAGATTTTCTACATTCAAAAAAAACGAATTCAAATAGAAATTAATCATTTTACAACTTAACCAAATTCACCCCAGAAATCACTGAATTCGATAATTTAGAAGAAAGTCAGACAAAAGCAGGGTTCCTACAGAATCTGGAAATCATAAAAATGGTATGGAATTTTTAAAAGGCTTCTGGAAATCAGGGAAATCATGGAAAAGGCCTGGAATTTTTAAAAGTTTCTAAATTTTTTCAGTTTTCCATTTTTTTTCTTGAATAAAAATTCAAATAATAATAAAGCTAAATGGCATAAAAGACAAAAAAAATGTTGAATTTTAAGCAATTCGATTTTTCGGATTTTTGATAATTTTTAATAATTTTTGATTTTTTACCAAAGAGTCGAGACAATTTAATTAGTAAAGTATTTTCCAAAAGCACAAAAATAATGAAGCTAAATCCCATAAAAGAGAGGAAAAAATGTTGAATTTTAAGAAAATCGGATTTTTGAATTTTTTCGAATTTTTGATAATTTTTGATTCTTTACCAAAGAGTCGAGACAATTTAATAAGTAAAGTATTTTCCAAAAGCACAAAAATAATGAAGCTAAATCCTATAAAAGAGAGGAAAAAATGTTGAATTTTTAGAAAATCGGATTTTTGAATTTTTGATAATTTTCGCTAATTTCACATTTTTTTACCAAAGAGTCGAGACAATTTAATAAGTAAAGTATTTTCTAAAAGCACAAAAATAATGAAGCTAAATCCCATAAAAGAGAAGAAAAAATGGTGAATTTTAAGAAAATCGGTTTTTGAATTTTTTCGAATTTTTGATAATTTTAGATTTTTTACCAAAGAGTCGAGACTATTAAATAAGTAAAGTATTTTCCAAAAGCACAAAAATAATGAAGCTAAATTCCATAAAAGAGAAGAAAAAATGTTGAATTTTAAAAAATTCGGATTTTTGAATTTTTGATAATTTTCGATAATTTTAGATTTTTTACCAAAGAGTCGAGACTATTATATAAGTAAAGTATTTTCCAAAAGCACAAAAATAACGAAGCTAAATTCTATAAAAGAGAGGAAAAAATGTTGAATTTTAAGAAATTCGGATTTTTGAATTTTTGATAATTTTCGATAATTTTAGATTTTTTACCAAAGAGTCGAGACTATTAAATAAGTAAAGTATTTTCCAAAAGCACAAAAATAATAAAGCTAAATTCCATAAAAGAGAAGAAAAAATGTTGAATTTTAAGAAAATCCGATTTTTGAATTTTTTCGAATTTTTGATAATTTTAGATTTTTTACTAAAGAGTCGAGACAATTTAATAAGTAAAATATTTTCCAAAAGCACAAAAATAATGAAGCTAAATCCCATAAAAGAGAGGAAAAAATGTTGAATTTTAAGAAAATCGGATTTTTGAATTTTTTCGAATTTTTGATAATTTTAGATTTTTTACTAAAGAGTCGAGACAATTTAATAAGTAAAGTATTTTCTAAAAGCACAAAAATAATGAAGCTAAATCCCATAAAAGAGAGGAAAAAATGTTAAATTTTTAGAAAATCGGTTTTTGAATTTTTTCGAATTTTTGATAATTTTAGATTTTTTACCAAAGAGTCGAGACTATTAAATAAGTAAAGTATTTTCCAAAAGCACAAAAATAATGAAGCTAAATTCCATAAAAGAGAAGAAAAAATGTTGAATTTTAAGAAAATCGGATTTTTGAATTTTTTCGAATTTTTGATAATTTTAGATTTTTTACCAAAGAGTCGAGACTATTATATAAGTAAAGTATTTTCCAAAAGCACAAAAATAACGAAGCTAAATTCTATAAAAGAGAGGAAAAAATGTTGAATTTTAAGAAATTCGGATTTTTGAATTTTTGATAATTTTCGATAATTTTAGATTTTTTACCAAAGAGTCGAGACTAGTAAATAAGTAAAGTATTTTCCAAAAGCACAAAAATAATGAAGCTAAATCCCATAAAAGAGAGGAAAAAATGTTGAATTTTAAGAAAATCGGATTTTTTAATTTTTGATAATTTTAGATTTTTTGCCAAAGAGTCGAGACTATTAAATAAGTAAAGTATTTTCCAAAAGCACAAAAATAATGAAGCTAAATCCCATAAAAGAGAAGAAAAAATGTTGAATTTTAAGAAAATCGGATTTTTGAATTTTTTCGAATTTTTGATAATTTTAGATTTTTTACCAAAGAGTCGAGACTATTAAATAAGTAAAGTATTTTTTATAAGCACAAAAATATTGAAGCTAAATCCCATAAAAGAGAAGAAAGAATGTTAAATTTTAAGAAATTCGGATTTTTGAATTTTTGATAATTTTCGATAATTTTAGATTTTTTACCAAAGAGTCAAGACAATTTAATAAGTAAAGTATTTTCCACATTAAAAAGTTTGACATTAAAAAATATATAAAAAATGCCAATACTTAACCCACAAAATTAAATTTTCAAAACAAACAAATGAATGCAGATAATTTGCTAACCGAAAGGAAACTTACGATTATTATATGTATTTTCAACTAAACTTCATCTCTGAATCAATTTATTTAAAAAATTTTGCAAAAGTTCTTGTAGAATTCAATTATTTAAATACATAAACTTAATTTTTTATAATAATTGTGACTCTCCATAGTTTTTTCTTAAGTAATTAAGGTATAATATTTTTAAAAAATTATAATAAAGAAATTCTTACAATAAATTTTTTAAAAATATTTTAAAATAATTTTTGAACGATAATAGTTTTTCAATTTTGAAAAATTTTCAAACAATTAAAATTTGGTAAAATCTTTTTAAAATAATTGAATTTTTGAAAAGTATTAATAAAAATGATCAAATTTTTGAAGAATTTTAATTATAAACAGGACTATGATTTCTCAAAAATTTTAATAAGTCCAAAAAGTAAATTTTTGAATCTTAAAAAATTATTTCAGAAGAATTCTATAATAATTAGTTTTTAAAAATATTTTATTAATGTAATTTTTCGAAAATAATTTTATTTCTTTAATTAATTTTTGTATAATTTAAAAAAGCTTATGAATTTTTTGATTGATTTTAATTAAAAATTTTGATCATTATTGTTTTCTCCAAAATGTTAAAAATAATTCTAAAATTTTATTATTTTTGGAAATATGTAATTGAAAATATTAAAAATATTGAATTTAAAAAAATTGGAAGCTTATTTTCATTTTTAAATTTACCTTTAAAAATTTTTCATTAAAATGTTTGATAATCCAATTATTTTCAAAATTTGCAATTAAAATTCTTCAAAAGTTGATTTTTAAAAATTGTAACAAAATACTTGAAATAATTTAATTATTTTCAATTAAATTTTACAAAATTTGAACTATTCAAAAACAATTTTTGAATGATTTGTTTATAGTTATTTTTTGCATTATAAAAATCAAAATGAGTTGCACCTTTTTACTAAAAATATTATTAAAATTTATAAATTTTACTCATTTTCAGTAAAAAGAATATATTTTCCTGTAAAAAGAATTTTGTCAGGGAAATTTATAAACTGAAGCTTGTGACCACCCTGAAACTCTACTATCTCTAAATTTGAATTAGTACAAATATTTACTAATTTGAGTTAGTAACTGATTTTTTTGCTTTTGGAATTAGTAAATTTTGCTAATAAATAGTAATTTCCAATAATTTACTAGTAAAATTTACTAATTCAAAAGCAAAAAGGCAGTTACTGATTTAAATTAGTAAAGCTTTGAATTAGCTTTTGAATTAGTAAATTTTACTAATAAATAGTAATTTCCACTAATTTACTAGTAAAATTTATTAATTCAAAAGCAAAAGGTATTAATAGCACTTTTAAAAGAAGTCAGGCATTAATTAAGATTAGAAAACATTTTTACTAATTTAAATGTAGTGAATAATTAATTTAGCTTTTATTAATTAATTAACTTTTTAATTTTTAAAAAAATTATAATTTTAATAGAAAAAATCTTTTTCTTCTAAATTGTGAAATTTACGTCAATATATTAATTTAACAATCCAGGGTCAATGAGAATATTAAATTACTATTTCTCTTTTTTTCACTGGTGAAAGAAAGTTAACTTCATAAAGAAAAAAAAGTGCAGTTTATAAAAAAAAGTTTAACTTTATACAAAAAATGGTAGTGTATACCTTTTATTAAATTTCTCGTCTCTTGGCTATATTTTGCTCTCGGTGGGTTATGAATAGCGCCAATTCCAATACCAACTCTTTGTGTGTTCCGCTCCATGTTTGTTTACTTTTTAGAATTATTAAATTACTCTGAAAATTGCAATTTTAAATGATAAATTTTTAGCACAATTCCACGTAAAATATCAAACTCCAGGCATATGTTTAAGAAAAAAAGGGGGGTTGTCAAGAATAGGTTTCTATGACTACTGAAGGTTAATTGAAAAAACTTTCCCCCACTATTGAAATTTTTATATGTGAAACAAATTTTAAAGGAGCAAGTGAATTTTTAATTAAAAGATTATTTTAATTTTTTTGTAATTATCTTTTAATTATAAATTTGTAACGTACATTATAAAAAAAAATTTTGCAACTATATACTGAAAAAAAAATTTATTTTATTCAAATAACGAATGACTTGTCTCTTATCAAATTAATATTTACTTGAATAGAATAATTTTTATTTGAATCAATTAAATCGTAGATATTTGCTTTAAATATTGAGATTATTGATTCAAATACAATTTAATTGACTTGAATAAATATTATTTGATTCAAGTAAATATTTATTTGATTCAAGTAAATATTTATTTGATTCGAGTAAATATTTGTATCGAGTAAATGTTTCTTTGACTCAAGTAAATATTTGTTTCAAGTAAATTTTTATTTGATTCGAGTAAACACTGAGAAAAAATTTTTTTATTCAAAAAAAGTAACCAACAAAAAAAATATGTTTGAACATACAATTGAATTAAACGTAATTTTTGTTCACTGTATAACAAAGATAATTATTTTTGATTCAAATATATTGTTTTCTTAGTGAATATTTGGTTTAAGTAAATATTTATTTGATTCGAGTAAATATTTGTTTCAAATAAATATTTATTTGATTCAAGTAAATATTCGTTTGATTCAAGTAAATATTTATTTGAAACAAGTAAATATTCTTTTGATTCAAGTAAATATTTGTTTCAAGTATAAATATTTATTTGATATAATAGACAAGTAATCGATTATTTGAATAAAAAAAATATTTTTTCAGTGTAATAAAAACAACTACAAGTTTTAAAATTAGAATTAAAAAAACAAATATACTTTCATCCAGAGGAAAATTTTTTTTGAATGAAATATAATTTATTTGAATTTAATGAAAGTATTTTTGTCTCAGTCCAGTAAATTAATTATTTATTTGTCTTAAATAAAAATATTATTCAGCATAAATAAAATTTTTACTGGAACAAAATGAAATAAATTTAAAACAAATTAAAAGTTTACTAGACTCTGAGACAATAAAATTTTTTTCTGTGTTTGTTGCTAAGAAGGTGATTCGAAAAAATTTTTAGGTTTAATAAAAAAAACAAAGAACCGTAAAAAATTAAACAAAAAGGGTAAATTAACTATTAATTTACTTTTTTTAATTAATTTTTGTATTTTTAATTGAATATGCTTTAATTAAAATTTAAAAAATAATTGAAATAACTAAATAAATTAATATAGTGTTTTAGTTAGAAAAGAGTAAATAAATTAGTATATTGATTTAGTTAGAAAAGACTTATTATTAATAAATATATTGATTTAGTGTTTTAAATTAAATTTTTATGTTATTTTGCCTTTTTTGATTTTTGTTCAAAACCTTTTGAATGTCTTATCCCCTTCTTAGCAACAGAAGTGAAATTTTTTTGTTTTTTATTTCCATTTTTATAATTTGTACTCGTTTCTTAATTTTTTCTTTCCTGTATATCAAAATTTATATATACGAGATTATGAGCATTATGATTTCGTGTCCTTTTTTCATTTATCATTTATACACACAGATATATATACATAATTTGTATCTAGTTTTCCAACTTTATGTATATATTTGCTCCGGTTCTAGAAAATCAGACGAAAATGCGCATGTCTGACGGCCTACAGACAGGGGTTGACCCCGGGTTGGAAATTTTCGTGACTCCTTTCTTGTAAAAATCGCACAAATTTTTTTTTTCGACTCAGTGTTTTTGTGAAAGGAATTTTTTTTGTTTATTCGGATAAATAGACACGTATGATTTTATTTGATGAAAGAGAAAATTTCCGTGATGAGACGAGTTTAATTTCAAGAATGTTTTAACCGAAGTGAAGTTATTGATTCTCATCGGTCGAGTGATAGACTACTTTCGTACTTTCTTCTATACTTTCGTAAGTATAATAAATATTTGTGTTCTTTTTTTCTGTAATTATTTTTTGTAATTAATGAAATTTTTTAATTTTTTTGTTTCTGTTCGGTGGGAATTTATTTAGAGAAAAATTAGAAAATCGAGGAGGAGAAAATGAAATGTTATTTTTCAACAGGTTACTAAATATTTTGTTGACTTTTTTAGGATAACAAACTCGAAAGTCAAAATGAAGGTGGGACTTTTGAAGAATTTTTTACACTTCTTCACTCTTAGACAGGGCACGGTTATTATTGCCAAACTGCAGTTGGTAAGAATTACAATTACAATTCAATTAAAATTATACATTGGAATTACAATTAAATTCTGTGAATTATCATAATTATTTTACAAGTGTTGGAAATTCAATAATTCAAATTAACAATTAAGGAAATTTGTATCATTAGTTAATATTTAAAAAAACTTTGTTTGTCCTTAAAGTTTTGAATTTTCAACTGAACGTATTTTAATTAAATACAGTATATGGGTGATTCTCCAAAAAACCTCATTTTGCATGTAATCAATATTTTCTAAATAATTACAATCATTTGGAAAAATACCAAGTCATATTTCCCTATTTTATCACTTTTTCTAAATGTTCTGCAAGAAAAAGTTGTAAAATTTTATTGTTTAATACATTTTTAAAATATTTTACCACCTCAAAATCGATTTTCTAACCTGTCATCTAAGTGCTTTTCATTTTTTCAATAGGTAAAACAATTATTTAAAACATGAAAATTGGTACTTTATTAATTTTTTCTAAAAGTTATGATATTTAAGAATAATTTTCAAAAATATAAATAAAATATGTCGTGTAGTTTTTTTAAATATAGAAAATGAAATTTGTCATGTAGTACCGCGTCATTCCTCTCACTCGTTGAATATTATCCAATATTTTTGCTGTGGGTAGAGATATTGATTAATTATTGTGATCAATATTTAAATTAACATCTCTAATATTAATTTCTTAAGTTACTTTTTAAAAAATGTCATTATTTTGCGTTAAAAAAATTAAAATTGAGACATAAGCAGAGATTCACAACCTAAAGCGTCATTCCTCTCACCCCTAATAAAAACAATATTAATATATATAAATTGATCGCAAATTTTTTTCACATAAAGTTATCCTTTATAAACATGATAGGGCATTCTAAGCTGGAGGAAAATTATTTGTCAATTAAATAAAATTAAAAAATGTTGAAATCGTCATTCCTCTCACCCGTCATTCCTCTCACTTTTTTGAATAAAAATTAAAAATTGATATGATTGTCGGTTGTTTACAAACGGCCAGTGAAAAGTGAACCTAAAATGTATGAAACATAATTTTTAACAATTGTTTAAAGAGATTTTTGATAACTGTAAGTATTTCAAAATCTATAAAATTTATAGATAATATTAATAAATTATAATTTTTAAATAATTTTTTGTAAATAGAAAAATATATATAATAAAAAACGCCGGCGCCAAATTTTAACCTCTTAATTTTTTTGTAAATTTTAATTTAAAATATATACTTTTAAAGCTAAAAGTTAGCATGATCATGCTATAGAGGTGGTAGATTTTTGAAAGCTCAATATAATTGACTGCATTAATCCATAAATAATAATTTTTTTTCTTTTCTGTTTGTAACTCACAAAAAGGAGTATTTCGGGAGAATCACCCATATAAATTACCGATTGCAATAAAAATTTGAAAACTTAAATTTCACATATAGAAACTTTTCATTAAAACAGAAATTTTTTTTCATAGTCACTCAAATTTTTGTCACAAAAATTATTTAATTCGAAGAAGAAATAAATAATTTTCGTTCATTTGAACGTTCAGAACTTTAGGATCATTTCAAATTCAAATATTATTAAGAAATAATATTCCACCACGTATTAAATAATAATTAATTGAAAAAAGATTAATTTACGTCTTTAATTTTATTTCAATGAATAATTTGAAAAAACATTAATATAGAAAAAATACTTGGTTCATTTGAACTCTCAGAATTTTTTTTTGTTTACCTTTTGTTATAATAAATAATTTTCTAATATTTAATTACATTTTGCATTCATTTGCAGTTGATTTCCGGCTACATTATAATTTTTCTCGTCTTGGGTTTATCACACGTGACTGGAATCGAGGTAATGATTGTCAGAGATACCGAGGATGCTTTAGAAAGAGAAGCTCTCGAAGAAATCACGTCGAAACGTCTTAATAGTCAAAAATTAGAACTGGCGCACAAAAAAGCGATAGGTAAATTTAAAAGCGCAAAAAAATTTTTGAAAACTAAATTTCTAAATTTAACTCTTTTGATATTCTTTTAATTTACAGACGAAATGTTCGCAATGTATTTTGCACTGGTATTAACTGTCATTCACTTCGTCACTACATTACTATTGCTGTATGGTGCTCTCATGGTAAAATTAGTCTAATTACTAATTAACTCACGATTTTTATAGTTATTTAATAACTCGATTATTTTATTTATTTATTAACACCATTTAATTTATTTATTATTCATTTCTATTTATTGAAATTTATTTTTTTCTTATTTACTTCCATTTATAGAAATTTATTTATTTATTAGTATTTATTTATTAGTTACTATTAATTTGCCTTTTAATTTTTCATTTTATTTCTATTTTCTGTACATTTAGCAAATAGATGGTTTAATAATTTGTGATTAATAATGTAATTTTTAATGTTAACTTTAATCTAAAAGTGAAAAATAATTTTATTTGCAGAACAATCGATTTTTAATGACACCGTGGATGATGATGATGATGACAATAATCGTTTCATTATTTATAGCATTATTCCAAATAAAAGACGACTGCCCTTTCCTTGTTCTGATCGGAGGGAAGTCTGACATTACCGATCGTATGTACCTTTAAAATTATAATTTTTTTTCTTTGAAATTTTAAAAAGACTGAAGTTTGCAGTATTTTTTAAAGACAAAATCACAAAAATAATGCGACTATTTATTTTAGCTTCAAATTCGTGTCATTTTTTTTAGCAATTGTCTTTTAAGTGGCAAATTTTAAGTTTTAAGAAATTATTCTAATAAACATTTATTAACAGGAAAATTAGAGGCAAATTTAACTTATAAAAAATTATTTCTTGATTTTTTTGTTTTTAAAAACGTTGCTGAGACTTCAGCCTAATTTTATTTATAGAATTTGAAAAGAATATTTTAATTAAAAAATTCAAATATGCCAGGCCTCGGATCGACTTTAAGGCGCAAAAAAAGTCACATTAGTCGATTAAAAATAGAAAAAAGTCGAAAAAGTCGTTTATTTAATTTTGTGTTGTCACAAAAATTTTATTTTGTATTTCCCTGAAATTTCACTGCTTTCTAAATACAATTATTTAAAATTTGAATAATTTTGTTGAGTAAATATTTAAATACTTATTTCTTTTTTTACAGGCAACAAAATTTTAAGAATTTTAATTTTAAACATTCTGCGATTTAATAATTTCTAAAAATTACAACTATAACTCTTTCAAAATTCAATTATTTTCTACAATTTTTAACTAAATTTCATCTCTAAATGAATTATTTATTTTTAATAATTTTTCGAAAGTTCTTCGAAAATTCAATTATTTAAATCCAAAAATTAAATTTTTTATAATAATTGTAATTGTAACTGTCCATATTCTTTTTAAAATGATTAAAGTACAATGTTTTCAAAAAAATTATAATAAGTAAGAAATTCTTCAAATTAATCTCTTAAAAATATTTTTATACAATTAATTAATAATATGTAATTGAAAATATTTAAAATAATTGAATTTTCTAAAATTAGAATGAAAAAATTCTAATAGTAACTTTTTCAAAAATATTTTAAATATCATTTTTAAAAGCTAATTTTCATTAATTTCCTTTTTAAATTTAAATTTGAAGATTTTTCATTAAAATTTCTGAGAATTCAATTATTTTCAAAATTTGAAATTAAATTTCTTCAAAAGTTGATTTTCCAAAATTGTAATAAAATATTTGATAAAAATTACTTGTTTTCAATTAAATTTTACAAATTTTTAATTATTTAAAGATTTTAATGTTTCTTTTAAGAATTTAATTATCTTTACAAATTTATTCAAAAATAATTTTGGAAAAATTTGTCTATAGTTATTTATAACTATTTATTTATTAAATTAATTGAAGGTAAAATCTTTTAAAAATTATCAAATTTTTGAAGAATTTTAATTATGAATATGAACATAATTTATCCAAAATTTTAATAAATTTTAAAAAAGTATTTTTTAAAAATTTTTTATTCATTTTGTTTAAAGACCATTGAATCTTAGAAAATTAGGATAAAAAAAATTCTGAGAATTAGTTTTTTTTAATAATATTCTAAAGTAATTTTTCGAAAATTATTGAATTTCTTAAAAGGATTTTTGTATAATTTAAAAACATATATTTTTTGAAGAATTTTAATTAAAAATGTTGTTTTCTTCAAAATGTTAAAAATAATTCTAAAATATTTTAATGTTGTTTTTTGTATAGTTTTGAATTTTCGGAAATATATAATTGAAAATATTGAATATAATTGAATTTTAATAAATTAGAATGAAAAAAATTTAAGAATTATATTTTTATTATAATTTTTAGAAGCTAATTTTTATATTTTTTAATGTCACACTTGAAGATTTTTCATTAACATTTTTGAGAATTTAATTATTTTCAAAGTTTACAATTAAAATTCTTAAAAAGTTCATACTTAAAAATTGTAATAAAATACTTGAAAGAAAGCAATTATTTTCAATTAAATTTTTGCAAAATTCCAATTATTCAAAATCTGTTTAATTGTTTACGAAAATTTAATTATGAAAATAATTCAAAACAAAATTTTTGAAATAAAAAAAGTAATTTAAAAATAATGTTAAAATAATTTTTGAAAGATTTGTTTTCAGTTATTTTTTACACTATAAAAATCGAAATAAGTTGCATTTTATACTAAAAAAATGTGGTATTTTGTTGCAATATTTGGAATAAGAAAAGTCGAAAAAATCGCATTTTTGAAAATAAATTGAAAAAAGTTCTTAAATTCATAATATCTGAGTCCTATTTATTGAAACAAAAAAACTTTTTCGAATGCAATTTTTTGCAATTGAATATTTTTATTTGAATCAACAAAACACCTCAGTGTTTGGTTTATTCAAATAAAAATATTCAATAGAAAAGCATTTTTGAAAATTAAGTCGATAAAAGTCGCATTTTTTGGAAAATAGTAAAAAAAAAGTTAATAATATTCGAGGCAGATAAAGATAGTAAATTATAAAAATTATATTCAGATAATTATAATTGTTTAATATTTGGTTTGTGCAGTTGACAATAAACTTTCTTTTTCATTCCAGGGCTCTTTGTATTATTTTGCGCTATAGTCTCTATTTATATGTGGTATGTGGTTTATAGTACATTCAACAGTCTCGTGATTAAGAAGGGTATAATTCACGAAGTACATGAGTCGCAAATAAAATACGCGCTCCCTGCTTCTGCACAAGAGAAAAAGATGCACAACAGTAATGGAATTCCACAACCATATGACGTTTAAATAGTGAAAAACAAGAAACGAATTCACTATAATGAGAAGCTAAAATTAAAAGAGGAAAGAGAAAAAAAACCCCATCATCAAATGTCAATTGACAATTTACTAAGAAAAAAAAATTTTGATTTGATTGTTTCTAACAATTTAAGGAAAAAAAATGGTGCTCTGTTGGTGATGGGCAAATTTTTCATTATTTACTTGCTCCTTCTCACTTGCCTAGTAAAACATTAAGTCAGAGAAAAATGAAATGGATTTTTAAAATAACTTCGCGCTGTGAAAAAAAAATTTTTAATTTTGTTAGTATTGAGAAAAGTTTATATTTTATGAACTAAGTTTCATAGAAAGTGATGAGAAACTATAATAATTGAAGTAATCACAGCTTACATTGCAACGTTACGATACTATATATAAAAAAACAAGAAAAAAAATTAAAAAGTATTTCAAATCCTAAATCAAACTATAAAATCTATAATCGTGATAGGATATTAAATCCGTACATCGAAAAGAAATTAGTTAATTATTTTTTAAAGCATTATATTTCACTATAGATAAATTTCTAACTCCAATTGATATTGTATATCTTTTAGTAAACTTGTAAAATACACAAATTTAGAAAAATTGATTTAAAATAATTAAGGCATAATGGTTTGTATTTTATATTTCAAAAAGAAAACACAATGTTTTTTGTGAAATTACAATCTTGCTATTTTATGGCAAAGTTCAGTGTATACACGTGTATAATAAATGTACGGAAACGTCTTTAAAAATTAAACACCCGCTCACTAATTCTGTCAAAATATTAAAATTGTATTTTATAAAAAATTCATTATAAGTCAATTTTTTTTTAATATAAGCAGAAGCAATAATTTAAATTTTAATAATTTATATATATAAAAGTAATTTACAATTGTTGAAAATAATAAATTTTGTAAATTTATTATTTTACCGATTTTAATTATATAATTTTTTATAATTCTATAATTGTCAATAATTATGTCTCGATTATCGAGTTGAATTATCTATATGTCAAAAGAAGATTTTGTACAAAATGTTCGTTGGCACTTTAATGCTAAAATCATTTCTTTTTAAATTCTTTTCAATTCGATAATTTTTTTATAATGTATAATAATATGTATGAGATAATGTGCGATTTTTTTGTTGTACTCAGTCTCTCGATCTTTACCGTTCCTTTTATTTCGAAAAGTTTATTTATCGTTTTTTGGGAAAATTTAGTGAGTTCCTTGATTAGGAACAATTTCTTTAGTCATTGATTTAGTAAATATTATTTTCTTCACTGAATTCAGACAATCGAACTTCGTTTCGAATTTTACCCTTTTTTTCTTTTCTTTCCTTTTTTTAATGTACTGATCACATTTTGTCGTCAGTCATCTCAAGAAACTGAGCGTAAAAGTCTCTTGTGCACTCGCCTTTATTATTAAACACGAATTTGTAGTAACTACCGTCTGCGCATATGACTGAAAAGAAAATTCGTTTTTAGAATATATTTGTTTGACAAGTGAATGGAGAATAATTCTCTATTCTGAATAGAGAAAATTACCAACCTATGATACTATTGCTATCTTTTCCAAATGCACACATGCATTGAGGTCCATCGGGAACTTGAAATTTACAGAAACTCCAACTAGAGCTGAAATACTTTGGCAAGAAAGTTGCTGAGGCTAAGCTTGACTGTCGATTTAGTTTTTGATCCTCCACAGCAAATACATGCACCGTGCCATGATCGCTCGCAACGCACATCCATGTCGAGTCGTGATTAAAATTTATACTAGAAATTCAATTCATTAATTATTTAAATATTCAAGAGTGCCACAAAAATTTAATTTTTATTTTTCCTTAACTTTTCCCTGAATTCTAGACAAAATTTTCATTTTTTCCCTTACCCTCAAAAATATTCTGGATAGTAAAAATTATTCGGATACTCAAAGAAATGTTCTATTACATTTATTTACGAATTTCTCTAATTGTAAAATTATACGAAAACATCAATAACTTCATTGTTAAATAAATATTTAATATTTTAATCATTATTATTTTTTCATATGAATTAAGATTTTCAAAAATGTTAAATTCAAACCTTTTTGAAATTTAACAACTTAGAAAAAAATTATTGTAAAACATGAAGAAATGGATCACTCCGAGTCTTCGACACGGAGTAATCGGTTTCTTCATGTTTTATAACAATAAAAATTTACCGAGTGATAAAATCATTATTTTAAATTATAAAAATATTGTCACTGCAACTTTTTCAAAATTATTTTCATCATTTCAATTCAATTATTATTTGCTAGAAATTTTAACTAAAATTCTTCTTTAAATCAATTATTTTTAATAAGTTTTGAAAAAGTTCTTTGAAAATTTTCAAATCTAAATTGTTTACAATTAAATTTTACGAAGTTTCGAGTATTAGCAAATTTTTCAATTAAATATAAATATTAGAGAATAAAAACTTCAAATAATTTTAAGAAAAAATTCAATTTCACTTTTTCAAAAAAATTAATTCTACAGAATTTTTAATATAAAGTATAAAAAATTCAGATTTTCAAAGATTTTAAGTTGAAACCTTTTTAAAATTCAATAATTTCTTAAAACTCTCACTATATTGGTTTTAATATTCAATTAATCTAAAATTCGAACTGAAATTCATTTTTATTTCATTTTTTTTAGAAAATTCTACATAAGAATTCAATTATTTAAATTCAAAAATAAATAATTTATTGAAGGTACTTGAATTTTTTTTAAAATTGAATTCTCATAAAGAAATTTATCAACAAATTTTTAAATAATTGAATTTTTTCGACCAAAATTTAATAAAATTTGTAAGAATAATTACAATTTTCAAGGAATTTGAATAAAATTGTATTAAAAATTATTGGAATTCTGCGATGAGTTCTATTATTTATGAAAATAATTGAATTCCTAAAATGAATTTTAGTATTTACGAAAATAATTGAATCTCTGTAAAAATTTTATTATTTATGAAAGTAATTGAATTAATGCGAAGAAATTTTTAAACAAAATTTATTAATAATTGAATTCCCGTGAAATTTTGATTGTTTACAAAAATAATAAAAAACATAAAATTTAAAAAAAATACAAATTCAATTGTTTCGAAGAAAATTTAATTTAATTCATTTTAAAATGCTTCTAATATTCAATGTATTATTTAAAATTTGAACTAAAATTCATTTTTAAATCAATTTTTATTAGAAAATTCTACTAGAATTCAATTATTTAAATACAAAAATAAATAATTTATTGAATAGGTAATTGAATGTTTCTTAAAATTCAATTCTTATAAAAAATTTTATAAACAAATTTTTAAATATTTTATTAAAATAGTAGATATTAAAAATCATTGTATTGAAGAAAATTTTTGAAAATAATTGAAATTTTAGAAAGAATTTTATTAAAATTTTTGAAAATAATTGAATTTTGAAGAAGAATTTTATTATTTATAAAGAGAATTAAAATTTTGACGAGAATTTCATTAAATTTTTTAATATAATTGAATTTCTGCGAAGAATTTTATTACTTTTTAAAATAATTGAATTTTTGCAATAATTTAAAATTTTTCCAAAATTCAAATTTTATTTTGTGTTTTTAACTAAAATTCCTCAATAAATTCATTATTTTTAATAATTAATTAAATATATATATTAAAAAATTGAACTAATTTTAGAATGTTTTAAATTTTGAAAATTTTTGCAAAAGTTTAAGTTCTTTAAAATTTCTAATAAAATTCATTCAAAATTGAAATTTTATAAATTTTGAAATTAAAATGTTTTGAAGTTCATGTATTTATGAAAATTGTTATTAATGAAAAAAATGGAATTATTGCGAAGAAATTTATAAAATATTTGTAAATAATTGAATTCCTGTGAAAGTTCTATTATTTTATGAAAATAATTACATGTCTGCGTAGAATTTCATTTCATTTATTTTGAATGATTGAATTCTTTTGAAATATTTTATTAAAATAGTCCATTATTTACAATAATTAATTAAATATAGGTATATTAAAAAATTGAACTATTTTCAGAGGAATTTGAATTATTATTGAGAATCTAAGTTCTTTAAAATTTCGAATTAAATTTATTTAAAATTGAAACTTTATAAAATTTCCAATTGAATTCTTTTGAAGTTCGTCTATTTATGAAAATTGTAACCCCAACTCTTTTAAAAATTGAATTAATTTTTAAATATTTAAGTATAAAGTTATTCATTAAATAATTTCTATGTAATAATTTTATAATAGTTCTTTAAGAATGAAGTTATTTAAAAAGAATTTTTTGTCAGGAATAGAAAAATTTGAAGGTTTTGTATTAGAATTCGTGGTAATTTCATAGTTTATGAGGCAAACACTGAGAGGAATATTTTCGTACACACTCACCAATAAATATTCGCGTGATTTGTACCTCTTCTTAATTCGTTAATTTTCATTCCACTCTGGGTGTCGAAAACTCTAATTAAAGTACCCTTTTCAGAAGCAGTAGCTAATCTTGTTCCTTGCAAGTTTAATGCTATGCACGATAAGGGCGTCTCATGTGCTTCGATATTCAACGGTTGTTTCTCGGTATTTGCCAAATCAACAACTGCAAATTGTAAAAATGAAATTTCGATTTTTATAATTGTCAACTATTATTCAATATTCAATTAAGAAAAAATCGTCTTTTCCTTTTTATAAAATAATTTTTCGTTAATTGACCCCTTATTATTTCATTAATGAATTCATGTGATGAAAATAAAATTCTCACCTTGAACGTGTCCGTTTTTTCGGCCAGGAAATGCGAGTAATGAATTATTACTATTCGGGCATAAAACACACAAACCTTTGGGATTGGGATTTGTTTCGAAAACATGTAATTGTTGGGGATTTTGTGTGAATGTGTAAACTTTAATAACTCCTTCCAAAATTACTACTATTCTGTCTCTTCTTAATTTTACCCCCTTGACAGGAGCATTGAAATCTAAATTTATTGCCGGTGATTTCTTTAAATCGTCCCATATTGTAACTGAAAAAATAATTTCTATACATTCGGAATACTTTTTTTTAATGAATACTATACTTTTTGTTTTTACTGAATAGTAAGTTTTTTTTCTTACCTCTATTAGTCGGATATAAAGATTTTGAACCTCCACCAACCAAAGCTAAATAATTGCACCTAAAAAGCATTTCAACATATCCTAGTCCTCCATCTGTAAAATCATGTCTCTCCTTCTCCTTCAATGGATCACAGTTGTAAACTCTGTAGCCATTTTCCATTCCACAAGCAAAACAACCTATCAACAGTAATATTGACACATGGACATTGAATCTACATTAATATTCAGACTTAATGATAACTTTTATCTGTTTACAACAAAGTTCTTAAACTATATTAAACACTCGTATTTTTTAAATTTATAAACAGAATAAACATAAAATCTATTTATTTTTTCACTAAAAATGTCCCGAGACTGCCAAAACGAATAGTTTCGTTAAAAATCGAAAAGTAAGCTCCCACTTTTAATTTTTAAGTCTTTAAGAGTTTCAATCAAATAAATCAAATTAAAAAAAGAAATTAATTCATCTTTAGGTTATGACACAAATTAAAAATTTTAAGCTTCACGAAAGAAAACATTTCTCGAGTGTATTTATATCAATGAAAGATTCAGAGGGAAATTATTCTCTTTTCATCCTAAGTCACTAAATTTTGGTTTAAATATAAATATTATTGTAATGGCATGCTGTCAAACATTTGTTTCTCAATTTACCCTGATCTTGATTAAAACCGGCATAAAGTAAGCCATTTTCATACGGATTTCCCGCAGTTAAGTTCATTTTATTAAAATGTACGTTTCACATTCAACATAAAAATTATTTTATTGTAGAAATTTATCACATTTTCACCGGTTGCGATGCACAGAAACGTACACACTATTTAATCTTTATTTTTTTGCGTGTACAAAATAACTATATAGGCATCTTGTCATTCTTGTCAAACTGTCAACAGGGCAAGGAAAATTTGTCAAAAATCCCTCGCTTTAGACCAATGAAACTACTCGCTTAAGGGAAATTAATCTTATGATTAATTTATCTGATAGGATAATAAACAGCTGTCCAAAGTTCATTCAATGTTTTCTTGCTTTTCTTATAGGTTGAATAAATACGAGTGGAGTGTAATTGGACCGTTCCTTTATATTAGCGGTTTGATTGGAGGAATGAATGGAATTCGTCGGAACGTACGCAAGTGCGCATGCGTGAGTTGTATTTTAAAAATGGCGTCGGTTTGTTTTTGTCATTACTTTGTCAGTAGTTTTTTTTTGAAAATCGCATGTGTTATTTAAGTTAAATATTAATTGGATAGTTTTTGTTTGAAGAATGTGTTTATTATTGGAAGAAGTTTGAGAAAAAACGTACGTATTCTATTTTCTTTGTGTCTAATGACACTGGGAACTTGTTGAGTGGAAGTGTGAAATAACGTGCTTTCTACCATTTTTAGGTTAGGATTTTGTGAGTTTATTTTCCTCTGTAGAAATAATAATTTTCTATGAAAACAATATGCAGTTTAGACAATTGCACACTTGTTGTAGACTTTTAAAAGAAGGGGGAATTAATGTAAAAGGAAAGAAGCATAGTTCTAATTTATGGTTAGAACGACAGCGGAGAGATCCTTATGTTGAAAAATCGAAAAAAGAGAATTATCGTTGTCGAAGTGCATTTAAACTTCTGGAAATAAATGAAAGGTAATAATTTAGCAGGTAATTGAATATTGACGATAGTTTACTTTTATTTTATTTATTTTTCTTTACTTTTATTTTTTCTTCTATTTTTGGACTACTGTGAATTTTTCTCGAATGTTTGGTTAGGTTTTTTCAAAAAATGTTTCTTTTCGAATACAAGTAATCTTCGATTTTCTTTTGTCAATTGGTTTACTGACTGTAAACCTTTGAAAACTAATTATTTGAAATAATAAATATTGTTAATTCATTTCAGTTTTTAATTATTAAAACAGTTAACAATTTAGACAAAGGTATAAAAATAGTGAATGGAAATGCCGAGAGAATGCAATAATATGGATTGGCTTTTTGTCAGGTTCAACATTTTGTTTCCTGGCATGGTTGTAGTAGATTGTGGCGCAGCTCCAGGAAGTTGGACCCAGGTTGCTGTAAAATTGACAAACGCCAATGGAGCTCAATCCGAAGAACCAAAGGGTTTAGTTTTCGCTATTGATAGACAAATCTTCCAGCCAATTGAGGGAGCAGTAATTCTTGGAAATAGCGATTTTACACTAGAAAAAACTCACGAAAAACTTCGATTCTTCTTGAATGGCTCCTTAGTGGATTTAGTTATGTCCGACATGGCGCCAAATGCCTCAGGCGTTAAGAAATTAGATCACGACGTTATAATTGAACTTTCGTATTCAGCGCTGAAATTTGCATTGCAATTCTCAAAGCCAGGTTCTTCTTTTCTAACTAAAATTTGGGCTGGCGGAAAAACGAATCAATTGTACGATGATTTAACGAAATATTACAAGAGCGTGAAAAATGTCAGACCAAAAGCGACGAGAGACGATTCCTCCGAAGAATATTTATTAGCAAAAGATTTCAGAGGACTAAAGTCGGGATAAAAGAAAATGAAATCTAGATTATTGATTTATAGAATAGGAAAAGAGAAAGAAATACAAAATCGCGTATATAATATATATGCAATGTACATCAATATATTTAGCTATAAATAATACAATAGTATTTAATACAATACAATCAATACATCTTTACGACAGAGTTAACACTTGCATCGTTTTTTTTACGCTGTATATACATTTTTCTTTAATAAAATTAATATGTACATAAATTAACGCATGAGTGATGTTTAACACAACACGTTAAAACAAAAAAAAATGAATTATAAAGTTACTGGCCGCAATGTCAAGTATGTACTAAATAATTTTTGCGAAAATTGCTCAATGCGCAATTATCTATTTAATACAAACGAGGGTTGAAAAAAAAAATTAATTTCAATTCTTTTGCATTTCTGCAAAAACAATTTTCGATAGATTAAATGACAAAAATGAAATAATTTACAAATTGCAGAGGCCATAATTCTTTGGAACGTCACAAACGAAGGACGAAGATTACTTGTAAATCGACACATTAATACAGACACATTCTTTTTTTTATTTTTAATGCAAAAACACACATTAATCTCTATTTAATAACAATATTACTGATCAATTTTACTGCACGACAGTGAAATGATTGTTTAGGTCAATTTTGCCACCTCTATTTTATTATTTGAAATTTGTTCCGACGATTTAGAAGTAGAAAATTAAACCTGAAATTAAAATATATATAGTACATTTCTGTGACGTTGAGGAAAATTCGCAGTAATCTTTTCATTCGGTTCTATTGCAAAATTGGATCGCGATGATCACATAAATAAAATAATACACTACATTCAGTCTATCAAGGTACTATTTTTGTACCAAACGCACTCGTCCTTTTCTCTTCAAAGGGATTGTTTTTTTTTTTTTTTTTTCTTTATGTACTTGTCAGTTAATTTGACAGTAATCTACGCCTAACATCGATATCCATTAAATTTAGTAGATTCTCGTACATCTCGACAATGCATGCACCTACCGCACTGAATACATATACAATAATATGTGCTCGTATGTATTTAAATGCATAAGAAATTGATTATCAATCGTAAAAAATTTTTTACGTCAATTTTGTCGCTTTTTTTAACTTTTCAAGTTGGAATTTAATTTTTTTTTTTAAAGAGTAGCTACAATTTTACGAAGAAATTACTCTTCTTCTTTACGAAGAAATTTATTTCACTAGAATATATCGTAACAACACGTTGATAAGATAGAAATTTACTACAATATATTCAAATAGAAAAACGTATTAAAGAAGCGGTAATCATGCAATATTTAAATTTTGTTTGTTAGTATACAAAATTTCGACAACGATTTTTTTCTTTTTTTTTGTTTTTTTGTTTTTCATGTTTAAACATTTGATTTACAAAAAATTTTTTTGTATAAAAAGACCTTCTTTATTCTCTGTAAATTTTTTAAGAAAATTATTGAGACAATTTTTTGAAAATTGTGACAAATTTCTTTGAAATTTGTATTTTGGGAAAATTATATTTTCGATTTTTAATTATTTTTTTCGTGAAAGAAATTTTAAGATGGTATAAAAAATTTAAGATTACATCCTTTTTGAAAGCATTTTTGCGGAAAAGTTTGTTTTTGTATGAAAAATTAATCAAGTTTTTTAAACTTTGAGTGGATGGAAAAATATAATTTTTGTTTGTTCATTTTGTTTATGGACTTTCTGTAGAAGGTCGAATATTTCTTTTTTTATATAGTATATTTTAAACTCTCATGTAACAATGTACATGAATGGGATGCATGAATATTGCTTGCAACTCATTATTTTGAATTTTTGAAAATTTTTCTTTTTGGTTGTATTTCGATATTCGAAAATTTCTGAATTTTCTGCAGTTCTCTATTTTTAATTTTATATAATTTATTATTTTTTCTCCCTTCTATGTTGTTTTTAAATATTCGAAAATTTTTGAACGTTCGAATAAAGGTTTTTTTTTTACAGTAAAAATAGTTTTTAATATATAAATATTATCAAAAATTTCTGTATAATAAAAATCATAAACAGTAATTTTAAACTTTTTGTTTCTTTGTTTTTTGCTTTTTCAATTTATTGCAGTAATTTTTTAACTTTGTTTTTTGTTTCAATTTTTTCTTGAATTTGATATAGTGATTTGAAAATTTTATTTCTTTGCTTCTTGTTTTTTAATTTAGCAAAGAAATTTCTAAATTTTGTTATCTTGTTTTATTAATTTTTTTGTTTTTTCATTTTTTAATAGAGCAATTTTTAATTTTGTTTGTTTATAAGTTTATTTTCTCAATTTAATAATGTTATTTTCAAATTTTGTTTTCCAGTTTTTTTTATTTCTTTTTTCAATTTAATAGAGTAATTTTTCAATTTTGTTTATATTTTCAATTAAGTAAAGAAATTTTTAAATTTTGTTTGTCTGTTTGTTTCTTTTTTTTAATTTAATTGATTAATTTAAAAATTTTCTTTATTTTTTCAATTCAGTACAAAAATTTTTTAATTTCATTTTTTCGTTTGTTTTTTTAATTTAATACAGAAATGTTTAAATTATGTTTTGTTTGTTTATTTTTTCGGTTTTTTCAATTTAATACGATAATTTTTGAATTTTCTTTTTCTGTTTGTTTGTTTATTCTTTCAATTTAATACTGTAATGTTTGAAATTATTTAAACCGCCAAAAAAATCTCGTTTATTTGAACTTTCAAAATTTTAGCGAAATAATATTTTCTCAATGTAAATATTTTCATAAATTACTGACTGTAACAAAAATCTAAAACGTAAATTAAACATTTCGTAATTTAACATTATTATAAAAATATTATTATTAAAAAAATTGTGACATAATATTATTATAATAAAATTTCAATTTGAGAAACAAATTTCTTTCATTTGAACGTTCAGAACTTTCGGATTTTCGGAACATTTATTTAACAACTTTTAAAAGAATTTATTTATTTATTTATTTTTTTTTTGAAAAATGAGAATTCTGCTTTTTTTCATTATCATTTCGTTGACCTTTATTCGTCATCGAGGAAAACCAACGCAACCTAGTTTCGATTATAAAAGAAAAGAGAATTTTCCATTCTTTCTATCATTCAAAAAAACCAGAGAGAAAATTACTTTCGCTATTCAACAAAGAACTGAAAAATTTCGCTTAAGTGAAAATTAGATATAAATTCCACTATAGAATTCTTGTTAGAAATTCACAACAATGAATTGTGGGTAATATTCACACGTTCCCACATGAATAAATATTAAAAATCATTTAGAATTGCTATAACTACTTAAACGCAGTTTAGTCTACCTGTATAGGAATATTTATTAAACTTACAAAAAGTGTTTGTTAGCTTTTTTTAAATTTGGAATATACAAATAATTACTCTTAATATGAATAAGCGTTATTTTAAATTTATGCTTATGGAAAATTGCTGATTTTTTTATATTAATATTTATGTGTGGAAGCATTCAAGTAGTAACAACAATTTTCTAAATGTCCAAACAATTATTGGCTTCCATGTGCATTTTTTCTTTTTTTTTTTATTGTTGAACCCATTCTCTCTTCAGCTGATATATTCTTTCTCTCGAAAGGATATCCGTGATAGAACTGAATAACGTCAATGTTGTGCAATGTCCTCGCAACTTTCGTCGTCTCCACTTTCTCCGATTCAAGTTTTCACTCGGATCGTTAATACATCTTACATCTTAGATTGACTTGTTTTTTTTTCTCTTTTTTGAAAATTGCAAATTTTTTGTGAAACTTGAAAATGACCAGACTTATTCTTTATGTCTTGATTTCTCGCTTTCTTGGCGAGAAGAAGACTTGAATTCCGTTCTTGCGCAATCGGATTCAATTGCAAATATCGAAGCAGACCTCTCTCGTGTCCCGGCTTCGTGGAATTCCTTAGCTCATACTTATTTGGCACCGTTCTGAAAGACGTCGCGAGAGCCGCCCTATTAGTTTAAAGAAAAGCATCCCAGCTTCTTTTTTTTTTTTGTTTCTCTTAAACGCCGATAGGTGAGCGCATATTCTGAGAGAGGACTCTCTTTACTTCGTGCGGCGATTTTTCAGTGTAGAAATTTATTCTCCTCGAGGGTGAGATGCGCGATGACCTGGAAGTCGCTTCTTTTTCTGGTGCACTCGGATACCGGGGGTCTAAACTCGGGTCCCTGAGGAGAGGCATTCGCTTCCAGAATCGCAGGAGCATGGGATTTTGGTTTGTCTGGGTCGCTGGTGGAAATCGCCAACCTAGTTGTTTCTGATTGAACTGATTTTTTGTCCCTCCGGATGTGTTGGGGTATTCTTCGCGGGAGAAGGTGAAACGGTCTTTGAATTCGGGACTGTGAATGCTGTTGACGTCGTCGGAGGGGAATCGAACGTAACCCGGACGTGTTCGTTCGTTGCTGGGGAATTTGACGAAGTTTTTATTTTGATTACGATTGGCGGTTGGTCTGCCGAAGTTTGGTTTTGGGTCAAGGTTGGCGGACTGTAAAGGGAACTTGCTCTCGATGTTCAGGGGGAGAATTCGCTTACTGTGGAAGTTGGCTTCTTGTTCTTCGGGTACTTGTTCTATTGGACTCGCCACAGGGTCTCGAAGACGAGCCGAGTGTGGAAATGGCTTTGAAACCACAGGTGGTTCGGTGGTAGTCAAATTGTGTGAGTCCTTGATTGACTGAAAATTAGTCTTAAGAAGCTGCCCGTCTCGTTTCCTGCCATAAATGTTCGAGCCACGATTATCCTGTGGCGAGAAGACGACCTCTGGTTCCGTAATGAGTTTTTTTTCGGACTCGAAGAGTGCTTTCAAATCGTCGTCGTCGTCGTGGTTCTGTTGGCTGGCGGTGCTATTTGCAGAAACAGGTTCCGTGGAATTTTTCACCTTTTCACTATTTACGTCGAGGAGAGTCGTTTCCACGATGAAGTCTTTGTTGATGCTGACTTCACTGGAGAAGTTACTCTCGAGGTCCTCGGCTCGCTCGGTGGTCGGTGCTGAATCGCTTTCGATGTTAAAAAAAGTAGTTGTTTCCATCAAGTAGTCATCTTTCGGTACTTGGGTCGTCGTTGTCGTTGTCTTTGTTTTCTTCTTTTTCTTCTTGCCAGAGCGAATCAGGGCTTGATTCTCGATTGGAATCGTCATGCCAGTCTCCCCATGTTTGAGGATCTCATCCTCGGATTCCTCCTCCGAGACTTGTGTTGTGTCTAAGTACTCCTGGTCCTCGAGATCCGGTTCGAATTCTTCCTCGTAAACAACGTCAGCATCGATCGTCTCATTTTTCTTTGTACCTTGAATTGGTGACGCGTCGCTCTCGTTCTTCCAAGTTTCCATTTCTGAGTCAATATCAAGCACGTGATCATTTATGATCTCCTTTCGAATTGGTCTCTCGGTCATGTTCTCTATTCTCGTGTCACGTGCCAAAGTCGTGCTCTCCTCCTCCTCCTCTAATCTTGTAGACACTGTTGTTGGGTATTCTTCTTTCGTGAAGTACTCATCTTTTGTCGAATTTTCCTCATCGGTCCAGGAGTCTTCCGTTTGGGGTGATCCCTCCTTAGAATCTTTACGATCGTCTTGTGGATTAGAGATGTTTTGGACACCGAGTGGTATTTTGTAGTCCACAATGTCGGAGAAGGTCTCGTTCGCCTCGTCATTAAATGTAGCAACGGGAACAACAAGCGCTGGTGATTCCTTGTCCTTCTGAATCGTGAAATTTGAATCTAGAAACAATGAGTCCTCGTGATCTTCTTCCTCGGGGGGAATGTTTGTTTCATTCCTTACATTGTAGTCAATGAATGATTCCTCTTTCTTTGTTTCTAATGGTATTGCCTCGAGGGGGATTTCAATCTCTTCCTCCTGCGAATTGGATTCGCCTTTGTTTGTTTCTAGAAGAAGAGGGATGTTCACTTGAATGGGACCGGAGGATTGTTTTTTCTCGTTGGAACTCGTTTCCGATGATGTTCCCTTGCCTAGTAGTTTATTCAATTGTTGGAGTAGAAAATTATCGTAGGCCTCTTGATCAATATTGACGATTTTCTGACACCTTCCCATACTGTCTGCTTTATAGCCGTCGGCGCAGGGTTCGAGTTCCAATTGTGGCGCTATAAAGACACTTTTTGGCGTTATTCGTCTATTGGCTGTGGATGAATTTTGATCGGTCTCTGAACCAGGTTGAGAACTTTGCAAAAGCCAAGCTTGCCAGGCCAAATTGAGAGGTGAGTCAAAATCCTGTCCCAGTGATCTTCTCTTCAATGACAGTGACGTTGTATTTTCCTTTGCTCTCTCTGGATTCACAGGAGCTGAACCGATAAGTTCCAATGAACCTAGAAAACCCAGGAAAAACAAAGTAATCCTCCAGTGCTTGGCGGAACGTTTCAAATTGATCTTGATCATTTTTCCCTCTCGGACGTTGATCCTTCTGTTTTCTGATCGCAGCTTTGTTAGGACTCGCAGGTCACCTTCCCTCCATTAGTCGACGCATTGAAAATGCCTGAAAATAGAGAAAAATATTCAGTTTCTCATTCAACAAACAGAAAAAAAAGAACTATAAATATCTTTAATTTAATTAAAAAGAGGAGATTTTCTTTTTTAAAGAAATAAATATCAAAACAGGAGCAATAAACTCTGGTGAATTCCAATTTTAAAATTCTTTTGTATTGAATGGTGAAAGTAAATGCTAAAAATGAAGTGAACGAGCAGAAAGGATGAAAAAGACAAAGTCATAAATCAGCTTGAAAATAAAATACATGTAAAAGAACATCAATCGTTTCGCGCTCTTGGTTTCAAGGGATCAGTGCGCTTTTGAGTTTATAAAAGTGAAAATTTACAAGTAGTTGGAGATTTACTTTTTTAAACCATAATCAAATCATTGATACGAGTTCAAATTTTCATTTCTGCCAAAAATAACAGTGAGAAACTGAAATTAAATTTCTAAAGTTAGTTAATTTTCCTTAATTTCTTCTGTACTATTCGATACACATTTTTTTAATGTGCAATGACCCCGAAAAGAAAATTGGAGGGTTATCAGTTTATCTGACACACAAGTTAAAAATATGCCTTGTTGACTATTATGTAGAAGAGCTATTATTGAGATACTGATGTTGAAAAAATTTATATAAACTTTACTGATTATGATTATTCAGAACAATACAAATTGAAAAAAAATATCGACGTTGAAAACTAGGGACATTGGTACAATTCAAAAACAGTTGTTCGCAGCATGAAAAAAAAAATATTTCAAATATGAAACATGCGTACGCTATTAAAAACACGTAATCATTTCTTAGTTCTTTCATCAAGAAAAGTATTAATCACCTTCCCAGTAATTCAGATTTCATAAATCTTTGTCATTCATTTGTTTCTTTCTTTCTTTCATATTTTTTTTCTGCGTGTGAAAGGAAATAAAATGAATGTTCACGATTATTAACATTTTTGATACATATCACTCTAAAGTGCATTTTAAAATTAGAGAAAATTGGTTATTTTTATACATGTAAAAGAAATGTAGAAAAAACACAAAGATGCAGAAAAGAGGAATCTGAAAAATTTTGAGAATTTCGCTCCAAATTGTTTATTTTGATAAAGAGAGAAAAAAAAGGAGATACGATTATATTAGGGAGAAGGAGAGACAGTTTTATATTCCGGTGTGAATAAATCGTAAATAATTTAATCCGAATAAATCTTCGCCTATAGGGAGAGAGGCAACAGAAAATAAAAAAGAATTAGGTCTTTGGCATTTGCCTGATTCTGCGGCGCCAGCAGAGACGTCCGTTAATGTGGCCTTGCGGTAGCGCCGCGCGTACAATAAAAATACACGCACCTCTATCCTGTTTCCAAACGTTTCGTATCATTCACTTGAATTATATTTATTTCGATTTACAACTAATATATAAATTTTTGATAAAAGTCGCCGTAGGGTAACTTGATATTTTATTGAGTGCTCAATTCAAGTTGTCGCGTAATAATTAAAAAAAAGAGATCCTTTAACCAATATAGTTTCCCAAGCGACGAGGGACTTGGTATCTTTTTTTGAGAAACCGGTCGTGACGTACATATTCTCTCTCTTTGATCTTGATAAAGGGAAATAATCTTTATCGTAGGGTTCGCTATAAAATTTCAACTGCCTGCTTGTTTCAAGTGTAGAAAAAAGATGGAGAAGAAGTCAAATGATAGTCGTACAATTTTCTTTCAATGTAGATTTTATGCTCTTTCTAAAGATATTGTGATATAACTGAGAAATTGTCTCGAATGTTTTGATACGTTTCTGGATATTCTAGGTGTATTTCTGATACGAAATTTATTTCAGAAAATTTTTTTTTTCTGTTATCGGATGTTATGACTTCTTCGACTTTTTCGACTATTTTCAAAAAATACTTTTCTGAAATATCACAGTTGGTCCCCTTTTCCCATTTTGGCCCCTTATTTCAATTTTATCACCTTTTTTGACAATTTGTCACCTTTTTCTCTTTTTTTGCTAATTTGTCCCCATTTTCCACTTTTTCTAATAAAAAATAAACAAGTTTTTCTTTTATTGAAATCTTTTCAAACTGTAATCATAAAATTCAATTCAGACTCAATGCTATAGAATTCAGTGCGTTTTATTTTTGATTTAGATAATTAACACCACAACATAATATAAATGTTTTTTTATGTTAATAATTTAAATATTGATAAAGTAAAGAATTTTATAAATTATAAGGTCGTTCTTTCAACAAAGTGCAAACCTCTAGAAAAATAATTAATTAACATTCGAATAATTAAAATATTGTTATTAATAGTTTTTTCTAGAAAAACAAAAATTCTAAAACAAAACCTTCAATTTTTTCCAATTCTGACAATAATTTCTTTTTAAATAATTTAATTCTTGACGAACTAAATAATAAAATTATTACTTAGAAATTATTTAATGAATAATTTTACTTAAATATTCTTTTTAATTAATTGAATTTTAAAAGAGTTGCGTTTACAATTATTTTCATAAATAGATTAATTTTTATTATTTACAAATTTTTTATAAATTTCTTGGTAATAATTCAATTATTTTCATAAATAAAAAAACTCATCACAGAATTTCAATTATTTTTAATACAATTTTAATCGAATACCTCAAAAAATGTAATTATTTTTAAAAATATTTTATTAAAACTCGTCGAAAGAATTCAATTGTTAAAAAATTTATTAATAAAATTCTTCTTTATGAGAATTGAATTTTAAGATACATTCAATTGTTCAATAAATTATTTATTTTTGTATTTAAATAATTGAATTCTCGTAGAATTTTATAATAAAAATTGATTTAAAAGTGAATATCAGTTAAAATTTTATATAATAATTGAATATTAAAAGCATTATAGCATCAATTTTTAGAAATAATTGAATTTTGAAAAAGTTTCAAATTGAAATCTTTGAAAATCTGAATTTTTATTTATTTTTAATACAATTTTTATCAAATTTCTCGAAATTGTAATTATTTTTAAAAAATTTATTAAAATTCTTCCAAAGAATTTAATTATTTAAAATTTTTTTGATTTAATTCCTTATGAGAATTGAATTTTAAAAAACATTCAATTATTCAATAAATTGTTTATTTTTGTATTTAAGTAATTAAATTCTAGTAGAATTTTCTAATAAAAATTGGTTTAAAAATGAATTTCAGTTAAAATTTTAGATAATAATTGAATATTAAAAGCAATATAACGTGAATTTTAAGAAATAATTGAATTTTAAAATTAATTTTTTTGAAAGAGTTTAATTGCGGATTTTTTCTTATTGTTATTATGTATTTGAAGTTATTATTTTCGAATATATATTTAATTGAAGAATTTCCGAATAGTCGAAATTTTGTAAAATTGAATTTTAAATAAATACATTTTTGAAAATTCTTAAAATTTAAAAAAAAATTATTATAAATAATTGATTTAAAGAAGAATTTTAGTTAAAAATTCTAGAAAATAATAATTGAATTGAAATAATTAATATTATTTTAAAAAAGTTACAGTAAAAATATTTCTTATAGTACAAAATAATGATCTTATTACTCAGTCATATTTATGTTTTATAATAATAAATTTAATAAATTGTTTATTTTTGTATTTAAATAATTGAATTCTCATAGAATTTTTTAATAAAAATTGATTTAAAAATGAATTTCAGTTAAAATTTTAAATAATAATTGAATATTAAAAGCAATATAACGTGAATTTTAAGAAATAATTGAATTTTGAAATTAATTTTTTAATTTAATTGTTGAATACATAAATTGTTGAATTTCAAAAAGATTTGAATTTGAATACTTTTTTTTAAAAAAAGAAGTTGTTGCTGTTTTCGAATAATTTTACAATTAAAGAAATTTGCAAATAAATGTAATAGAACATTTTTTTTAAGTATCTATTTATTTTTAGAGTCTAATTAAACATTTTTAAAAAATGTTATAGAAGTTATATGATAAAAAATTTAAATTATATATGCAAGTTTTATAAACAAATAAATTGTTGTTCCGTTTTTGAGGAATAAAATTCCTCTTTTCACCTTTTTTGAGGAAAAATGTATCATGATGCCTAAAAACTTTGTTGAATATTTTTATTTGAAGGAACCAAACACGTTAGTGTTATATTCAACTGAGTTTTGTTGTTTTAATAAATAGAACTCGGTTTGCGATTTGATTCGATTTTTATTTGCTGGAATGAACTTTGTTGAGTCGTTGAGTTGAGATGTTTTAGTCTTTGCGTGTTTTGCAGTACAGAGGTGAATGCTTTCTACATAATTCTTTCTCGATAATCACGTTCATGACAGAAATTTTCAATTTGCGCTATTTACTCGGGCATAAGAGCTCAATAATCGTGAGATAAAGACCTTAAAGAAAACGTTTCAGCCTTCGTTGGCACGTTAATAAAGTAGCTTGCCTTTAACCTTCGTAATCCTATCGATATAATAAAATTATCGAGTTGCCAATATCCAGTGAATGTCATAGGTGTTCAGAGGATGATATACGACCTGAATGTTGCATAAAGCTTATTTACTGAAACATTATTTATATTCTTTATTTATATATGTACATAAATGTATTTACAGGGAGAGTTGCTAATAAGAGGGCAACTATATTATGCTAAGCACTCTAGTTCCCCCCTCCCCTCCTAATAACTTGTGTGCAAAAGAAATTACAAAATATTAAAGTCAATTCTAATTGCATTACAAATACTCTTGAGATATATAGATTTATATTATGAATCTTTAATTTATTCTCGAATTTATTTGAATATTTATTACGACCTTTTATTATTAATATTAATATTAGTATTTAGAAATAATGTGAAAGGTATAAAGATTATTAAAGCTACATTTCTCTTTTTTTACAGACTTGATCCTGGGTGTTGTTTCGTCAAGTAAACAAATAAAGTGAGTGAAGTATTTTAATATATTGAAGATGAAATTGAGATAAATTGTCATAATGCCGTAGCTTTAATGCTGAGGCATTATAATGTATCAGAAAAGGTCAATGTGCCTATTAGAATTAATGTTTTCCAGTCGTAAAAAGTTAAATTTAAAATTTAAAGTTTCTCTGGCAAAACCGAATAATAAATTATAGAGATGAGACACACGTTGCATTAAGGAAACGGAGGGCTATTTTAATGTCTGATAGTACCTATAGCAGAGAAAGAGAGAGAGAAATTAGTGTCAACCCCAGTAGTATATAAAATATGAATAATCACATTCCTTTCTAATAATATTCGTAAATCGTTTTCGTATTATCAAAAATTCAAAACTTTCATTGTCGATTGATAATAATTACAATCAATTGTAATTATTATTCTTTGAATTATTATCATTCTTGTAATTATTATTTTTTGAATTATTATTAGTTTTTGAATTATTATTCTTTGAATTATTATTCTTTCGATTATTATTCTTTGGATTATTATTCTTTGGTTTATTATTTTTTGGATTATTATTCTTTGGATTATTATTCTTTGAATTATTATTATTATTATTATTCTCTGAATTGTACACAAATTCAACGGTACTTAATACAATTTTTTTATGGTTTTCGTTTGACGTTGAAAGTGACGTCAATCCCGGAACATTGTCAACCCATAAAATCCATCACATTATTCATTATAATCCCATCAAATACAATACTCGGTCCATCTCAGTTTCCTTTTATAAAATTACACAATTCGATGATATTGACATTCGTTACGAAAAATTGATGTCTTAATTTAAACTAATGCATATAATAATTAATTGGACTTGTCTGTGTGTGAATATATTTATATAAAGAATAGGTGAATTAATTTCGCCTTGATATCAAGGATAAAACAATCATCCTGTGCCATCTTTGAGATTATTATATAATATTATAAAAGAAGAAGAGAACTTGATGGAAGAATACTGCTTTCTATTTTTAAAAAGTATCAAGTTTATAACTCGCGTCAGTATTTTGAGTTTTCTATACTTCAAATCTTAATTATTATAATTTATTTTATTGCATTGTTATTCGTTTTCGTTTTTAGTTCATTTTCTTCTCTCAAAAATCGTTAATACTTTCTGATTTTGGTTCCAATTTTTTTTTATCTCATCGTAAATCGTTAATTGCTTCTGATTTTGGTTCTAGTTTTTCTCTCGAAAAAGAAAATTGGAAAATTGAGAAGAAAATTGAAAAATTGAAGAGAAAATAAAAATTGCAAAATTGAAAACCAAAGGCAAAAGTATAAAAGACTTTTCAGGGTTTCTACAAGTCATGAAAAACCTGGAAATCATGGAATTGTCATGGGTTTTCATTTTGATTCATGGAATCATGGAAATCTCATGGAATTTCTAATCGGATCATGGAATTTTTTAGTTTTTGTTGTAAACCCGTTCAACTTATCAATTTCCCTGACAATTTACTGACATTAAAATTACTTTCCATAACAAAATTCTTTTTACAGTAGGAAAATATTAATGTTTACGGAAAATAAGTAAAATTTATGAATTTTAATAATTTCTAAAAATTACAAGTATAACCCTTCCTGAATTTAATTATTTTCTACAATTTTCAACATAACTTCATCTCAGAATCAATTAATTTAAATAATTTTCCAAAAGTTCTTCTAGAATTCAATTATTTAAATGCAAAAACTCAATTTTTTATAATAATTGTGACTCTCCATAGTTTTTTCACAAGTTATTAAGATATAATATTTTCAAAAAATTAAAATAAAGAAATTCTTACAATTAATTTTTTAAAAATATTTTAAAATAATTTCTGAACGATAATAGTTTTTCAATTTCGAAAAATTTCCAAAAAATTAAAATTTGGTAAAATCTTTTAAAAATAATTGAATTTTTGAAAAGTATTAATAAAAATGGTCAAATTTTTGAAGAATTTTAATTATAAACAGGACCATGATTTCTCAAAAATTTTAGTAAGTCCAAAAAGTAAATTTTGAATTTTAAAAAATTATTACAAAACAATTCTAACAATTAGTTTTTAAAAATATTTTATTAATGTAATTTTTCGAAAATAATTGTATTTCTTTAATTAATTTTTGTATAATTTAAAAAAGCTAATGAATTTTTTGATGAATTTTAATTAAAAATTTTGAACATTATTGTTTTCTCCAAAATGTTAAAAATAATTCTAAAATGTTATTATTTTTGGAAATATGTAATTGAAAATATTAAAAATATTGAATTTTAAAAAATTAGAAGCTTATTTTCATTTTTAAATTTATCTTTAAAGATTTTTCATTAAAATTTTTGATAATTCAATTATTTTCAAAATTTGCATTTAAAATTCTTTAAGAGTTGATTTTCCAAAATTGTAACAAAATGCTTGAAATAAATTAATTATTTTCAATTAACTTTTATAAAATTTTAACTATTCAAAAACAATTTTTGAAAGATTTGTTTATTTATTTGAATAATTGAATTCTTTTAGAAAATTTTTGTAAATAATTGAATATTCCTCAAAATTGAATTCCCATAAAGAATTTTATCAACAAATTTTTAAATATTTGAATTCTTTTGACGAAATCTAATAAAATTTTTAATAATAATTCTATTTTTCGAGAAATTAGATTAAAATGAATTAAAAATAATTGAAATTTTACGATGAGTTTTATTATTTATGAAAATAATTGAATTCCTAAAAAGAATGTTGTTTATGAAAATAATTGAATCCTTGTAAAAAATTATAATTCATCTTAAAATGCTTCTAATATTCAATTATTATTTAAAATTTCAACTAAAACTTATTTTTAAATCAATTTTTATTAGAAAATTCTACTAGAATTCAAATATTTAAATACAAAAATAAATAATTTATTGAATAATCGAATGTTTCTTAGAATTTAATTCTCACAAAAAATTTTATAATCAAATTTTTGTATAAATAAATTTTTTGCACGAATTTTAATAAATTTTTTAAGAATAATTACAATTTCGAAAAATTCGATAAAAATTGTATTAAAAATAATTAGAATTCTGCGATGAGTTTTATTATTTATGAAAATAATTGAATTCCTGAAATGAATTTTAGTATTTACGAAAATAATTGAATCTCTGTAAAAATTTTATTATTTATTAAAGTAATTGAATTAATGCGAAGTAATTTATAAAAAAAAATTTATTATTAATTGAATTCTCGTGAAATTTTGATTGTTTATAAAAATAATAAAAAACATAAAATTTTTAAAAAATGCAAATTTAATTGTTTCGAAGAAAATTGTATTTTATTCACGCTATAAAGGCTTTTAATATTAAATTATTATATCTAAGATTTTAACTAAAATTCAATTTTCAATCAGCTCTTATAAAGAAAGTTCTTCGATAATTCAATTATTTATATACAAAAATAAATAATTTATTGAATAATTGAATGATTCTTAAAATTGAATTCTCATAAAGAATTTTATTAAACAATTTGTAAATAATTAAATTCCTTTAACGAATTTCAAAAAAATTTGTAAGAATTTCGAGAAATTCGATTAAAATTGAAAAAAATAATTGAAATTCTACGATCAGTTGTATTATTCATGAAAATAATTGAATTCTTTTAAGAAAATTAATTAAAAATGTATTAAAAATAATAATTTTAATTTCTAATAAACAAATTATATCAACATTTTTTATATAATTCAATTCTTTTGAAGAATTCTAATAAAATTTTTAAGAATCATTACATTTTCCCAGGAATTCATTAAAAATTGTATTTAAAATAATTGAAATCCTATGAGTTTTATTAGTTATGAAAATAAATGAATTTTTGCATAGAATTTTATCAAATTTGGTTTCTAAATAATTGAATTATTTTGGAAAATTTTATTAAAATAATAAATATTGAAAATCATTTAATTGAGGAAAATTTTTGAAAAGAATTGAAATTTTTCCAAGAATTTTATTAAAATTTTTGAAAATAATTGAATTGCGGAGAATGTTTATATTTTTAAAGATAGGTATTTGAAATTTTGACGAGTTTTTCTTTAATTTTCGTACGTAATTGAATTCCTGGGAAGAATTTTATTATTTTTGAAAATTATTGAATTTCAGCAATCATTTGCAATTTCTCTAAAATTCTCCAAATTCTATCGTACAATTTACGAACTTTTCGTCCTTTTTCTTCTATCAAATTATGGCCTTTACGAACCTTTTTTTAAAAGAAACGGACTTTTACGAACTTGAAGTAAATTTACGGACCTAGTTCGAGTCCTGAAAAGTGTTAATTTTATGTTCCTAATGTTAATTATAATGAATTAATTATTATAATTAAGGTAATAATTTATTATTACTTTATTATAACGTTACACACTCGAAACTATATGAAGTAAACCCAGATTCTTATTTAATGTAGTTTACACACGAAAAAAAAAGGTGGACAAAAAATTGACTTATTTCTGATAATATAATTTATGTAATTCAAGGTCGAATTTGTTAATAGACTTTTCTCATTAACATAATACTTTCTCGCTGTGTACGATGACGATGTTTTCAAATATTAATGTAGTTTGTAGTCTAGTCCCTCCTCACTTCTCTCTCTCTCTCTCTAGATTACACCATGGAGAAAGTAAACCATGTACATGAGGCAGAAGGGCGCTTGACATATGCGCTTAATGAAAATCCCCATAACTAGAGCACATCGGTCAGAGTCGGTCTCTTGGCAATTGGCCACACACTCTGTCGCTGTGGAGAAAAGGCCACGATTACAATCCCGCGGAATGCGCTTAGAGCTGTCGTTTCGAAAGGCTTCTAACTCTCGGGTTCCACGCTCTTTGCATGTATATATATTCACACAAGAATTATTGTATTAGTTGTCTCGCGCATAATCTGTCCTAATATGCAAGAGACTCGACGTGCACTCGCCTGGTTCACTGGTCTTGCGTTATCAATATGCACAAGGGTGACTGACTATTCGCATG